AGGTCCTAAATACTCAGCACTAATTAACTACGATATATTTTGGGTAAAATAACCCAAAATATATCGTAAACAGGAATCCAATCTGTAATAAGATTTTTCGAAGTTCTGGACGAGAACTCCCAAAAAATCTCTCAACAACATTGTTAAAATCGAGGGTTGCGTACCTTATACTCTGAATATCTAAAAGGGATTCGCTGAAGGACATACAGATATCACGTCACCAACGTCGATAGGCCATAAGAGGTGGAGCCAAAGTATGAGGATATATCACGAGCCATACATTCTTCCAAAACTTAGTACATGATGTTAATGGGAGACTTCAACGCTAAACTAGGCAGAAGGAAAGACAATGGGCGGGTAGTGGGTAATTATGGAATAAGGAAACGGAACCCAAGAGAGCACCAGCTGGCTGAGTTTATGAAGAAAGAGGGACTCTTTATGATGAACTCTTTTTTCAATAAGCAACCCCACAGTGTGTACCCAGATTAGCCCCGATGGTTCTACAAACTGCATTGCGTTCCGCTTGAATTGCATAATAGCTTCCATTGCCTCCGGAGCCAGTTAACTAAGTTGAAGACTGACAGCGAGGCTATCATCTCCACTAGACCAGAAGTTTTGAGTGAAATTGAGTTTCTATGGACAGCTGACACTGTCATTGGAGCCGCACACTTGGTGCGTGACAACGACCCAAGAACGAAGCTTGTCCGATATTATTCCGAAAATATCCCGGACATCACACCGTCTGAGCGAGACAAGAGTTGCTCTTGAATAGCTTTTAAATGGCATAGTATCAGATATATTTAGAGCCGAGTCTATGTTCCGTTTTCAAAAGTCATCTTGAATCATCTCGCTTCTAGACTCGAGCACTTCCAGCCTCCTGAACAAACCGGAGCCGGTAGTTTGGTAGAAAAGTCATCAATCGCCAAGTTGATTGTACCTGCCGCAAGGCTTCTTTCACAGCTTACTTCTCATCCTCCATTAATTTTATGGGCGGCCTTACAAAATAGTGAATTAAAAATGAAAGACTTATAAGGTTGTAAAATTTGTACAATTTATTAAATTTAAACGGCACAGGGAATACTTTAAAACTTTATAACGTATCGAAGATAGTAAAATATGATTTTAGCTTCTTTTCAACTTTCTCTATCTAAATACCTCGAAGTTTTAAAAGCTAAAAAGTTACGATATCTTTATGAAATGTTTACGATAAAACAAACACACAAGTAGATAAAATGTTGATATCAACATTACACATTAAAAAATAATTTAACCCTTTGCACGCCTAGTAAAATTAAACTATTGTAGGAATCTACACTTTGTAATATTAAGAGCCACTGGACAGTATAAGGTGTTTAATATCCTAGAGTCGTAACTAATTAAAATTTTTCAAGAATATTTGTATATCGAAAAAGTATCATTCTGGAACGTGCACAAATTATTCACGTCTGCAATGAATATTAGGAAAAAGTTTTAGAATTTATCATATTATACAAAATTATCCTTTCTATTCGCATATTTCAACTTATTGATCGATATGGTATTTCATGTATGCTTACATTTTTCGATAATTCTGAATAGATTTCGATTTCAAAATGTAATTGTAAATCTAAATAGTTGTTTATATTGAAAAATACATCGATTTTATAAAAAAAAACTTGATTTGACTTTGAAGATCGTTTTTTTTTATAATACCTTATTAAAAAAAAGCGGCTAGTGTGTATCAATTAGACAAATTTAGACTCCGTCCCTATCCGATTTTATACATAACTTCTATTTCGGATTCGGTTACGGTTTCGAATATCATTTTTGTTCCCAAAATTTCGCAACTCTGTACGAGTATTTAAAAAACTCGTTTTCGCGATCGAGTGGCACTGAGCAAATAAGTGCAAAGGGTTAACGTTACGCGAATATTACACATTTAAGTTCAAGAGCTTCTAATTCTGTTACATTTTTTTTAAATGACACTATTCAATAAAAATCACAAATAGAAAATGAAATAAAGATTTGTCAGCCTATCAGAAAATATAAAACATAATATTTGACTAAAGATACATAGAACATAATAGACATTTTTTACAACTTAATATCAAAAAATTAGAACCTGTGTAATAAGGAAACTTATATGATAAATATGTAAATTTTAGTAAGTGCGAGATAACTATGGTTGATTCTGAAATCGACAACAAAATAATACTTCGTCACGTTTCTATTAAAGTAAAATAATTACAGAACACTACTTGGCTAAACATAAACAACGTGACCGCATAGGACAAAAAACATTACATAACTTTTTCATTGTTTTCTAGAATTTAATTATTTTAGGAAAATATTTATTCGCCTATACTACTATTATACAAAAGGTGTTTTATTTTTGCGCGTCCATAATCCTTTACGTAGTAAAATATCAAGAAGGTTATTCTCTAGTAAAGTTTATAATACAACGAGATATTCTTAAATCTTATTGCAATAGAGACGGACTTAAAACCTGCAATGAATACCGAATAAGTAAGTGCTATTTACTGAGCCAAATACAATTTAAGAACAGAAGCTATGAAGTTACAATCGTAAATGTTTATTTTCAAGAACCAACTCCCATATGCCAACTCACATAATTGAATGTCATTTTCGAATTTTCTAATAGTATGATTATTTGTATAATAACTAATTTAATATTTTAATAACCAAGTAGAGCCTCCGCCTATCTAGTTATTTTAAACTTAAATTCTACTTATAATTAAATTCTCCTGTGCAATTGCTAATACAATTCAGTGTTCTTGATTATTTAGGCAAATACACAGGCTTTTTAGTTAATCTAATCTTAATCAATGATTTAGGGTAGGATTCACACAAGGACATGTCAACATAACCAGATTATTTGACCGTTAAGCAAAGAAATCTGAATTAATGGTATAACTTATTACTGCAATTGTTGTCATCGTATATTGCATGTGTACCTAAATTTTGGTTGTCATAACTGAAAAAAGCATTTGATATCAAGTTATGTGGTCTAAAGCTTATACAAATTCATTATTTTGACAAGGTGTACTATATTACCCATACGATATATGGTAGAGTTTGTATTCAGTTACTCAAAAGGTGAAGATAAGGTGGTCTGTATAGCTGCATAACAGAAATTTTTAGACTTGTAACAAGTCTCAACTATGCAATTCTTAAAAAGTATCATTCCTCCAAGGTGATACAGCTAAAGCACCAATAAGCTAAAACTTAACCTAACTTAGTCAAAAGTCATAATAATATACATTAAAATGATATTTTTGTTTATAATTAACAAAATAAGAGTTAAAATTTACGATTGTAATATAATAGCGCTGTTGATTAAATACACTTTCATTTAATAATTTACAATTAATTGCAAATAATATTTTTCTAGAACCACTTAACGCTATGATTATAAGTACGAATATTACATACAGTACGTATTTATATAGGCCACGCAAAACTTTAATGCGTCTCTGTAGTTCGTTGCAATTACCGCTCAGTATACAGTTTATAGTGGAAACTACAACCCTCTCGCTCACACAGCAGTCCATCCACACATTACTAACATGTGTCATAGTCGCGAATAGTTTTATACTTATATCGATTTCATGAATATAATTGTTTTGGATAGTAGCTTTTTTTGGCAGATTTTTCTAATTCGACGGTGCACATGACTATGTAGGGGCATTTCAGTATTGCAAGGCCTATACTGGCGCCGTTGCTATATAACGAAATTCACAACCACACTGATATATATGCGATCGTTCTTCCAGTGAAGATATTCATAGACCATTCGCACTAGTCATTTTGCGATATCTTATGTTGAATTATATGGAATTGCGTCATAAAATTATGGTCTATGTAAAATAATGACGCACACACACACACACATCATGGAGTCGTCGAATATGTTTTCAATTTATTTCACATTTAATACATCAAGGTGTAATTTTGTCCGATCCGTTTTTGTCAAATGTGTGGTTCACTTTGACGTCTTAGAATAAATATATTTATCGCTTAATCGCTAAAACATAGTTATCAATTAAATATATTCTATAGACTACTATAGATAAGTAAAACTTACTATAGATATTATAGACGCCACGGAAAACCCGTATCATTTAGGCCCAAAATAATATCAAAATCCGATAAACCGTTTAATAAAATCAGACAACATATCATCCGAAACAAAATTTCGACTTCGACTTATCGAGACAGCAATCGAATGTATTGACATAATAAAAATCCACAGCCCGAAGGAAGGTCCTCGTACGTAACTCATTTCGTTACAGATCAAACTCATCTCGAGTGGTGACGGATTATAAATTATTTCGAAAACGTTCAAACAAGCCGAATGATTTTATCGCCTCCCTCTGTTGCGAAATCGATGATTCTATACGTTCAAAGAATTATCACTTAATTTCTACTAAAACACTACGGTATCGTCAATATTGTTAGGGAAAATGTTAATAAAAGAAAATGGGAATTAGACAGTGAGTTTATTTCGCAGTTGTTGAATGGAAACGATTGCAAAGATCACGCGAGTATCACTAAAGTCCGGCCCCAACTCACGCTACAATAAGACGCCGATTGCATCTGTGCGAGCGTGACGGCAATATAATATTTTCGCGGGAGCGACAAAGACAAGAGATAAATGTTTTCCGCTTTAAAATTCGCGCTTACTCGTGTAAACTAGCGCGGAATTTACTTGAAGATGAGGAAGCCGTGCACGCCCATGAAAAACTTGCAGATTGCATCCGTGCGAGCGTGACGGCAATATATATGCGCGGGGGCAACGGAGACGGGCGATGACGGCACACCGCGAGCGGCCCGTAGACAAAAAGCGTATACGCGTGTAGACCAGTTTACTTGACGACGAGAGATCCGCGCACGCCCGCGAAAAACTTGCAGATTGCATCCGTGCGAGCGTGACGGCAATATATTGGCGCGGGCCGTACAGAGAATTAACGCTTACGCGTGCAGAGCGGCGCGGGCGTTCACTTGACGATGAGGAAGCCGTGCACGCTCGCCAGGAACTTGTCGAAGTTGTCCTGGAAGCGAATCTTGTGCGGGCGGTGGCCGTCGAACAGCACGCCGCCGGTGAGCAGCCGGAAGGCGTCCTCGAGGCGGGGCGCGTTGGCCGGGTCGCCGGCGGCGAACGCGCCGATCACCTGCCGCGCCAGGCCCTCCAGCAGCGACGGCTTCAGGCACGTGAGGGCGTACACGGCCGCGCTGGCCGCCGGGATCGAGTCGGGCGGCACCTCGCCCTGCGGACGCGAAGGGCAATTCCAACAATTGAACGGACCTAATAAGAATAAAAACTGGGGGCGCTTGAATTGAAAGGGCCTATTTCGGACAGACTAGTGGCGCTTGGAGTTGTACGGACCTAGTTAGAACAAACCAGCGCCGGACCTAGTTAGAACAAAACAGACGCCTAATGGTCGAAATTGGACCATGATTAGTTTAAATTATAAGTTTTAACTATATTAATTTTTTTTTCCTACTATGGCTCCACTGATACGTCAGTGATTTTGCCAATAACTAAGTACTTTGAGATCAACTTGATAAGGTGAGGACAATAAAAATGTATAATATTTTGTTTAAAATTATTTCATTTGCGTACCTGTAAACAAAGGAACAATGTTAGTAACATGCAAATTAATAATGGAAGACAACACTCAAATATATGAAAAATACAAAACAGGACATAATTTTTTTTTTTTTTAAATTGACAACAACTTAAAGACATATATTGTTAATCTCTATAAATTTAACTAGAGTTTTAATAAATGGAGTATAAACAAGAGTTAATAGACACTTAACATTCACAGGGCGAGCAACATTGGATGGAAGTAAATCATATAAAGAGACAGTTAACAAAGGACAATTAAAAAATAAATGGTCAAGTGTACCCTCATCTAGCCCACATTCACACAAGGAAGTGTTTCGAATATGAAGCTTAGCCAAGAACACAGGAGAGCACACATGTCCTAGTCTTAACCTGATGATAATAAAAGTGGTAATTTTATTATAGCAGCGGTATTTAAAAAACCAAGGTTTGGTAGGAATAAATGGTTGAATTAAGCCATAGTATTTACACCTTCTATGTCCTATTGATTGCCACATAATACTCCAAGTTCTTATCATGTCCTGTTTAGAAGATAGCCGCAGATCACGAACAAAAAATTTATTATAGGTGGAACATCCCATCTGGATTGCTTCTTTGGCACAACAATCTGCTTGCTCGTTTCCAGAAATACCACAGTGACTTGGGATCCATGCTAAAACCACTTCTATACCAGCACAATGGCAATTATATAATGCTTGTTTAATTTTGAGTGTTATGAAAAAGTTCTCCTTAGAGCGAAATGGGACTTTTAAGATATCTTGTAAGCAACTATATGAATCGGAGAAAATTATAAATTTATTAAGATGATGAGATCTAATATAAGATACAGCTTCTAGCAAAGCAATTGCTTCCCCACTGAAAATAGAAGTTACAGAAGGGCATTTAAAGCTCAATATAATTTTATACTTAGGTATCCAGACTGCAGCACCTACATCTAAGTTTGCAGACAATTTTGAGGCATCCGTGTAAAGAGTGAGCCAACCTTTAAATTCATTTTCAAGAATCCTATTAAATTGTATGTGTGTGTAGGGTGAGTTTTTATCAATTCCCAAGGACAAAATAACCCTGGGCCTATAAACTAATGACATATAGTCAACCATAAAAATTGGGTGTTTTTCAATTTTGAAGACAGGATTAGAAAGATTACAAATTTTTCGGTATGACTTAAGTAGCAGAGGCAAGTCCTTATGTTTCCAGTAATCAGAAGTACTTGCTAATTGAGACAAAGAATGTAAGGTTTTTAAAAGGGGGTGATGCATGTATTGAGAAATGTTAAATAGATATCTATCAGCTAGATACTGTCTTCTAAGGTGAAGGGGAGGCTCTAGGCATTCAACTTGTAATGCCAAATTAGGAGAGGATTTCATGGCACCAGTGATGATGCGCAGACATTTGAATTGAATCTTCTGTAATTTATTTAATGCATTTTTATTACATGGTTCCAACAAAAAACTACCATAATCAAAATATGATCTAACAATAGCATTATATAATAACTTTTGACAAAATGGATGAGAACCCCAACGGACACCTGATAGAGATCTTATGACATTAACACTATTTTCACACTTATTGCTAATATAATTAAGATGGTGGGCACCAGTTAACTTAGAATCTAATATAACACCTAAAAATTTTATTTTGTCTACTATGCTAAGGGAATGTCCATCAATAAACAAATTGACACTCGGAATATGGCGCTTTCTTGTAAATACTTTCTTGTAATACCACATTGCATTTCGGTACTGCTAAGGATAACCCTTGATTGTTAAGCCAATCACTTAAATAAGTTAGTGCAGAGTTAGCCTTATCAACAGCATCAGTTAATGAAGATGAAATGGAGTACAGGGCTATGTCATCAGCATATTGTAAAATTTTGCAAAAGGGGGAAACAGAGTGGTCAAGATCATAGGTGTATACGTTATATAACAAGGGGCTAAGTACGGAGCCCTGGGGTAACCCCTTCCATACAAATCTAGGTGGTTGAATGGATCCATCAGCACGCACAGAAATAGAACGGCCACTGTATAGATTAAAAATGAAATTTACCAGTCTCACTGGGATACTCAGTTGGAGCATTTTCTGCCTGAGTATTGGAATCTGGACATTATCATAGGCCGATTGCACATCCAGAAAGACTCCAACAACATGTTGATTTTCACTGAAAGCTAGATGAATTCTGGAAACTAAGACACTTAAACTATCCAATGTTCCCATAACCCGTCTGAAACCAAATTGATTATTGGATTGTATTCCCCTGTTTTCTAGGATCCACTCTAAACGGTTTTTGACTAAATGTTCCATGATTTTACATAAAGTAGAGTAGAGAGCTATGGGGCGATAAGATGAGGCTTCATCTGGGTCTTTGCCTGGTTTGAGGATAGGAATGATGATTTGAGTTTTCCATGAGTCAGGAATATTACAGGATAAGAAAACAGTGTTAATGATATTAAGGAAGAAAAGCTGAGTAAATTTGTTAGACTTAATAATAAAGGAGTAAGGAATTCCATCCATTCCGGGTGAGGAGTCATGAAGGTGGTCTAAGCCACAAATTAGTTCAGGGTAAGAAAATTCATCATTCATTTTATCAGGATAGATAAAAGAATGAGAATAATCCATAGGGAAACAGTCACGGAATGGAACGTAGGGGGGTGATAAATTATTAATGAAGGTTGATAGCCATCTCTCTGTTTGATAAGTACTTGAGTTATTATTAATATCACAAGACCTGCGGTAGGATTTAATACGTTTCCAAACGAAGGAAGGGGCAGTTCGACGCGCCAAAGATTCACAAAACCTCTGCCAACCTAGAGTTTTCTTTTTCCTAAGAAGTCTCTTAGTTTGTGCACAGGCTTTTTGATACTGTAAATAATTACCTATTGTGAGATCAGCTATGTATTTGCGTTCAGCGTCGTTACGGAACCGCACACTGTTAGTACAATCCCTATCCCACCAGGGAGGAGAAGGAAGGCATTTGCGAGCAGTATTCTTTAGGGGATTGAAAGGTCAGCAGAACTTAGCAAAGAAGACACAAAGTAATCATAAGTATCAATAAAATTAGTATGGAATAGGGATGAATTGGGGGAACGAGAGGACAGCTTTTGATCCACTAAAAAAGAAAATTTGTTCCAGTCAGCTAAATTAAGTCTGTACTTCAACAGAGGGGCATATTTGATTGTTGGAACAACAACTTCAAATAGGTTTAAAATAATGGGGAAATGATCACTTCCATAGGAATTAGCCAGTACCATCCAATTAATAGAAGATGACAGAACAGTTGAGCAGATAGACAAATCTATGGCAGAAGCATTTTGTAGTGGTGATACTCTCCTTGTAGGTGACCCATCATTTAATAGAACCAGATTTAAATTATCTAGCATATCTATAATAAAATGTGATGAGGGATCACAAACATGGGAACCCCACAAAGTATTTTTACAATTAAAATCTCCTAACACTAGAAGAGGAGCTGGAAGGGCGGAAAGAATAGAGCTAATATTAGAAATGATGTTAGGATTGGGATGGGGAATATAAATGGAAACAAAAGATATGCCACTAACTCTAGACGCAAGAATGTGGAAATCTGGAGGATCAGAGGGAATATGGAGCCTTGTAAAGGGAACTGATCTCTTAATAAATAAAGCACACCCAGCCCAACCATCATCTCTATCATCCCGCAAGGATGAGTACCCTGGAATCCTAAAATTGGAGTCAGGTCTCAACCAAGTCTCTGCAATAGCACAAACAAGAGGATCATATTTGTTTAATAGAAATGTTAAATCAGCCTTCTTATGACGCACATTTCTACAGTTCCATTGAAGAGTGTTGAATGTCACGGTTTTTTTTAATAATTGTATCTAGGAGCTGTTCTAATAAGGGCAAGACATTGTTCGGTAGTGAGTCACTAAATTTTGAAACCATGTTTATCAAACTACATGTGAGTAACTCAATCAGATTATCATTAGGGGTAACGTATGGAGTAGGGCTAACACTCCCAAGAGCACTGCCGTTAGGTTGAGAGGATTTGGGAGTTCTAATAATTTCTAGGTGGGCGCGTTTATCATAAGATGGACTTAGAGGCGATCTAGGACGAGGATGCTGAGGAAGAGATTTATGACTAAAATATGAGGACCTATGTGGGGATAGAGAGGGTTCATAGGTCAAGGTTTGTTGTGGAGGGAGAGGACGGAGAAAATTAGCGGGAGTAGGAATATTTGACTGGGAGAGGGAAGGACCAAGAGAATTTCTTGGAGAGGAGCAAAGTACATCAGCAAATGACTGTCTAGAGATGGGGAAGCGGGTTGATGCTTCAGAATAGCTAATATTCTCTATAGACATTATGTGTTTAATGTTCTTCTGTCGTGTATGTTCTGGACATGTAGGATCTGTGGCTTTGTGATGTCCTCTACAGAGAAGACACAAAGCATCAGATACCGTACAGGAGTCTCCAGGATGTTGTTGCGCACATTTAAAACATCTATATTTAGATCTGCATTGGGCACGGACATGTCCAAATCTACAGCAATTATGACACTGTATGGTAGGAATTTGATAAATGGAAAATGGAAGTGAAGCATGAAAACAGTAAACTTTCTCAGGGAGGGTTTGACCTAGAAAGGTCAACACTACTGTGGTGGATGGTTCCCAAGTTGGCTTAGGATTATTATTAAGGCGATTTTTAATATAAATTCGTCTGGCCTTTATCACAGGTTCACAATTGGAGAGGCACTGTAGACCAGAAACCAACTCTTTGAGGGTCCAGTCCAGAGGGATTTGACGGACAACACCCATTCGAGAAACTAAAAACTTTGGGACTTCTGCAGAGAAGTTATTTTTGAGTAACATTGGATTCTGGATAAATGAGTTAGCTTCTATATAATTTTCGAATCGGACAGAAATTTTATTGCGACCTAATACCTTGATACCATCACAGACAATACCAGTAACCTTGTTTTTATGCAATAGCTGAGCAAAGTTAAGAATTTTAATAGAAAGCCCTTCAGAAGGATGAGCTTCAATACGAGACACATGGACAGTGAAAGGTCCTTGGCTAAATTCATCATACCTAATTTTCTTATCAGGTTCAAAACCAGGCCTGGTATATGAATCCTGAATAGAAGCAGATGGACTTATATTTTTCTTTGGGATACTGGCGATTTCTGTATCCGCTGATCTTTTCATAGGACGACTAGATGAAGCACACTGAACAGTAATAGGGACCGACATGTCTACATCAGAGGACAAGACCCCACCTCCACCAGGAGGAGGATCATCATCTCCTGCATCACACATCGTACTTAAAAACGATTACATGTAATACAATAACACTTACCCACTAATAATAATAATAATATAAAACCACAACGACAGAACACAACTGAAATATTTGATTATATATTACAGAAAATAAACTTAAGCACGTGGGAACGTCAATAACCGCTCAAGTCGATCTCCAACTATATTAATCTATTCTCAAATACAATAAACAAAAGGGTATGTATGCGTGTGTGTGTCAAATACATGGCATTGTGTGTAATGTTTTCTATATTGATTCAATACATAATTAAAACAAAAAAATATTAGCATTGTGCACTCCTTCTCTGTATAAACTATAAGTGTGGGAGATTTCATACAAATCCGCCCGCGCAATTTTCGTAAATAGGGTATTAAGTCTTGCTTTACGTATTACTGTATAGATTCTTTCTAGTATTCCCCGCACTCGAATCGTGGATTGGGAAAGGGCTATGAACAAGACAGAATGGATGTTAAACAGCTGAACTAATGGGATGCCCCACCGACAAGCCGCCTAACTGTCAAATTAAAGAGAGATTTAAAAAACTATCAATGTCTGGTAAACGTAAAATAAAGATTGGTGCACTTATAAACAAACGCAGTGATTTCGGGGGAGTGAAAGAGAGCGAAGTATAATACGTTATGTAGCTTTCTATCATTTAAATACAAAATCAGCAGCAGCCGGGGTGCAGCAGGTGTAGCACAGCAAGAGTCATTTCCCCGCATCCTTGTTGGTACAGTGGGGTGGCTCTTAGAACAAATGCGAAAAAGTCCACACTTATTTGTCATTGGACGTTACGAAATGTTCGAAACAGTGCACACACGTTTGTCATTGGACGTTATGAAATGTTCTTAACAGTCCACACACGTTTGTCATTGGACGTTACGAAGCGTTCGAAGCCGCCGTTGGACGTTACAAAGCGTCTGAAGCCGTCATTGGACGTCGCAAAGCGTCCGAAGCCGTCATTGGACGTGGTAAAGCGTCTGAAGCCGCCATTGGACGTGGCAAAGCGTCCGAAGCCGTCATTGGACGTTTCAAAGCGTCCGGAGCCGCCATTGGCCGCCGCCCGCCCACCTTGATGATGAGCATGAGCAGCAGCTCGGCGAGCGAGAGCAGCGCCTGCGCGTGCGCCGCGCCCGCCGCCTGCGCCCCGCCCGCCAGGCCCGTGACGGTGTCGCAGCAGAGCGTGCACACGTCGCTCGACACCGCCGCCAGCCCGACGCGCAGCGCCGCCACCACCATGCCGTACTCCTCGATCGGCAGCGAGGACAGCTGGAGCAGATTGTTTTTTAATAGCAACAGGGGCAAACGTATTTTATTATGGTGAGGAATAAATGATAATTATGATTATTTAAAAAAAATTGAGAGGTATCTAGTTTGTTAATTAGTGGAGGAATTGTAATAAAATTTTATTTTTTTCAAGTTATAATAATATTTTTTTATTATTAACAAATATAATGTAATATAAACTTAATCAATACTAATAATAATAATTCAATACTAATACTAATAATTCAATTAATAAATAATCGTCGCGACACCACACTGTTCAATGCGAAATAAAAATGAAAATATCTGGCTTGCTTTCTATAAGAGAGAGAGAGACAGACAGAGAAACATGCGCACGCCGCACAGCTTACAATAGCTTACTATAGCAAAAAGTGTCGTTACAACTTTTCGTGAGAATTTTTTCCGTCTAGCCCCCTTTCACAACGCGCGATAAGGAACTTCGTTCCAAAAAAAAAAAACAGAAAAAAAAGAGCGGAGACTCGCCTGATGGTAAATGATCGCCGCCCATGAAAATGTGCAACACCGCAGCGCTTACGAATGCGTCGCCGGCCTTTTAAAGGATAACGAACGCTCAATATCAACCTGTTGTCGTCCAAAGTACGCCAACTATCCTGGTCCTGGGCAGCCCGCATCCATCCGCCGCCCGCCCACCTTTCTTAAGCCGTCAGTCCATCGTGCTGCAGGCCGTCCCGCGCTACACACTACTACTAGTCACCGACATTGCGCGCATAACTAGTATCGATGGTCGCTAGAGCCGACACGTGTGAGAGACACCACGGTTAGGAAAACGAGCGCTCACTCATTGCAAATGTGTGTTGAAATTTGGAGAAAAAACGGACGGACAAACTTACAAAACCGCGGTAGGGCCGCGCACTAATTTGAAATGTGCGTAATTGCGGTGGGAGCATGCGACGGTCTTGTCTTTTGCACGAACAGGCACGTGCGTCCGTGTGAGTACCGCGACGTTGTACAAAATCGTCGTTAAGTAGACGTGCCATACTTCTACGGTTCGTCTGATGAGGGCAATCCTACGGGAGTTGCAAATGCCAATGGGCGGCGCTTAGCACTTAACATCAGGCGATCCGCCTGTTCGGTTGTCACTTTCTCACATAAAAAAATATGGATAAGAAGGCTATGACATCTAGGATGTTATATATATATATGACGCATTCGTAGCCACACGATAATACACATTTTTAATTTGAATAAAAGTAAATCAAGAAAATATGAAATCGGCTAGGCTAATCGAACTTTACCGTGGATATGAAAACTCCGATTCTATAGATAATTGTTATCGAATATCGAGGTAAAGAAAAATTATCGATATTTTTTTTTAATTTAATATTTTTTCTTAAGGAGTTAATATAACGAGTATCTAAACATTTCAAGGATAAAATTAAAATGGTAAATAAAAATAAAAATTAAATGGTAAATGGATAAGATCTTGCGTATAAAGGAAAGTAATTGGTAAATCTATCAACTTCCACCAGTGCCTTGTGAACGAGTAATTTTTGTTGCGGAGAGTATAATAAATAAATCGTTTAAATTTTTATGCGACTTTATTTTAAAACAATATTAAATCACTGTTAGGCTGTTATTTGTTTTGGTGTATGAAATATAAGTTTCTCTAACTTTTACGTTATATTTTTTATTATTTTCATTTTCATTTTAATATTTTTTTTCTAGTATATCTACAAAAAAATGTTACTCAAAACAATCAATTGATTCATTCAATGTACTTATGCGGTTGTAATTAATGATAGTATTAGTTATTGTCATCGCCAACAACCACGCCGCACGCATGCAGGCCCGTGAGGTAGCGATCCTCGTGCCACTGAGTGCCCTTCTATTAGTACCTATAGAGGTCTTTGTACAAACGTAGCGTACTTGGACCGGGCTGAAATGACGACGGGGGAGTGACGTCATCTAACGCACATTTTCGGCTGTTTCGAGGGCACGCGACCCGGTCAGAAATGACGGAGGAGGCATGACGTCATCTATCGCACATTTTCGGCCGTCTCCAGGGCACATGAACCGGACTGAAATGACGACGGAGGCGTGACGCCATCTGGCGCACATTTCCGGCTGTGTCGAGGGCATGCGACCCGGTCAGAAATGACGGAGGAGGCATGACGTCATCTATCGCACATTGCCGAGGGCACGCGGGCCGCGCCGAGACGGCGACGGGCGTGACGTCACCGAGCGCACCTTCTCGGCCGCCTCGAGGTCCCTGAGCAGGCGGAAGGCGCGCTGCGCGAGCACGGGCGCCGCGAGCAGCGCGGGCGACACCAGCGGCAGCAGCAGCCGCAGCCCGCGCGCGCACGCGCCGCGCCCCGCCTCGCCGCGCGCCGCCCACCGCACCAGCTCCATCAGCGCGGTGAGGTCCTGCGCGGGGTTGTTCGGCGGTGAGGAAACGGCGCCGGCGGTTGTTGGGCGGTGAGGAAACCGCGTGAACGGTGATTAGACGGTGAGGAAACTGTTTTGGCTGTTATTGGGCGGGTAAGTAGCGACGGTAGACTCATTTGGAGTGATGAAAAGCGACGGGATGGGAAAGGTAAAATGTATACGGGATCAACGAACCTCGAATGCCTCCTCTTCGGCATCTTGCGGAATGCTGGATATCTTTCCAGAGTTCCATCTCGCGTAAACTTCGAATGTAGCGTTGCAAATTTCCACGATCCTGTAAGACATTACTGTTTAATATCCTAATAGTTTTTATCCATATACAGCGAGTTACCATCGCGACAATAAATGAACACACATCTAACGCTACTTGCCAATATTCATAAAAAAAATATAACGTTAAACAAAATACATAATTAAAAAAAAAAATATTTTTCAAACAAAACTAATTAAGTAAAAAAGAAACAAACTTTGTAACATCCTATACAACTCGCGCCACAGCGTCGTATTATAAGCCTCTCCTTCTAACAGTATGTTTTGTCTCTTTTAAATTCATTCAACCCATTCATATGCTTTGTGACCTTTACAAATGAACTTTACGTTACGCTTTTATAGGTAAGGGTGTTCTAAAATTCTTTGTTTAAGAAAATTTCATAACTCTGTAAATATCGATGTTTAAAGAATGTAAATTTTTGATACAATTTTAAAAATTTATCCTCTATATGTGTGTTCATTTATTGTAACGACACGCTGTACATCAATCAGCCCATGGGACAATAATTGATCTCACCCGTCACCTTATGCCAGAAATTTCAATTATTACCGTAGGGCATGCACACTTGGGAGATGGGGGTCAACTTTACTTTTGTTGACCATGCGTGCAGCAATAACATACAAACTTTACTTAAGATAATACCAACTACAAAAAAAGAAATGTATAAAAACCGGATATAGTAAGTGAATTCTTCATTTTTGACAAAATTTTGAAACAATTAATCTTAGAATAATTAAGTCATTTTAATTTCGATATTCACTAAATGTTAAAAACCCTTCAAAATTATTTAGAGGTCGGAGGAGTTCACAAACATCATAATTTTGCATATACAATGAGAAGGAGGCGATCTAAAACATAGAATGTTTGCTTCTATAACACTAGAAGGCCCTTTACGAATATGCAACATTCTCGTGAACAAAAGAAATCGTAACGGAAAGGAAACTAACTTGTTGACGGTCTCCTGCTGACCCGTGGGCATCGCGGTTTTAGCGCTCCTCGAGAGCAGCTTCAGCGCCGGAACAACCACTACCGGGTAGTTGTGGTATTTGAATATAATGCCCGGCACCTTCTCCAGGGTATTGAGCAGCATCGTCAGCTGCTCGTCCATCGGGCCGAACTGAAATCGAATAAAGAAATATTGCTTTCAAACTTATTAGGCGGCGATGCGATAATTGGGCTAGAGTCGACGGCGCGTCACGTTTACACACAGCTAGTTACGCGAGAGGGATGTAGTAGAGAAAGGGATAGAAAGCTTTTCCTATTCATACGCACGCCATTTACACGTAGAACTACGATGAACGGGATTGAGTGAGGTAGCTGGGGCCCACTTTATTAAAAGGTGTTGAACGAAAACGATTGTTGCAAATGTAATGAGCGGCAGTTATATATATAACATCAGATGAACCGCCTGCTCGCTTGCCACCTTCTCACATAAAAAACCTTAAAATCAAGCTTAAAACTTAGAGTATTTAGTAATATCTGGCAGACGAATTTAATTATAACTTAATTCAAAAGCTGGCTGAAGTATAACTGAAATATTGAAATATTGACTAACAATCGGGTTTACTTTTCGCTCAATAACTGTCTCAGCTCGCAAAGACTAGCTCGTGAAGACTAGCTCGCGCAGCTTAAAACCTGTATCAGGATTAGCTTAAGCTGTTGGTTTAAAGTTTGATTGAAGTACTTAAGTACGGTTTAACTGTCTCATACCTCGATGATGCCCTCGGCTACTCCTAGGAAACAGTCGAGTGTGTCGGCGAGCATGTTCCTCACGGGCTCAGTGTCCTGGTCCAGGTTTAGAATGTTCATCAGGTTCTGGTGTAACGCCGCCATGCTGGTCAGAAGGCGGTTCTTTGCTTCCCCTTAAAAAATATCAGAATTCAATCAAAAACTGCAACATATCTAAAATCATAAAAATTCATAATAAAGACAACATCGCAGGAAAATCGTTGGCCAGATTGTATCAGGGCATAGTTCATTACGCGGCCCCACTGCGGATTGGCGGACTTCACAAAATTCGATAAATATTTTTTTGTTATTATTTCAAAAATATACAGGTTTCCTTACGATGTTCTCCTTCACCGCTGAGCACGTGATAAGTCAGCACTTAAAATTAACAATTTCATTGGTGCTAGCACCCGGGGATCGAACTCAGGTTGCTCGAGTAAATTGAATAAAACGCGAGCGTCCGGACACTGAGCTATGACGACCGGCCAAAAAAAGTATAACTTCAATAAAAAAAAACCGTTAAAGTGCGAGTCGAACTCGTAAGGTATAATGGGCAGTAGGAGGGGACCATTATACCGCCATAATAAGATTGATAAATAATCACCAGCGATTTTCTCAAGAACGGGTGGACCTAGCTAGTTGAAATTTATACCAAATACCGAGGTATCTATCTTTATCTAATATACTATCTAATATACTATCCTATCTAATATAACTCCTCCGAAACGTATTGACCGATTTAGATGAAATTATAGTATATTCGGTAGGTATAAGAATAGGTTTATAATTTCTTTTTTATTTTTTTCTACCCTACAAATAATTTTATGGCAAAACATCATCAACATCAACATATTGCCGGGTCATCTAGTTAGGTGTATAAAAATCAAGGTCTTCAGTAAACATGATACAAAGCTATGGGCAAATTCAGATTTGCGCGAAAACTTGTATTTACCTTCATTTTCAACTATTTCATTTTTCTCAATTTTCCTTTATTTCTGCTGTAAGATCTTGCCTTTTGGCAAATTTTGTGATTCTAGGTCAACAGGAGACAGGTTTTCGACACAAAACCTATGAGGTACATCCAGGTTGGTCTAAAATTGTCAATTTAGGTTGACCATAACTTTTATACGCCTAGGGACTGACTATAGACCTCAGTATCTGGAATAAATTTAAACTTCCTATGTCCACCCGTTTCCGGACGGACAGACAAGAGAGTGATCTTATAGGGTTCCTTCTTTTATCTTTTAAGGTACGGAACCCTAAAGAATGGGAAACACGTGCGTGTCCATCTTTATCACAATATTTACCGTCAGTGAGGAAAACCACGCGCGCGAACACCCTGTGCAGCTCCCTCCTCAGCTCCCCGGGCAGGTTGCTGCCCGAGGCCTCCCACGTGATCAGGTCCATGAACTCCTGGCAGCCGGCGAGGTGGTTCTTGCTGTCGACACAATGGGCCACGTCAGCTGGGCAAACTGCTTGGCAAAGGCAATGTATTGAAGGAGAATATCGTGACAGTTGCCTGTAACCATACAGGCAGGATGGACTTGTCTAATAGGTAATAGGTTTAAGCGTATAAAGAGGTTTGTAAGCGTCGTCGAAAGTGGGAATCGTGAGAGAAGTATAAATGAATGTATTAATTCATTTTTGATATTCTTTTTGTTTATGTTAAGCTTTAGTACGTAGCCTGAGCTTAAATGAGTGAAGAGGGTGAAAGATGGATGAAACCTTTCAAAGGTCAACCACCCCGGGATGGTCAAGCCCGTTAAAGGTCAACCACCCCGCTGCGACATAGTACGGTGGAGCTGAATTGTGGTGGGGGAAACATCCGATGTACCTACTTCGTGTAGACGTTGACGTGGGCGAGTAGTCAGCCTGCAGATGCAGCGCATGCCTATCGGAGGGTGGAAGATGGATAAAGCTCATTAAAGGTCAACCACCCCGGGATGCACACGCCCGTTAAAGGTCAACGACCCCGCTCTGATATAGGACGGTGGAACTGTGGTGGGGGAAACATCGTGCACCCACTTGGGGTAGACGTTGGCGGTGCGCGCGAGCAGTTGCAGCGCGTGCCTAGCGGCGACCGGCTGCGCGCCGAGCCGCCGCAGCACCACGCCGCACCGCCTCGCCAGGCGGCGCACCGCCCACGCGGACCCGTCCCACTCGCGCCGGAACGCGCACTCCACCACCGACGAAGTCTGCGGTCGGAGCGTACACTCATTTGTCGAAACGTACACTCATTGCACACCACACCTCTTGTTAGAGTTTGTAGAGGGAATGCACGTCTTCCGGATTCTCCCCCAGATGTTTTAACGACTTAGCCGATTGCCACACCGGCAAAAATCAAAATCCTTTATACATCGCCGTAAGGAAAATACATTTCATTTATCGATAGTCTTTTTTTTAATCTCCCGCCGTTTCGTAATGCGGTTCCTCTGACAGAGAAGAAACAGGCGAAAGACACTCCGTAGATATCCTCTTTTTTGTTATTGTTTTTTCTTAACAAAATGGAAAATATTATACAACTGTTTTTTCTTTTAGAAATAGCTTGGTAGCGATCAACTAATTCCCAGGGGTTATTGTCATTAATGTGTTCATTTATATTATAATAAACCTTTTTATAAAATTTTTCTTTTATTTCGTAAAACTGTTGGTATGCAGGCTTTGCGCATTTACTGGGATTTTGTTGAAGAAGCGTATACACCGCCTCACGACGTATTGCATCTGAGAGCGAATCCGGAAGACGGTTCCCGAAACTTTACGTGCATTTTTTCTACAAATGTAAGGTTTCATATTAAGTCCAGAGATTAGCACTATAAAAACTGAAATGTACATCATTTGTATCATAATATCTTTTTGAAGATAAAAGTTACATAGTATATATGTATAGTTGCGCCAAACACTTTATTTTATGGGTGCACCGTAATCTGGTTTTACCTACCGTCAAAGTAATAATGTATTTCTGTGTCATATATCGCCGTATTACCATTATACTGTGTGAAATGAAGTCAGTCCACATTAATGCCTAACTACACTCCTCCTGATTGCCGAGACTCCCAGGGGAATCCAATTTCCACATTCTATTTTCGATCTCGATCTTCGATAACCATTTTTTTTACTAACGGAAAACAAAACCGATTTCAAATATCTCGCTCTGTATTCATTTTATAATTGATTTTCAGAAGTTCCCTAAATATCTCCGGAACCCAAGATCCAATACCAATGAAATTAATATGGGACCACATGGGAAGCACCAGCTTTCAAATAAAAAAGAATCATCAAAATCGGTTCACTCAGTGAAAAGTTCTGAAGTAACAAATATTAAAAAAAAACAGTCGAATTGAGAACTTCCTTTTGAAAATTGCAAATATTGTCTTGACTTACGGCGGGTTTCAATATTTTATCTACAGATAGATTTGGTCACTAGCGATAGGTATTTGACTTTAGTTCCGTAATAGTTACGTCAAAATTCTATCTCCAGTAACCAAATCTATCTGTAGATTGAATATTGAAACCGTTAATAAACTATTTTGTTTTATTTGTAATCTCTGATGTGAGTCGATAGAAAAATATTCGGTTACACGGATAGTCTGTTTAACAAGTTCAAAATTGGGGGAAAATAGTGATAAATGTTTTAAAAATATGTTCGATATCTCACAACGTATATTTTTAGGGCTTTTATCACTATTTTATACATTTTGAACGTGTCAAACCAAACGTGTTGATTGCTTGTTTGGACTCATTGCCCCCGGGAGCTAGTTACACGTAGGTGTCGACTCTTTTATATTTAACACTGTTTACATATTTGTATATTATTTTATACACATTTTGTAACATTTTTCATTCTTTAGCTGCTTTGAAGCCAACTGAGACGCTGAAGCGATGAAAAATATATGGAAGTAGGTAGTTAAGTTAATTATGACTTCGTAGGTATGCACTTAAACTCTTTAAATAAATATTAGTAATTTATTAAATTGTTGAGTAATATATGAATATCGATTGGAAATACATTCTGTTATTTAAACATTTTTCATCTTTACATTAGTGGTAGTGGTAGACTTATTTTATATGAAGGTTAAATAATTTAGTATCAATTTATCGAAAAAAATGTTGGGAAATAACATCGAGCGCAGTTGAAATCATCCGATAATAATCGAACGATATGACAACATCAAAATTATCCAATAGATACCCTTATTGATGAAATCATTACGAAACGATAACGCGACAACAGAAATGACTTGGCAACCGCGAGTCTGAGTCTAAGATATCACGGGTTGTATCTGTGGTTGCAACTCGACCGGTTGTGTTTGACCGCAAAAGGATATTAAGAGCGTGAACTACAAACAAGGAATTTGCTCGACGATGATACCGTTTCATATCGCCAACGTAGAAAAAAAAATAACAAATTGCTCTGGCCGATTACCATTATCACCATTCGAGCTCTAAAAGTTATTAAAAAAAATATTAATAAAAAAAGAGCGGTGCGAACATTTGTACAGAATCCTCGCTTTCTAGTTGTTCTCGAGTGATCTCGGACGCAGCTTCGCCAATATCATTATGCAACATGGTACTGTCGGAATCAAAATGGTAATGTCATAAAAATCGTATGGAAATATAAAAAAAATTATAAAGTAAAAAAATTTACTTTACATATACAGCGTGTCGTTACCACCGCGACAATAAATGAACACACATATAGAGGATGACTTTTTAAAATTGTATTAAACATTTACATTCTTTAAACATCAATATTTACTGAGTTATTAAATTTTCCAAAACAAACAATTTTAGAACACCCCTTACGTATAAAAGTGTAACGTAAACTTCATTTGTAAAGGTCACAAAGCATATGAATGGGTTGAATGAATTTAAAAGAGACAAAACATACTGTTAGAAGGAGAGGCTTGTAATGCGACACTGTGGCGCGACTTGTATAGGATGTTACAAATTTTGTTTCTTTTTTACTTAATTAGTTTGTTTGAAAAATATTTTTAATTAATTATGGATTTTGTTTAACGTTAATATTTTTATGATTATTGGCAAGTCGCGATGGTAACGACACGCTGTATATGAAAATGTCACCCACCTCAGTAGAAGGTGGGTCAACTATTAGATACGTGTTGGCCCACATCTTCAGCGACCAAGAGATGGTCGCGGAAAGTTCTGGACTGAATACTCCCCCGAGACCCGCCTCCAATGCGGCGCACTCCCATTCGCTTATGCGGAACACCGCACCGACTAATCTGAGAAAATATTTCTGATGAACCAGCTGAAGCCGGCGACGCTTCGCTGTGGCTTTTTAAGGTTCCGTACCAAACGAAGGGTAAAACGGGACCCTATTACTAAGAATCCGCTGAGTGTCTGTCTGTCTGTCTGTCTGCCCGTCTGTCTCCAGGCTGTATCTCATGAACCGTGATGTAAGACAATTGAAATTTTCACATAATATGATGTATTTATGTTGCCGCTATAATAAAAAAGAGAATAAAATAACTATTTAAGGAAGCTCTCATACATGAGAATTGATTTTTTCCGCTTCTATAGATAATATTACGGAACCCTTTGTGTGAGTCCGAATTGTACGTGGCCGGTTTATTTTTCATTTTCCGTTGGATCTTCGGAATACAGAGTACACTTACGAGGTATTAGGGCATAATTCACCACGTGAGCTCTGCCGATTGGCGGACTCCACATATCTTGATATATTGTATCTTTCGTTATTATTTCGAAATGAGCGGGATTTTTCACGTCGTTTTCCTTCAACACTGAGTACTTGATAAGTCAGCACTTAAAATTAACAACCGAGAATAAAGGAGTATATGGAATTAAAAGCGAACGCCCGATACGGAATCTAAATTATTATCTATAAAGATTTTATATTTGAAGTAGGGCTTTTAAGCTGTTACAGAAAACTAGTCATGAGGAAAGTACCAAAACCTTGTAAATACCGGTACGAAGTAGTTGTTATACGATTTACGTTTCGTCTGGTGAGCGATGTAGGTAACCAAGGCTCATAAAACTTGGCAACGCAACACTAGTGGATGTCGCTCGTGTGTTCTGTTTGCAAGAATAACCACCCAACTTATGTAAACAGATAAAAAGTATTATACAAATACACAAATAATAATGTTAAGACAAAATATGCGATATTGCGTCCTTGAGAAATAAAACAAATCGATTGAAAAATTTAGAATAAAGTCAATTTCGAATTTCCCAAACCCTAGGTTGATTTATAAAAAAAAAGTGTGCGTGCAGTGCAACAAGATAAAATCTTTTAAAAAATTTTATTCTACGTTTGTAGAAAAAACGACACTAACAATAGAATGAAGTATTTATAAAATAGTATTTAATACATTGAAAGTTTTATTCTTACGCATTATCTAGTTAAACAAAGTGTATTTAATATCACAAAATAAATATCGTGAATACAGTTGTCAGTTCTCACGCAAACATACCTAGATGTCTAGCTAACTTCAGGGTGTCGGTTTTTCGTGACTGTGTGCGCGCGCATCGTAAACATTTACTCTCATCATTTTTCCCTCACGCGCCAAAAGAATAACTTAAATAAAAAGTTTTGGAAGGAATCAACTAAAATATTTATTGAACAAAAAACATTTATAACAGTGTTTAAATTGCATGTTATCTAACATGCAATTCTATGTTATCTAAATGCGTTTCCTCGCTGAATAGTTATTTAGTTATGCTTAACTTTTTATCGATGAAAGTACCTGCTCTCTTGTCACAAACCGCAGCTATGGGGCCGTCTTATAATCACGTGATGTTTTTTAGCATTATTTAACCCCCTCCTCCCCCTCTGGTTATACGAGGTGAGGTTGAGGACTACCCCCCACCCCCCACCCAAATTCACGTGTATTTTTAGTTCAAAGAATCTTAACATTTTTAGAATATTACCGTTAAATACAGGTTTAGAGTATAATCTAATTTTATTCTGAAATTAAGGACCATGATAAAAATGTAACGGCGAGTCAAGGTCACGTGATATCTTACCATACCTAACCCTCCCCCCTATCCCCTGGTCATATTTCTTTAATTTTGCCAAACAATTGCATATAAATAGGTTAAGGTGTTAATTATTCTTTCTAACTATGTTGTAACTATGTACTGTATGTTTACAATTATTATGGTGTCAAAAATATATGTTAAAAATGTTGTCTACTGAGAATCTTTCAGTCAATTGTATAAGGTACTATTTGTCTGATAATTCTTACAAAAATAGTTTAAGACGGTATGGAATTATACATTTCGTAATATGTACAATCAAAACAAGTCAATATATCGTAAGCAGTCACTAAGAACAAATCCAACAAAACGTGTAGTTTTTACAATGTTGTCGAGATTGATGATAACAAATAGATTTAAATTGGTAATTTTGCCAAGGAAAAAAACTGGCGATCTAAAGAAATCGATAAGAATGGCCTCAAACTTATTTAAATATTGAGATAATGTATCACGCGTTCGTTCCCGACCAATAGGAGTTGATGTTATTTCATTTCAACATGAGGTTTTATTTTACTTTTTTTCTCCTAGAAAAATATACAAGATAATAAAAAATTTTCAAAGTACATAATTATTATAACGATAGCAAAATGATATTTAATTTTTGAAATAAGTTTTTTTTAATGTTATGAAAACGTTGGTTTTCGCATGCTGCATCCGGCAATATGTGCGCTATTGTAATAGTTTAGACACCACTATATGTACCAGTCCAGTGTTATTGTCCAAATACCGTCAAAGACAACACATTGAAAAAATTAATTAATATTTGAGATAATATTTATTTTTGCTCCCACTCGGCCTACAAAACCTCCATCAAAACGTGTATACTTTTCCTCTCGTATCATTTGCCGTAATTTCACTACCACGTGTAACGTATTGCCTTCAGAATAACCTCGAACAAATTATCATAACAATGGACGCTGAGAAATCAAATGAATACATGGATGGAAATGATACAAGAACGGATTTTAGGATTCCGCAGGCGACAAATTCTGTATAAAAACCTTTCAATTCATAAATTAGAATTATTTCTTTAGTGCCCAATTTCCATTGTTATTGTATTAAGTATTTAAATAGTCTACAAAATTCAAAGTGAAATGACTTAACTGTAATTGTGTAATAATGAAGTGGCTTAATTGCAATGCAACTGTCCTAACGCGCATTTACACTGATCTTTTGTCAAGCTATTTAGATTGGCTAAGAGCGACCAACAACAATGTCAAGTGTTAAGTGCTTTCAGTTATTATATTCAGTGTATCAGTCATTAAATTCGTAGTAAGATAGATTATAGCGTAGTAAAATAAGAAAGGACCACGGAAGCTAAGAGGTCTACAAAAATCCTTGCAATTTGTTTTGCTGAGTGTTAACACGAATGAATTAAATATAAATCTAGTGAGATACTAAACTATACAACTACATCGAACATAAGATGTCTCCCTAAAATCCTCTACTGTGGTAGGACCACGCGGCGGTCTTTGCACCTCACAGAAGACCGGCGTGAAATGGACGCCTGTCACATAATTCCGCGTTACGTCTAGTGACTCAGGTAGCCGGGGCCCACTTTATTAATAAGGTGGCAGCATCTGCAACCCTTCGGGTGTTGCAAATGTCCATGGGCGGCGGCTATCACTTACATCAGGTGAACCGCCCACTTGCACATTTCTCACTTGCGACCTTCTGATATAAAAACCATCGCACGAAGGGTTCCATTATCTATAAAAACGGGAAAAAATCATGTCTACTGTATATTAGCCCTCTTTGTTGTTATAGTGGCAACAGAAATACATCAACTGTCTAACTATCACGGTTCATGAGATACAGCCTGGTGACAGACGGACAGTCAGACAGACAGCGGAGTCTTAGTAATAGGGTCCCGTTTTAACCTTTTGGGTACGGAACCCTAAAAACTTATTTCTTTGCCAACACAGCAATAGTGTGCAGCATCCTGTACATTGTGTAAGTATTATATGAATAAATCAACTGAAGGTGTACTCAACAATGTAACATAATATCGAAGGCGACATCTCTAGTTTTCAAATCATCATTGAAAAAATGTAAATTGAAAAACCCGTGCTTTAGATAACGCCAAGCATTGCTGAAAATGCAATAAAACAAATCAGTTAAGACGTCGAGATTTTCGCGCGGTGAGGATGTCAACCGCTTGGCTTAGTGGCTCGCGAAGACGCAGGTTCGAATCCTGACTGTAAAGCGTCAATAATCACGGGACAGACTAAGGCGTTGGACGCCTTAATGCTTAATGCTTATAATGCTTAACGCACAGTTAACCTGTGCTACCGCCAAATAATTACTTGCGTTCGATCTACGTGAATTAAAACTAAAAATAAACCCGATAAATCCGTAAACATAGGTTTTATTTAGTTACGCTGAATTTTTAGCCGCTGTCAGGATTAATACGTAATGCATAATCGCGTAAACGCAAGAAATTAATTCTGCGAAAGATTTTATGTTGCGCAATACGTACTTGAGTATGGGATCCACGTTCTCCGTGTCGGTCGACTCGCCGACCAAGTAACGGAGGGAGGAGTCGATGTTGGCATTCTCTCGGAGGCTGTACTGCAGCAGCTCCGTCGGTATCCGCAGCGAGCTCGTCGAGCAGTCCACTGCTAGGAAATGACCTGATCGAACATCGAAATACATCGAAATTAGTTTCGAGTTCGACTTGCGTCTGTCCTGAGAACTATTTGAGCAGTCCGTGACTAGAAAATTATATTTCGAACATCGAAATATATCGCAATACATCGAAATTAGTTTCGAGTTCGACTTGCGTCTGTCCTGAGAACTATTTGAGCAGTCCGTGACTAGAAAATTATATTTCGAACATCGAAATATATCGCAATACATCGAAATTAGTTTCGAGATCGACTTGCGTCTGTCCTAATAACTATTTGAGCAGTCCATGACTAGAAAATGACCTTATCGAACATTGAAATATATCGAAATTAGTTTCGAGTTCGACTTGCGTCTGTCCTAATAACTATTTGAGCAGTCCATGACTAGAAAATGACCTTATCGAACATTGAAATATATCGAAATTAGTTTCGAGTTCGACTTGCGTCTGTCCTGAGAACTATTTGAGCAGTCCGTGACTAGGAAATTATATTTCGAATATCGAAATATATCGCAATACATCGCAATTAGTTTCGAGTTCGACTTGCGTCTGTCCTGAGAACTATTTGAGCAGTCCGCGACTAGGAAATTATATGTCGAATCGAAATATATCGCAATACATCGAAATTAGTTTCGAGATCGACTTGCGTCTGTCCTAATAACTATTTGAGCAGTCCATGACTAGAAAATGACCTTATCGAACATTGAAATATATCGAAATTAGTTTCGAGTTCGACTTGCGTCTGTCCTGAGAACTATTTGAGCAGTCCGTGACTAGGAAATTATATTTCGAATATCGAAATATATCGCAATACATCGCAATTAGTTTCGAGTTCGACTTGCGTCTGTCCTGAGAACTATTTGAGCAGTCCGCGACTAGGAAATTATATGTCGAACATCGAAATATATCGCAATACATCGAAATTAGTTTCGAGATCGACTTGCGTCTGTCCTGAGAACTATTTGAGCAGTCCATGACTAGAAAATGACCTTATCGAACATTGAAATATATCGAAATTAGTTTCGAGTTCGACTTGCGTCTGTCCTGAGAACTATTTGAGCAGTCCGTGACTAGGAAATTATATTTCGAATATCGAAATATCGCAATACATCGCAATTAGTTTCGAGTTCGACTTGCGTCTGTCCTGAGAACTATTTGAGCAGTCCGCGACTAGGAAATTATATGTCGAACATCGAAATATATCGCAATACATCGAAATTAGTTTCGAGATCGACTTGCGTCTGTCCTAATAACTATTTGAGCAGTCCATGACTAGAAAATGACCTTATCGAACATTGAAATATATCGAAATTAGTTTCGAGTTCGACTTGCGTCTATCCTAAGAACCATTTGAGCAGTCCGTGACTAAAAAATGACAATATCGAACATCGAAATATATCGAAATTAGATTCGAGTACGACTTGCGTCTGTCCTAAGAACTAAGGTTCCATATTCTTTGAAGCTAACCATATATCATATTACTTAAAAATTTAGAGTCTATTTTGAGATCAATCAATTAAACGCGAATTTTATAATTAAGGTTAGACATGCATTCAGACTGTCTCAATAGCTCTTCAAAAAGCTGTCACGTGCTACCTAGTAGACTGTGATGTTAAAGTTTTGACGAGCTAAACTCTAAATTATGTAATATTCTAAAAATGGACAAACACGTACGAGCACAATTTCGATTCCAAGTTTACGGTTGACCACCACCGTAAGAGAATAATATTGTTGTAATTAATTCATTAATACATGATGAGAAAACTATGTAACCATTTTTAAGAAGATCGTGTGCACACGCTGTGAGTTTTGTTTTTGGCGTAGTTAATGTTTGTATTGAGAATTGCACCAAGTTAAAAATAATACAAAATACGTACAGACATAAATTAATTGTTTACACTCATACTTTCAATGCCAAAGACATAATAATCTCATTTCAAGCGGATAAAGATTGTCACCGAAGAATTTTAAAATGTTATTTTAAAAGCTGATAGCTTTGAAAAACTTTGTTTAACTAATAACTAAAATAGCTCTCGTTGTTCGAAATGGAATATATGTATATAATATTCTGTGCATGTTACTCACCGATGATCATCAGAATCCAGTGTAAGTCCTCAAACAGTGGGACCAACTGATCGGTACTGTTCACCGGTAGCTTCCCCATGTGGACCAATTGCAAATGACTCTCTAATCTGTACACATATTTTTTACAATTACATTCTAATGACAAAAATTCTGACACTTTAAATAATATGTGATTAATGTGTGATTCTTTTCAATGTGACTATAATAACATATTGCCTATGAGAGAGAGAGACATGCAAGAGATCGCTATGTAGCGATAAGGCCGCCAAATTATACATTACATAATTTGTTGTCTATTGTCACTTTTATGTAAACTTTCATTTGTGGTCGACAATAAAAGTGTGTTCATTCCTTCATTCATTCATTGTGAAATTATATAAGTAACAGTTCATGTTGAAAAGAATAATTAATATTATAAGAAATTATATAAAGAATTCTTTACGTATTTAATTTTGTTACTAAGACTGTTTTTCTAATTGATCCCATCAAATCAATCAATGTGGATTTAATCATTGTAAATAGTTACGGGATACTAGAGGGTATCTATTTTTGTGTGAATGTACACCCAATTTTCATTCTCTATAAACTTTTTTATGAAAAAATGTCACGTAGTTGAATAAGTATCGGCCTACTACCCGCGAAGTTGCTAAGCGCATTAAACATTATTTTCAATTTGCACTTTATCAAAAAATCCATTTCTTTGAAAAAATGTCACCACGATTCCGATTTACCCTTGACTTGAAGGGCCGCTTCCTTAAATCTTTAGAATTACCGGCGGTTTAAATCATCTGTTCTATTGCATCCTTTTTCAATTTAAAAAACAAAACAAAAAAGTACGAGTTTACTTATGTACACCCGTGATAAGTTATTTAGCGTAACAAAAGCAAATAACTAAAAATTTCATGCCCAAATAATACTGGCACACAGCACTTTGTTTGTGACAAAAGACATCTAATGCAATCGATATTTTTTAATCATACAACTTTATTTGTATTTGTTATGGCTAAATGTCGAAAAGTAGTCATTTGTTGCAACGGTAATACCGCGAAGTTGGTCGCTCTGCAACCAACCACATTTTCGGCCGTCGGTGCGCGCGCGCATCGTTAAATTCACCAAACGCGCCAAAAGAACAATAACCTTAAAAAAAAAATGTTTTCTGTTTTCAATTTTTTTAAACTGTAGGCATCGTGAAAATTTTACTCTCATAATTCTACAAACGCGCCAACAGCCTATAACCATATTTTTTTTTAAGTTGCAGTCGCGTTCTCACCTCTTGCTCCTGTCGTGTAGCAGCGTGAAGAGCACGTGGCAGCAGTGGGCAGGCGCCCGCCTCGCCATCGCGCCTATCGTCATCAGCACGTCGCCGTGGAGCTGCCGCTCGTCCTCCTCCGTCTCCTCCCTCACCTCGTCGCCGCAGCCGTCCCTCGCCTCCAGGCCCCTTCGGCGGCATCAAGGATTTTTGTTGATTCACAAAGGTGCTAGGTCCACGAAATAGTTTTCGCTGTTGCACGAATGATTAGGTCCGTTTTTCGCTGTTGCACGAATGGGCAGATCCGTTCTTCGCTGTTGCACGAATGGGCACGTCCGTCCGACCTCAGAAGACCGGCGTGAAGTGGTTTTGCACTATAGCACTGCGTCTGGTGAGTGAAGTTACCAGGCCAATCTTTTGGTGGTTGTCAATGCGTTCGCAACCCGAAAGGTGTTATAAATGTTCAAAGCCAGCGGTGATACTTATTATCGAGTGAAACGCCCAGGCGAAATTTTTCACATAAAAAAATGTATTCTATTCCCCTATCGCCCCGTGTTATTACATCTACGACCCCCGTTGTCATGGTGTTGTAATGTCATTGCGTCATGATGCTAGACGATTTGAAATTTAAAATGCTTTCTTTTTTTTTTTTAATTAAAATCCTTCTAACTAGACTCTGGTACTACGACGGATGAGTCTGAGAAGCAACGTTGCCACGAAAACTGGCGCGAAATCGGTCGCGTGTTCAAAATCGAATTGGAAACGATAAAAAACGCCTACATACTTTTAGCCCCGACGGTCTAACCGTGAGAGATAGCAAATGCTATTAGCGTTTCACACGGCCAGTTTCTTAAACGTGGCGTTGATTATCGGCATTGACCATTGCAACTGCAAAGTAGCTAGTATATGCACACACAGTCAGGAATTGAATAACTTGAATCGCCTATATATACATTTATATAGGCGACTCAAGTTATTAGGCTAGGAAATTTCCCCTCTATACAGAGGTTAGTAGAGCACAGTCCACCGAAAGACTCTAGTTCGTGGCAGAATTCACACATCTTTGAAACATTTTCTTCATAAATATGCAGATTTCATCACGATTGTTGCCGACTAGTAATTCGGTGAAGGAAAATATCGTGATAAACTGGCACTTTAGCAATAAAATCTTATTTTTTATTTATTGGTGCCAGCACTGGGATTTGAACTCTGTCTCGGTTGCGAATATATATTGAATTAAAAGGGAACGCCCGCACACTGAGCTATCACGGCTCTTGCGATCCTAAAAACGTAGCTTTACATAACATATTCATAATTAAATTTTATATTATTTGTTCTGTTAAGCTTAACGGTTAAAGCTCGATTCCGAAGGGGGGGTTTCGATTCCCGCAAAAGTGGAAATCTTTACGTCCATGTTTTCTTCAACTTTTAAGAACATATTCGTACTACGCGTGAATAAATACACAATCATCAATTATCCACATTATCTAAGTTAATAAGAAGTTAGTAAGATTCTATTTGGAAAATATACACAAACTTAATAGTGGCTACCTTGAAACGAATTAAGGTTTACCTTATACCATCCGGTGGAGCCAGTCTGCACTGTAGGTAGGTATTAAACACTTCTATGCAGGGATTTCGTAATGTATCCTCCGAATAACCGTCTACATCATGCACCAATGAACTCCAACTATGAAGGAATTTATTTAGTGCTTCTCTCAGAACTGTCTCCTCGTTAACCTAAAATGGACAAAAAGGTATTGGCTGGACTACTTTAGGATTACATTATCCTGTCATGTAAGGACGTTTCACAAACATAAATTTCACGTGGACAATCTGTGGGTCGCACAAATAGTTGTCCCGTGTGGGAATCGAACTCACAACCCCCGACGCCGAAGCCAATAACTTGGCAACTGCGCCATGGAGTCATCATATATGAATACTATAACATCTATAGTTTAGGGTTTAGGAAAACTTTATCCTGGAAGAATACTTTATTCCTGATGGGACATCTGGAGCATGAAAATTCAGTAGAAATCCACAAAATACAAACACAAAGACGCGAGCAACAGCTATACATAATAAAGTTCGCCATATCTTATGATCGTTACATCAAATGGAAAAAGAAAATTTTTAGGTTTTATTTTTAAAAAATCCGTATACATTGTCAGTGAATTACTGGTTAATGACAAAAAATCACATGGATTTCATACGAAACGTGACAAGAGATACCAATAAAAACCTGCAACAAAGCTCACAACAATAGAAAGCAAACATAATGCCCATACTTAAACTAGAACCTTAACATGAGTGATTAGCAATGGTAATGTTCATACTTACACCCTCCTCTATGATAGATCCTCTAATACAATGGCACGTATACGTTGTCAAAAACTGCAGGAAAGCCGGTGGGGTCGCCGCAATCATAGGCGGCGTGAAGAACTGTATCAGCCTACGATAAATCTCCGATATACCCAGCATCTCCCTCTCAGATGGCTGTATGAAAGACAACATGCGCAGAAAGTTGTTCACATAGTTCTCCAAATATTGCTGTTTCAAATTACTATCTGACACTATCACACCGCTCAGACTAGCCAATTGCACCATACAGGCCAACGAAGGTACAACCAGCTCTGGCTTACATCTGACATATACATGTAGCTCAAAGAACAGTGCTATTAGCTCCGGCTTCATTATAGTGTCGCGCCAATTTGCGCTAAGTCGCAATGCGGGAGCAGTTTCACTCTCGTATATGGCTTCAAACGCACCAATCAATCTTTTCGATAGCAGGGGGGACACGTGACTCCAGCACAAAACCGTTTCGACTATAGTTATCAACTGTTTGGTCAATTGCGCCTGATCTCCCTCAGGCATCCGCCCAGAACGAATTATATGCTCCAGAACTCCAACTGTGAAGCGAAATATCCGTTTCAGATTTAAAGTTTCGAATGATTTCTTCAAACGCAGATGCACTTCCCATATTAATCCGACATCTGCAGTTTTTACAGTGATCTCAAACTCCTGCATGATGGCCAATATTAAGGAGCAAGCAAGTTTCTGTTGACTGATTGATGAGGTCATAATTATTTTCTCCAATTCACCTAATAATGCCATTCTCTCTCGGCCACCATCATCAACACTTTCTCTTTTGATTATTATGGCAATGGTCTGAAAAGTAAATAAATTGTATCTGTCTGTTATATGATATTGACAAGTTAACATTATAAATTGGTTTACAATCACTATGTATGGGATATATCACTTGATTTTGGATATATTTGCTATAAAACAAGCAGCATATAGCCAAAAAGGCTTTCCTATCTTATACATCATTAAACTTATATTTATATATATATATATATATATATATATATATATTAGGTCTTGGTTATTATCGATTACACATACTTATTTCCAAACTTACAATAACAAATATTATAAAAATGTATTGTAAATACCTGCTCTGAATAAACTTTTTCTTCAGTGTTTAAACACATTCTTCATAATGAAAGCAGATTATAATGCTAAAAATCCATTTTTTATTACAAAATATAATCTTGAACTAACAATAGTAACTAATTAAAAAAAGCAATAAACCAAAAGCTAAAATTACAGAAATACATAGTATGTACCTGCAGCAATTTCTCCTTTAAAAATGGTGGGTTTTCTTTTCTCAGCAAATAATTTAACAAATATTCTCTTATTGAAGTAGTATCATCCTTAGAAAGCAAACTCCATTCTCTGATAAGCCCTGATTTTATCAGACCAGCAGCCTCAAATAAAACATATTCTGATGTAGATTTCTCAAGAATGTTCCGACATAATTCATAAGGATTCTTTGTTGTACGAAATTCCAAAAAAACACTTTCTGCCTGATGGCGTTGCTCTGATGTAACCAAATTTGGTGGCGCCTTCAACAAACAATGGTCATTAATCAGCTATTCTATAAATATTTCGGCAAGTTTTATTCAAATTTTCAATTATGCAGTAGTTTGGCTATTCCTAATTTATTCAAACTTGAGATAGGATTAAGTCATTGAATGAATCAAATTTATTACTATGCAATTATAAAGGAAATTTCATTTTTATAGAAGATATCGTTATTATAGAAAATATACATGCTATGAATCTTTACCGATATACCATAAAACAGTTTATTTTTCAGACTAAGAACTACTACATTTTTATAGGAATATCGTATTATAGAAAATATACATATGAAGTAGATATACCATATTTTTGTAAGAACTACTACACTTATGAGGAATATGTATATTAATACAGTAGAAGAACATAAATTAAAACTTAAACAAGGGTCATCATAATATTTGTATATATTGCAAGATTTCAATCACCAATATTTTGAAATATTGCTAAAATAACCTAACTAGCATCTCAATAATAACTATAACCCCAGGAAAGATTTATTAAAGGGAGAAGCTATGGATTATTATATTAACGAAAGTTTATAAAATACCATCAATATTTGAGCTGCGGCTTCCAAGGCTTGAATGGCACAGGCATTCATTTTGCCAAATATTAACTTTTATGAAGCCAAAGAGCAATTTCAATTAACACAATCACTTTTTAAAATTCATTTCGTAAATGAAAACATTCATAAATTCAGACATTGTAAAATAATTACAATTCATGAAAATAGCGATGGTATAGATTAGCCAAATAAAAATGTGTTACCAATTTATAATTTCTTTAATCATAGTATCAAACTCTTGTGTGTGCTGAGGTGACAATAGTATGAATTATTTCTTTAATATTGTCTTCGCTCAGTCTATTCTCTATACGAAATGAATAAATGGTAAAAAAAATCGTACAAGTGTCGCATAAATATTATTGGCTCGTCATTCGTTTAATATACTTTGATAACTTTACATAGGTACATCTATGCATAAAATTGTAAACGTTTACTATCAAAGGATCACACGGTTGTTGTCATTTGTCTATTTTTAACATTTTCCTCTCATATAAGTAATCAAATAAAATAATAGGTGGGTTTTTACTGTGAAATAATTCAAGAAAAAAAGACATTGTAATCATTAGTTGAACACGTTTTTGTTGGATACATTCAAAGAAAAACATGTTAAAACATTTTAAACTATTGACTGGTTCCGCGCCCAAAAACTCGCATTACGAGTCAACCATTGAGCCAATTTTATCTTGGAAAAGAGAATAATTCAGTTAAAAAAACCAATCTTAAGTGCGAGTCGAACTCGTACGCCAAGGATTCCGTACCTACCCATTATACCGCCATACTAAAAGTGGTAAATATTCACTACCGATTTTCTGAGGAACGAGTGGACTTAGCAAGTTGCAATTTATACCAGACATAAAGTCTGTAGCACAGTAAAAGCACAAGTAATTTTGATACTTACAAGGTTTTGGGAGAATCTTAAGTTGCCCATATCTTTCTATTGTGTTATCTCAGGATCTTGATTTTTATACATTTAATAGGGACTATAGACCTCAGTATCTAGTATAAATTTCAACTTGCTAGGTCCACCCATTCCTGAGAAAAGCTGTGGTGACACACGGACAGACAGACATAAAGGTTCCTTTTTTACCTTTTAAAGTACGGAATCCTAAAAACTGATTGGTGAACTAAATTGATAAGATTTTTATCATGATAAAGAATGTTAAACATTAAATTTATAGGTTTGTACGGATTATGTTTTGGTATTTTGGGTCAGATTAAGTAAAATAAACAATTAGTATATCGTTGTGCTTATGAAACGTATAGTTATTTTCATTTTAAAATACACATTTATTTAGCTCGGTATTTGTCTCCTTTACATTTCAACCATGATACCAGAACCATTAGAAGCTTGTGATCCAATTACCGCTACTACGCAAGGTAGACCGCAAGTTGGGATCTATATTATATATTATTGTACTGCATTTCGTGTTTGTGTTGAAAAAATACAAAATTTCAGATAGATGGATCAATCTTTATTTAGCAACAGCGAAACTTATATCAAACTAGCGACCCGCCCTGGGTTCGCACGGGTGCAATGTATACATGTAAACCTTCCTCTTGAATTACTCTATCTATTAAAAAAAAACGCATCAAGATCCCTTGCGTAGTTTGAAAGATCTAAGCATACATAGGGACAGACAGAGGGACGACTTTGTTTTATGCTATGTAGTGATGATTTCATCATCTATAAACAAATATAAATGATTGAAAAATTTGTAATTATTTACAATGTATACTTGTTCCATAAATTTGAAGGTATATATTTTTTAAATTTTGTTTTTAATAACACTCATCAACTAATAAATTATTGGTCGCCCTAGGTTTAAGTGACATAAACCGACCTCAAATGATTCCTCTACTAGTTAATTATTCCATAATTACACTAATTGATTTAATAGTATGATTACAAAATGACTAAGGTGGTTTTGGTTTTTAATTTAAACATTTTTGAATTTTTTTCAAATGATAATACAATTTTTTTTACGGTGGTAGTGGTAGAGCCACGCAGCAGCCCCGGCTGTTGCACGAATGGGCAGGCCCATCCGGGTAAGTAACACGACCTCACAGAAGATTAGCGTAAAGTGGAAGTATGCCAAATACTTTCGCGTTTCGTCTGGTGAGTGAGGTAGCCGGAGCCCAATTTTCAAAAGGTTGTCAACGCATCTGTAACCCTCGGGTGAAGCAGATGTCCATGGCCGGCGGTATTCACTTAACGTCAGGTGACCCGTATGCTCGTTTGGTAACTTTTCGCATAAAAAAAAAAATCATAATTGGAGAATTTTATTTTTCGTGAAAGTGTACTTTTCTTTTAGCTCATCTGCTTCGACAACTTTTGCAGAACTTAAGCGCAGTCTCGGGAGAACAATGTAGCTGGTACTGACGACGATACAATAGCGTCGTGCGAACGACGTCTGCAACACTTACGAGTGATGGACAATAAACTAACAATGCAGAACTTGATGCAAGAGCCTCTAGGAAATTGTGCATTAATGATGAGACAAACCGACGTTGAACTATCGCTTATAATAAATTTCTTATTATGTAATTATTTATTTAATATTATATTTAAAAAATTGTTCATGAAAATAATTTTCAAGAATTTCGTACGTCTATCCGGAGGAAGGTATAAGGTCAAAATTGTGTATTAATCACGAGACATACCGACGACGAACAATCGGTTAAAATAATTACTACATTCTTCTTTTTATAACATTATTTAAAACAAGTCATTCATGAAAATAATTTTTTTTCGAGAATTTCGAACACGAAACGTTTACACAGTGTTAACAACAAGTCTATTATTTTATTAACTAAAACCAAAACCGACTTCAAATATTCTCTCTCTTTTCAATTTATAATATTAGCTCTGTATTCAATTTATAATTGATTTTCAAATGAAATTAATGAAGTAACAAAACCGAACATAAAAAATACAGCTAAGTTGATAACCTCCACCTTTTTTTAAGTCGGTTAAAAATAACCAATTAATGAAAACATTTAGTTCATTTCCAAAATAAAAAGATAATCAATTAATTACGTCTCGAGCAAATGATCGTATGTAAAGTCGCTGTTATGACGACGATAACAACACGACGGTGATTCAGAAGCGTGTAGAGCTAGGCACACAAGAATATTGTATGTAGGCTGCAAATCGGGAACCTTGCTCTCGCGCCGGTTTAGTGTGACTAGCCATGGGCGTGTGATTTTTATAATGTACTATGTAATGTTTACGACCGACGCGATGTGGTTTCGCACCGTGGAAATTTCATAAAATTAACATTGGTAATGTTATGAAAACAAAACTGTAGGTACCATTAAAAATGGCATGATGGACACATGACTATTGGCACAACGTTGCGACTTTATATTGTGATTTTTTATTTTTTTCTTCGCAAATTACGTGGCGCAAATGGTAAGGTATTGGCTTCAGCACGGGGGTCGTGGGTAGGATTCCCACAACTATTTGTATAACAAATAGTTTATAATGATAATTGTTTCGTAACTGGGTGTTTGCCAATGTGAACTTTATATATGTTTATATTTAATACAGAAAGAAAAAAAAACTCGTTTTTGCTGACTGCGGAGGTGACTGACAAGGGCGCGACGGACAAACGCCTTTACAGTGGATATACACAAGTATTTAACATAAATATTTGGTTCCGAGTTAAAGAACAGAATACGCAAATAACTTGCAAATGTTTATTTATGTGCATATCTTAGTCTCTGTATTGTAGGTAATGTTTGCTTTAAAATTGATTACCTACTTGAAATGTTGTTTAATTGCTTAAGGAATTACAATTGCAATTGTCATGGAAAATTACACAATGATCTTATATTACTTGTACTTGCTTAGATAGTAGTATTATATTTTTATAGATAGTGATTGTTATTATACATATAATACATATAAATAATATAAAAAAATATATTTTTCGAAGATATGTGAAGTTCGCCAATCCGCAGTCGGTCCGTGTGGTGGACTATGCCCTGATACCCTCTGTATAGAAGAGGCCTTTGCCCAGCAGTGAAACATGTATAGGCTGTTACATTACTTTTATTATACTAAACATAAAACTTATAAAAAAATAAGTTTTGTAAAATTTGTACTACATCTCTATGTAGGTAGTGACTTTTTTATATCTTATCTTATCCTTTAAACAAAACAAAAATATATATATATATATATATATATATATATATATATATATATATATTGGAATCTCGGAAACGGCTCCAGCGATTTTCATGAAATTCAGTATGTGCGTAGATTCGGGGGCGAAAAATCGATCTAGCTAGGTTTCATTTTTAGAAAATGTCCTTTCATCTCTGTTTTCAGGGGATGAAAAATATCATTAGAATATGACGGTAATTTCGCCGCAAAAATATTTTATAATAGCTCGGTCGGTAGTCTGGATCATTGCTTTCTTTATTTTTTTGTTGATCCAGATAATTTTGTTATGTTTTCCCCTTTTTTTTAAATATTTTTTCTTGTGAAAAACACCACTTCATATTTTCTTATAGATCGGTAAGATCGAAAAATATTATGCATATTTCATTACTCAGTAATTTGTATCTAAATGTAATTTGCAATATATACGATTAACCAAAAAAAAAAAACAAACCGAGCAAAGCTCTGTCCTCCAGGTACTTTGCTATTATTTGGCCAAACCATTTACAAGTTAAAAAAACTCAACAACATTAATGCAAATAATAATCTATAGGTACATATAATAAAAATGTTATAGATCGTTGTCTGTACGTGAAAGAAGATAAAAAAAATATTGAAGGCCTTTATCTACACAATAGAACACAAACAAACATTTTAAAAAAAAATTGTGTTTGTCTGCGCATTTGTGCACTGACCTCAGAAATGGCTATACCATTTTACTTCTATAAAAAGTAGGCTTCACTTACCTACCAGCACGGTTCATGGGCAGATTGAAAAAACTAAGACGCGATAAATTCGCTATATAAAAACATGATGGAACTATAGTTTAATTATATTTAGTATATTTTTTTTGTACTTTTAGAATGGCGAGTTTTGAACCGATTATCGCCCCTGTGGGGTTCGGCTAAACACTTTTAGAATGGCTTTGAACCCAACTTCCTTAGGTTCGATTCGCCCCTGGTTCGGCTAAACAGCAAATGAGCCAGAAAACAGGGAAAACCTGAACCGTACTAGAAAGTATTTTTAGTACTGATGGGACGACCAAAAATAAGAGGGTATCCAACTATATATTAATGTTATTAAAAATACTAATGTTATTAAAAAGAACTGAAGTTTGTTTATTTGAAGTCGCTAATTTCAGGAACTACTGATCCAGTTTGAAAAATTCTTGCACTGTTAGATAGCCCATTTATTGAGAAAGGCTATCGGCTACTTTTTTAGCACGATATAAAATGTAGTACATGCGGGCGGAGCCGCGGGCGAAAAATAATACAAAATATAAAAATAAAATCAAACCGTCGGGCTTATCGATGGCGGAATATTAGAGGAGTCAGGAGAGTGGCTTCATCCTGCGGAGAGAGGACAGGGCTCCGTAGTAGACTGAATTGCAATTGACAGCGCTGTCGCCTACTAATTGAGTATGGTTTTAACCCATAGACTTCAAGTGCAAGGTATAGTTACTGAATCGAAAAGGATATCGGGTGGTATATGACGCAATCATCTTCTTATCAAGAAATCTTATGACAACACTTTGTCTGAGACGTCAGGGGAAAGGGATGGCTCTTTGGAATCGTGTATTATGGAGGGTAGAAGATATATCTTCTACCCTCCATACCGTGTATATAATATTCGGCTGCATCATCAAGTAGCTATAAGAGCGCCACTTCATTAGATCTTGATGCGTTTTTTTTAATAGATAGTGATTCAAGAGGAAGGTTTATATGTACAATGCATTGCATTAGTGCAAAGCCAGGGCGGGCCGTTAGTTACCTATAAACTCTTATTTCGAAGGTTGCTTAGGGAATTATTTTTCTAATGCGCTATTAAAAAAATTATATCCCTATACTTCCACTATAAAACTTAAATAAGCCATGGGCTTTGACGAAGTCTGAGTGTCGGGATTGTAACAACTTAGTATTTTTTTAATACACTGCAAGGAGCTTTAAAACTTCGTATTTGATATAAATTTGACGATACCTCTACCCTTTTTTGAGAAAGAGGAAAAATGGACAGAAAAAACAAAATAATGGTGTTTGGGACATGAAACCCTTAAATTAGTAACAGTACTCCAGTAAAATATTGAATATGTAATCAATTGTTGGGCTTCATATAATGGTAAAACGTGAAAGCATAAATATTCTATAATTATTCTGAACCATAATGACAATGACGTAAAATAAATTCATAACTAATTGTTGTAATTAAATAATATTAATAATGATGTTAATTACATTAATTTCTCACTCATTTACAATTCATTTTCAATTATTTTTAATCTCTTAACTAATAGTTCCTTATCTAATTTATGCATACACAAATATTGGCCATTTAGAAATAATACTGGTATGTCATTGCGATATAATCGCAACCACCGCAGGTTTTCCTTCTCCGTTATATAAATTTTCTGAACCATCAATCTATCCTTGTAGGGCTCAAGCTCTTCCATTACTATATCACATAAAGGACAAGGATCTTTTGTGTAAAGTGTTAAAACAGGAGGCTTTTGCAAAGCTCCAGGTCTGAAAAAGGAAATGAACTGCTTGATACAGAAACAAGTTATTAGATACAATATGATTTAATCATTACATATAAAATCTTTTTATAAAATGTCTGACTGAATAACGCCTTTGAATAAATCTCTATCATATTATACAATATAAAAACCTTTCCTTATCCTTAACCTTTCATAACATTAATCCTTAGTCAGCAAAATAAAATAAGGCACATAAAATCAGTAGTGATTGCAGTATATAGCATAAAGTATTACAATGATTGTTTATTTCATTATTTTATACACTAATCCTCAATATACAACTATTAAAGAGCCATTTTTGTCATTCAAAAAACTTACAATTTTTCAACCATAATAGAAGACGCCCCACCACCTCCATTGCAAATAGATGCTACACCCTTTTCTCCTTTCTTTAATGCATGACATAAGTGAACCACAATCCTAGCCCCGGACATGCCAATTGGATGTCCCAAACTTACAGCGCCTCCATGGACATTGACTTTAGCAGGGTCCAATTCGAGCAATTTTTGGTTAGCCACTGCAACCACACTGAAAGCTTCATTTATTTCCCACAAAGCAACATCATCCTTTTTCACTCCAGTTTTTTCTAAAAGTTTAGGGATTGCAACAGCTGGAGCAATGGGAAAGTCAATTGGATCACACTCCCCATCAGCAAACCCCACAATACGTGCAATTGGTGTTACATTTAATCTCTTTGCTGCTTCAGCAGTCATTAACACCAAAGCCGCTGCACCATCATTTAAAGTTGAAGCATTACCCGCTGTTACAGTTCCATTTTCTTTTTGGAATACTGTTGCTAGTTTAGTAAATTTTTCAAAATTAACTTTCTTGTATTCTTCATCTTCTGCAAACAATACAGGCGCTGCACCTCTTTTTTGAGGCACCGAAACAGGAACTAATTCATCTGCAAAAGCTTTGGACTCATAAGCAGCTGCACTTTTTTTATAGCTGCCAATGGCGTAGTCATCCTGCTGTTGCCTTGAAATTTCCAATTTTTTTGCAGTATTCTCTGCACAATTACCCATATGAAACTTATTATAAACATCTGTTAGCCCATCAAACACTATACCATCAACTAACTGCATACCACCATATGTGGTTTCCCCTCGTTTTAAGTAAAATGGAACATTAGACATTGACTCCATTCCAGCAGCCAAAATCACATCTTGTGCTCCAGTTTGTAACCCTTGGGCAGCAAGCATTATTGACTTCATTCCAGAAGCACACACTTTATTCACTGTAGTACATATTGTGCTTTTTGGAAGTCCAGCAAAAATAACTGCCTGTCGTGCAGGAGCTTGCCCAAGGCTAGCAGAACAGACATTTCCAATGTATACCTAGAACAAAACATGGTTTTATTTTAAAATTTAAGAATGAAACATGAAAATATATTAATTTATCTTGTTATACTATTTTTAAAGGAAAATCAATGGAATAAAGAATGACTAATAAAGAAATAATCTAATGGTGAAACAGGAACGTCATAATTTAAAGCGCCGTTATGTTTTGAACATGGCATCATAATCGTTTAAATATAATATAATTAACTGTAAATTCTTAAAAGTAGGTAAACTTAACTAACCTCCTTTACTTCTTCTTTGGGGATGCCGGCTCTTTCAACAGCTGCTTTAACGGCTACAGCACCAAGTTCACTTGCAGAAAGACTTGCCAAACTCCCCCTAAAAGAACCCATAGGAGTTCTTACTGCTGAAGCTATGACGACCTCATTCAGAGATACTTTCGTGGAGTATGCCGCCATCACTTTCAAAAGCTAATAAGACAATTATAATTAATAACAAGATATTATTAAATTAATAATACTGTACGGTAAGTTAATACCACTACCACTGAGTCGAGCAACCTACTTCAATGGTGACTCAAATATAACTGAATTAAGGCTAAGGTGAAACTAGCACTAGCACTACATGACAGAGAAAATTTAATGTAACTTTGGTGTGTGATCTACGAACCTTGTTCCCAGTATGTATTTTAATGCTAATCATTTTTGCTCCTTTTAAAAAAAACATAGCTTATTAATATTTAGTTGTGCCCCTTCGTTCAAGAAACGTGACCCAAGACGAACAATTAAAATTTTCTGAATAATAATTCAATATAACATACTTTATCTTCTTAGTTGAGTATGTTTATATGACCTTATCATTTATATGGACATTCCAATTACTACTTTATCTCATAGACACAAAGTATCATTTGATTATGTATAATTAAAATAATATCAGATTAAGCAGTTTATAGAAACAAATAATTTATAATGGTAGTTTTAGAAGAAACATGGTAATACTTGATATTAAATTTATTCAAATCAATCATTTGTCTAAAATTATTGTTTGAATTTAAATTCTTTGATCTTGAAATTGATAAGAACTTTATGGAAACAAAAAAAGATATTATTGAAAATTGGTCACTTTTAATATTAAAAGTGATAAATGTTTATTGTACATTTTAATATACAACTTATTTTGTATATTAAAATGTACATATTTAACTTTTTATTCTAAAATAAACATTTTAAAACGACTTCGTAACCTAACGTAAGGTAACGAAAACAGTGTATTCTTCACATAGTAGTTCATTTATTTAATATAGTGCTCTTTTTTTAATCTATCACAAGTTAATTTCATTGATTTCAATGGAAAGGCCACGTCATTTTTACACGGCCGTAGGCCGAAGGGAACACGAACTAGAGTAAACTTGTTTTCTCTATTCCATGCATTTTTAGTACGCTAGCAACAAAGTAATCTAGACGACAATAGACAACAAACTCAAACTGTCAAACTGTCATCTACATTGTCAAAAAGTCACTGCTGCCTAGCCTAGTACTAAAATAATAGTGTAGATTTGAAGAAAGCATATATTTTGTAATTTCCAATGATAAGTTAAGATGTTTTATATTTTCATTAGAAAAAAAAAGTAGTACAGGATCTTAATGTTGTATTGAACATGTCAGCTGTTGCCTTACTTTTGTTTCATTGGTTCTTACTTTTAATCGCATACGATGATGTTTCATACTAATATTAAGGAATTCAAGAATTGGGTTAGTGTTGTAAGTATATTGTGTGCTGTGCATTTAATGTACGTTAAATTGTATTCGTATTGTTGAATCTGTGTCTTCTTAGTAGTTTGTTTACAATAAAAGATTTATAAGCTTCAAAGCTAATTTGACGTGCCTAAATGTTATTTAAAAGCTATTGGCGCAATAAAGATAAGATAAAGAACACGAAAATTATTGTAATAGATTAAAAAGATACGAATGTATTACTCATTAACAATAGAAATTTTCAGTGATATATCTAACCATGATGCAATTTTCATATGTGACTATGGCAATTAAAGTTTCAAGCCTTCTTTCTATTTTGTTTTTGCCTCTTCACTAAAAATTGGGTAAGATAAAGAGTTTCAAAATATTACAATGCTTTTATTTTCTATTTTGTTTTCAGGTTTGTGCTTTATAAGTTAATTAAAAGTGATGCTATATTATAAATGATAAAGCTTTGTGATTTTATTGCCAACTTTTGATTTATGAGCATATTTGATTTCTAGTGCTGGTCATTACTGAGTTGTTATATCTGTTTGTGTTCTTTGCATAATAATGGCTATTATACTAAATATTTTTTGCTCATCAATGAATTAACCAAAACCAAAAAGAATATATGTATGATTTATCTAACTCTGTGTAAAACTTTTGAATATGTTATTAAATTACTATTACTAAAAATATACTTATTTAAAAATATACTTAACCATGTGTGAAATGTCTGATAAAAAAATATTAATAAACAATTTTCTTTATCATCACATTCTGAAAATTTGGTAGTGTAAAAATAAAATTTAAAATGAACAGCTAATGCACACCATAGCTACATATAGTTTAGCTGATTTAATAATGTCAAATTTTGAGATAATATTTACTAATCAATGGACTATAATTTCCCAGCACTTAAAATATTTACCTAAATGATTATGTCCAATTAAAAGTATGGTACCTAATTGAAATATCAATTGGCTACTATAGGATATAGGTTCATTTAATATATTTTTGTAGTATATAGTTATGGCCCACTTGGCAGTTTTTGCTGTTGTAAGAATTTGTTGGGGCTTCCATTGAAGTACCACAACCTCACAAGTAACTGGCATGAGGTGGAAGTTTTATACTTTGGTAAAAAAAATAAGACAAAAGTAAAGGATCAATTGAATTAAATTCTGTTATAATAAAATGAGAAATAACAAAGAGGTTATTTCTCATAAAAACCACACAGAAATAGGAGCAAAATTGACATATTGACAACAATAAAATGGCGGATTTCTATAGTGAAAATTAAACTATTTCATTATTTAATTTTTTTCGAAAACTAAGCAACTAGCAAATTCAGGTTGTTGATTAATTCATTAGTGATTTTTCTCTATCATTTAAAAATTGTTTCAATTGTATTTCGTGAACATTAATGTTATTTACATTTACCAAAAATAATTATAAGAATTCATTTATCTACCTCTGATAAATGAATTCTCAAGTCAAGGAAAATAACTTTTTCATATTAATAAGATAAAAATGTATGTATTGATAAAATGAATTCCATATGTAAAATGATATTGTAACAGTTATAAATTTAACATAAACAGATATATACTACATAAAAAGATATATCACTAGCCACTGTCATTAAGGAAATGAGATCACATAATGAACATCAAAGATAATGGATATTTAATTCACAATACTATAATGAAGTATTATAATTGTTTGTTAGATATATACCATTGTTATTTATTGTTTTCGAAACTGAAGGAAGAATCACTTAGGATTGTTTAATTTACTCACTTGATTTCATCATGTATAGTTGTGAGTGTTTGAGATGTGTAATTTGGTCTGCCTATACTATATAAATATATATAAATATGTATATACGTATATTAGTATATAAATATAATTATATATTATACATATATAAGTATATAATATGTGTATACATAAACATTTTATTATTGGCATCTGTAACTATATAATACTCTCAGTTTTTAGCATCTACTGCTCTTATGAGTCATATCATATTTAGAGTGTAACCACACAGACCTGACATAATAGTGCTAATGTTTGGTTGTTGTTTACATATTGTGAACAATTATTAGTATCTTTAGTCAGTAAAGACATAAGACTGTCAAGACGTAATAGAGTTTATCATGTTGATGTTGTGGAAAAATGTCTCTTTCAAATATTGTGTGTTTTCTTAAAAAATTGTTAATTATTTTTTATGTTTTACATTATCAGTCAAAACCTATTTTTGTTTCTAGGGTTCAAGCCCAAAAAGGCCAGGTATAGCTTAGGTCATGCTATAAGAATGGAAGTGGTAAAAATGGATGATGGGCGGTATGAACAAAGAGAGAGTTTACCATCCAGTAGCATTGAAAGTGACGCTTCCAGCTGCGTCATAGGAAGCAATGATAATAGCGAACAAGCAAGTGACAAAACATCTGATGATGAGGAAGATTTGAGAGAAGACTTACAAAAAACAATTCCTGAATGCTACAAATCAGACTTTACATCACACACTTCAAGTGACATCACAAATGATGAAGAGTTCCAAGCAACTGCTCTTTGTCAATTTATGGATATTTTAAATGATTTAGATGAGGTCTTAGACAAGTCTCTATTAGCATGCCTTGACGATCCTCAAAACTTTGACAGTGATGAAGAAGATCTTATATGTAAGATTAAAGGATGTGTAGATGATAATGAAAGGCCATCAAGTAATACTGCTAGCCAAAGTTCTATGGATGATAATACCCAAGTTGTCATGGGGCCCTCTGTTGATGATCCAAATTCAACATTAGATGATACAGAATTAGTACAGAATCTATTTGAGCAGCCTCTTCTTACAAGTTTCAGAAGGTCGAAAAGCTTTTCAGAATTACCTCAAAACTCAAGAACACCATTCTCACAACATCTAGAGAGAGCTAACACATTGAACGAAAACCTTCGAAATTCAATGAGGAGATTGGATCCCATAGTTTTGCCAGCGATTGAAACGGAGGAGCCTCCTTGTGAGCCTTTAACATTACCCGTTATTCTATTTCTAGAGCATCATGTGAATATGAGGCCTACAAGTGCGCCAATACAGTTACAAGTTACAGCAGCAAATTTAAGTAGTAACAGATCATCAGGACCTTTGATAGTGGGGCGACGTACTTTGCTCATGAACCGTGCACTATCTTTGCCTTCGCCGGGTGATAGTGATATCACAGCCGTAGGTTGGACAGGCCGAAACACTGGTAGGAGTACAGCGAGAAGTGCTAGTACAACATCCAGTTCTTCGAGTGAATCTTTGGCTGGTATGACAGCTATTAATCAAAATGTAACTGGTCTTGGTGATGAGAGGTAATTATCAGTTAATAATAATATTCAGTGTTTAATTGACCTCATGACTTAGGGATTACTCACAAGTTTGGCAATGTACAAAAATAAAAAAGTTAGTACATAATGACCACAGGATACTTGGTAATGATTTAATGTCATGATGATTTCTAGCTATTACTAGGACTAGAGACAGATAATAATGCTGCTGTTAGCATAATATAAAGCCAATTATTTATTTCAGAAATGATGAGAATGAGGAGCCACCCTTTGGTGTTTGGCCCCATCGTATGAGTTCAATGCTGGCTTGCCTCAGTTGTACTGTAGGAATATTCAATATATCTAGATTTGCCATCTTCAGTGTACATTACGGCGGTAAGTTCACCTATTTGAAAAACATTCAATATTTGTGATTGTTAAGTATTGTTTATTGTTGATATAAGACATTCGTTAGCCAATCGGAAGAAAACGGAGAAAGTTTTATTACATAAGAATCAAACCCTAGCAAACAAAGCATTTGCCTGCGGCTTTGCTCCCTGATTATGCATTAGATGGACTCTACAGGTACCATTCATATCGTCGGAATAAAAAAATCATATCGATCCCTTTCCGAGTTAGAGAATAAGCCAAGAAAACACTTAAACTGGAAGCCGCTGTTTTGGATCATGGCAGTGTAGAATTTTATCTAAGTTTCAATCATATTAAACATGCTTGAATTTATAACCCTAGTAGACAAAGTAATGAATATTTCGTAATGTCGTTTTCTCTATTGCAGCCAGCTTCATACTGCAGTTTTTCATACTGTCCCTGTTCTCCGGAATACCCCTGTTCACGTTGCACTTGTGCCTGGGCAAAGTGCTGGAGTCCGGGCCCGTGGACATGTGGCGCATATCGCCGATATTCCAGGGCGTCGGCATCGCCCTGCTAATCACGCAGGCGGTCATCGGCATGTACAGCATAATCGGGCTCTCCTGGATATTCGTCTACTTCCGGGACTCGTTCATAACCGCCGACGACAAGTACAAGTGGGCCTTGCCGCACGATTACAACTTGGACGGTGAGTGTTATATACAGCGTGTCGTTACCATCGCGACAATCAATGAACACACGTCTAACGCTACTTGCCAATAATCATAAAAAAATATTAACGTTAAACAAAATCCCTAATTAAAAAAAATATTTTTCAAACAAACTAATTAAGTAAAAAAGAAACAAAATTTGCGCAGAAAAGAAACAAATGCGCGCCACAGCGTCGCATTACAAGCCTTTCCTTCTAACAGTATGTTTTGTCTCTTTTAAATTCATTCAACCCATTCATACGCTTTGTGACCTTTAGAAATGAACTTTACATTATAGTTTTATACGTAAGGGTGTTCTAAAATTCTTTGTTTTGGAAAATTTGATAACTCGGTAAATATTGATGTTTAAAGAATGTAAATCTTTGATACAACTTTAAAAAGTTATCCTCTATATGTGTGTTCATTTATTGTCGCCATCAAAGTTATGCTATCTGTTACGGCTGGACGGAGTAAAAAATGGTGTAAAAAGGTTCATACCCAAGATGGATTACTTTTTTTTTCAACCTATTGGTATTTGTGAAATTATACAAAGAACAATAAAATTGATCATAAATACAAAAACATGAGTAATGGTTTAAAAAAAGGATTCGTGTCGAATTTTCTTTCTTCGATGTTTTTGGTCTGTTCAGGGTCTTTGCATGATGCATTTTCTGCTATAAATAGCGATTCCGAAGGCTTTGATGTCTTTCCTCCACAATCTAGAATTTTATATGTTCTGTTTCCTCTACAGGGTGGCTTTTCTAAGTATATCCATTTTTTAATTAAATTATAGACATAAATAATGTCATATAAAAAATGATAAATATTTAAAATCACTCGTAAGTAATTAATTACATTCATTTAAACTTATCTCAAAAAGTGCTTGATTTTTACGCAACTCATTTATTTTACGCGCGATCATTCATAACTAACACGCACACAAGTTCGTGCACAGTAAAATTTTGGTATTTATGAATGACTATCGCATTGTCAACACGTTCTGTTTTTTAGGGAATAGAATGGCATTTTTTTTTTGGAAAAAAAATTTTCTTTTTTATTTCAATAAACGATTATACTACCGAGTCTGAACCTTCTGTGTAAATTTGGGCACTTCTCAAAAACTCTCCCTGTATATCTTCGCTATAATCGTCCAGGTCGTCAAGAAATGTACCTAAATAATTGTAAATATGCAATTACATAATCATGAGACCTCCTAGTTTTTGCACAGTAACCAGCACTTCGGTTCATACCTTTTACATTCACAGCTCAATTTTTCCAACTGTTTGGAGTCGCTTCTATATTATTCTACCAACTTTTTTGCTTTTTCTAATAAATCTTACGACGTATGAAACTGTGGCAGGGCCACGCAACAGTTTTCACTGTTGCACGAATGGGCAATAAAGTAAACAATGTACCTAATCATTTTATGACATTCAAAAATCATGAACAAGGTGCTATTAGTTAAATTTTCTCATCTAGATCAGTTAAAGCCTAATGCGGTTCACACAACATAGCGAATCGGGGAATGGTTTTAATGCAAAGTTAAATTATTTGTAATGAGGCCGTGGCGAGAAAACTTAATTGGCTGCTAATAAATGTGTAATCGAAATCGAAAGTGACCGCCGCTTTAGTTTATAGCACTGAGAAGGAAAGCAGCATGACAATTGTTTAAAATGCATGACGTAATGTTTTCGCGCCATTTCTCCGTAATTTCGTTTAATTCATTTGTAACTGTAAAATTTCGATATAACGTGAAATGTGCCACATTACAAAATATTAGCGTGAAATCATGCTTTCATTAGACATTTAATAAATGCATTTAATATGAAGTTCGCTTATCCGGAATTTTTGCCAATGAAATTAAATATTTAACAACGAAAGTTCGTAAAACTGATTTAAAATCCGACATAAACTTTTTAAGACTAATTCGGAAGTAATTCGACTGTGTTAGGAAGCAATACGATTCATTACAGCTCTTCAATGCCGAATTGTTGTTAATATCGCTTGGGAGGTGAATTAGTAGGAAACGCTCTAGAAGGCCAATAGACAATGGCTAGAAAGAAACACACTTTTTTTTTCAATAGACGCTCTTTTGTTTTTTAAAGTTTTTCCAATTCCTCTTGTGCTGCCTGCTATATTCAATTTGAAACTAAGTGATACTGTAATGTAAATCTTCGTTACAACACGAGGAAGCCTGAAGGTTGTATGAATAACATTGCGTTAGTATAAAACAATTTTGCCTTGCCTCTACACTTGTTTGTCGTTCCAATTTTCGGGTTCCGCAGTAAATTTAGCGTTAGCGTGTAAAATAAAGGCTTAATGATACTTAAAAATGGTGCACACCGTAACGTACATATTACAAAGTATTTTACGGCTGCGCTAAATATTCCTGACCTTCTTTCGAGCGATTTGAAACGCAAAGCTGATCTTATCTTCAAAAACTATTGCTTGAAACGCATTGAACATTCTTTGTATTACCTAATATGGTTGGTAATGCATTATAATGGTAGAATATTGTATAAAAATTTAGTCTTCGCTACACTTTCACTTTCAAAAAATTCTCTTTATTTTTCTAGTTTTATAGGTATGTTTTAGATAAAAATATGAGATAATTCCTGTAATACCTCTTTATCGTACTGATTCAGATAGCGACAAAGTTTTTTACCTAGCCTTGTGAAATCATGACATTGAAATGCACTTATCAACTCCTTAAAGGTATTTGCTGATGCGCATTTAAGAGGGTCGATGTTGGAAAAAAAAACTTCATATTTTTTCATTATATATTCAAGTCGTTTGTAAACTAATGGCATTAATGTCAGCCTAATGGACAAACATTGTAGGCCATGGCTCATATGAATCAATTGATTCTAATGATTTTCTAATTGATTTTGAAAGATTTTACTCTTCCAGCGGCATATGATTATTAAGGAAACCTTAATTGTGTGTTTCTTAATAAGAATAAGCATAATTAATATCATAATGGCAAATGCACTTTAGAATTTCGTGGCATAATAATAATTTCAAATAATTAAATGTATAGTTAATATATAGTACAGCGTTAATATTTAAAAATCGGATAATATAATTATAAACACGTCATCGCCCTAAAGCGTTTCCGTTGCATTGTCGACCAAAGTATTCAGTTACCTTTTAATCGCGTTTCTAGAAATTTTACTTCAAATAACAGCTTTTGATCGGATAGGTGGCTCGATCACGGAAGTAGGTAGAGCGCCTCACAGAAGACCAGCGCGAAGTAAAAATCTATATAATTTTTTTATGCGAAAAGCTTGCAAGCTAATGTCAGGTGTTTCACATGATGTTGAGTGATCAACCCCGCATAGAAATCTACAAACCTGACGGGTTGCAGATACGTTGCATTATTAAAAAAATTGTTGTGTTAATCGATGGTGGTTCTCAGTTCTGTGAAACAGCGCTTGTTGTACCTTTGTGATAAAAAATAATTGATCCAAACGTTTTAATGTTGTAATTATTATGTTAAACAGTTGCAAAAAGACATCATAGTCTTAAATTTTTAAAGCTAGATTTTTTCATGCGTTAAGTAATTACCGCCGCCCATGAGCATTTGCAATTTGCAGCACCTGAGAGGTTGTAAATGTATTAACACCGGGTTCGATTCCCACATGAGACAAACAGGGGGCAATGTTTTCGAAGGGAAGATTACAATAGATCTACCAGGTCGCAGTGGACGTCGGTACTTACTACCAGAGCCCTTCCACACAATCACAGTGCGTATAAGAGGTGTTCTTTTCCACAGACGCGAGCCTAAAGAACGCGTCCGTAAGAATCCAGGAGACCATACCGCAGTACTTCCACGGCGAAGTGCTGCAAAGGAACCCGGGATCGGGAAACCACTTCGGCACGATCAAGTTCCAGGTCGCATTCAACCTGGCGGTGGTCTGGATGATCGTGTTCGTCGCTCTGAGCAAAGGGCTGCGCTCTTATGGCAAGGTACCATATTATTCAAAGTCAATCCCGTGATAGAATCGTAGATAGAGCTTTAATAAATAAATAAATAAATCACAGTCCGGGCGCTCGCTTTTAATTCTATGTACTAAGACAACACTAGTTCGAATCCCGTCAGCAAGCTTGTCAGCTTGATGACGTGCTCAACAGTGAAGTAAAACATCGTGAGGAATTTATTTCGAAATATCTTTTAAATAAGTGAAATCTGCCAATCCGCAGTGGACACGCGTGGTGGACTTTGCCCTAACACCCTATGTACACTGGAGACCTCTTAATACTTTACTAATGTAAAGTAAAGTATTAATATTTTTAAAGTCCTTTTGACATAAATAGACTTAATAGGTTTTCGATGTATTGTTCGATATATACTGATGACTCGATTGGCGCAGTGGGCAGTGACCCTGCCACTTGCGCCAGTTGGTGTGGATTCGATCCCCACCACTGGAAAAATATTGTGTGATGAGCATAGTGTTTTTCCAAAATCTGGGTGTTCATTATTTATAGTATGTTATTTATTTACAAAAAGAAAAGTATGTTTAAGTATGATAATTAATTATCTAGTACCTATCTAATTGTATAGTACAAACTTAATTTGGGACTAGAAAAACTTTGTGTAAAAATGTGTCAAAAAGAATTATTTGATAGTTTGATTACTTATTGGTTATAATGATTAATATTAATTTACACAAATCGATTGGAAACCTGTTATTACATAAATTACAAACACTATTAAATAATTGGATAAATTTTAAATGAATGTATATTTTACAATACACTTTAACGGGTAGATTTTCAAGCATATATTTTTTTTAATCTATCTACATTGAATAACATGATAAAGCTTAACAACTACCTAACTGTTATGTGTTAATTTTAAAATTATAACGTGAAACTACGCTGCTAATTTTGAAAACGTGCGACTGTTATTATAATTTCCAAACTGCGCGTTGCGTTAGAACGATTTACAAGTGAATATTATATCCTGTTACCCATGGAATTTTTTTTACCAGGCAACACATATGATCTTTGCGATTGCTAAAGCCACGTGTCCCTTTCAGGCGGTCTACATGCTGATTTTCCTGCCGATATGCGGTACGCTAGTACTATGCACGAAGCTTCTTACACTCATCCCATACGACACGGTGACGAACATATTCTCGGAGACCGAATGGAGCGAGTTCTTCATCAATAGCAATGTACGTAAACAAGTTCGTACAACGCATCACGTTACAATTACTAGCTTCACAAGCAATCACGTTACAATTACTAGCTTCACTACCTTTCCTGTTGTTTAGTTATCGATATACGATGTTGCCAAACGTTGCCTTGGTGCGGGTCGTGGGTAGGATAGAAAAGTAAAATAGATTCGCTCTCATGTCAATAAGTCAAAAGTAGGCAACAAATGTAAATTATGAACAATATTGTAGATTCTTTTATTGAATTATTCTGGAACGTTCTTGAGAGGAATTACTTTTTTGCGTCTCTCAAAAAGTTGTGATTATTAAGTTTGATATGAGAGAGCCGGTAGGCTCTAGAGACTATAGTCATAGATTTGATGTAAATACTTGATAAGATTAGAAGTTATGGTATTGATTTGAAAGGGATTCAATAGCTTGACAATGGTTGATAATGAGATACAGTTATCTTTTTTTACAAGATCACAATTGAATACATCAAAACAAAAGGCGAAACGATGTGTTTTAGGAACACAAATTGTATGAAAACTCACTTCAAAGTAACATTGTATAGATCTTGTTAATTTGAAGTGAGACTTCATACAAATGACTTCATGGTCATTTTTAGAGTATTTTTACTTTAACATAACGATTAATGGGTAGACTTAATGACTTTAGACATACTCTCTCAGTCGACTCAATTCCTGCGGATATATTGTGGGTCATCACCCAATGCTGTATTGCTATCCAATTATTCTTGTATTTTAAGTTTCAACGGCAGGGATGCATAGATTTTTTATCTATAGGTTAACTAGACTTGATAACTTCATATACACATCACCCAGCCTAAAACACCATTTCTTTCTACGGATATATCTTAGATCGGTGATAATTTCGAATCATTGAATTTAGTTTTATGGACGTGAGAAGAATATTCGTCGATGTTTATCTCTATTATGCCTTAACAAGGCATTCTATACAAATGAAGGTTGGATAGAAAATTTATTCTCTAGGAAAAAAAGAATGTTCGATCGAAGTAAAGATCGAAATAAATCGAAATCATTTGATACCAAAAAAAAAAAAAACAAATGGGAGAAAGTTAATTCGATGCAAATAAGACATTAGACATTTACGACGAAACAGATCATTCGGTTGGAGAAACGACACTTCGTCGGGACGAAAAAGTCAATTCGATAGAAATAAGCCTTTAGAAGCGACCGTATGTCTTCGCATTCCAGAGCTGGGCGGCGGCTGCCCAGGAGACCTTCCTCACTTGGGGTCTGCTCGGTGCCTGCGCTATGCAGCTGACCTCGCACAGGGATAAGAGCGGGGGGGCCCAAAAGACCCTGCAACGCGACAGCGCCTGCGTCATCGCGTTCACCTTCGCGGTACTACTGCTCGCCTCGTTCCTGGCCAACACCTGCGTCCAGATACTCAAGAGCCACGGTTACGCTTTCCTGCCGAGCAGCTTCGGTCAGTAGTCGACTGGTCGACTTTTTATTTCATTAAACATCCCTTGTGTATGATTCTTTTTATTTTTCAGTGCTGTGTGTTTCTTTTTTTCGGTGCCTTGGGTATCGCGCCTATAGACGACTGAACTAAGCGCCCAATTTCCTCACGATTTTTTCGACAATTTATCTATTAAACTCACATTTAAGTAATCCTTATTGATCTTATTTGTCCGTTGTTCGCTCCGAGGTGACCATGTTCTAAAAAATGTGTCCGGAATTTAGGGAAATCCTGCTAAAAGTTTAAGGTTTAGAATTTAGAAAATTAGGCCAGAAAAAATAAAACACTGCTGAATTTAAATGTTCAAACAACTTTTTTCTATGCGTCACAATGAATTTACGCATGCATTAGTTTCCGAACACTATAAAGGAGAGGAAGAGATTCTTTACGTTTTATTTAATTCTTATTCTTTTTTATTTTTTATCAACCAATCTATCTACCAATATACTAATATCTACTAATCTAAATAATGAAATAAAGTAATATCTACCGATGTCGAAATCTCTAGATACAGATACTTTTTTTTCCCCCTTTACTGTACGGATAAGGAACTACGAAGCGTACCTACCAACAACGTGATGGTCTAACTCCTTTTTAGCATGAACTGCAATCGCATTACCTTCTCCAAAAACAATACTTATATACTGTCGAGTCAAAAAAAAACTCAACATTTCAGAGACGATAAAGTCATCGCAATTCCTGTGGCCCACCGGCGAGCCGTTGCCGGGCGGGGCGGCATCGACGCCCGTGCGCTACATGGGTCACTACGGCAGTCTCGTCGGCGTGACGGTGTGGCGGAGCGGCAACGCCGCGCGCCTCTACAGCGGCTGGCAGCCGTTGCAGCTCGCGACACAAATCGTTCCCGCCACGCTAGCGGTGCTGCCGGCCAACGTCGTGAGTGTTGCACGTTTTATGAAATTGCACGCGTTGTGTTGCGAGAGTTGTTTATGTTGCATGTGTTATAGGTTTGCACGTGATATAACGTTGCGTTTGCACGTGTTACAAAGTTGCACGCGTTATAACATTGCACGCGTTATAACGTTGCACGTGTTATAACGTTGCACGAGTTATAATGTCCGCGTTATAATGTTGTAAGTGTTGTATTGTCGTTGCGGGCCGCGCATAACTTAAATGCGCCAGTGAATACCGTGTACAAGCTGTGAAGGAATCACATAACGCCAAACATTGCTACAAATTTAATAAAACCAAAGTAGATGAGACGTTGAGAGTTTTACGCGGTGAGAATGTCGACTTCGTGGCTAGAGCTTCTGAACGTAATACGGAAGGCGTAGGTTCGAATAGTAGAATCGTGGCAGCGGTGAAAAAATTTTGGGACAGTTTAATCGCACAATTTTCGTCTATAAAAATAGGTACTTAAATATAAATAACGACAGATGTGACTCCCTATTGAGTTTGAGTTTAAGTTTAGTTTAAAAACATTGCCCTTACTTTAGGATAACATTGTCCTGTGTTTCAAGGACGTTTTGCAAACATAAATTTCACACGGACAAACACCCAGATGCGAAACAACTATCTGTGGGTCTCACAAATAGTTGACCCGTGTGGGAATCGAACCCACGAACCCCCGACGCCATTGCCGATACCTTGGAAACTGCGCCACTGAGTCATTACTAACCTATTACGATAGTTTAGTTGATTATATACTGTCAATTTTCATTCCAGTTGTCGCCAGCGTGGGCGGTGATATTCTTCTTCATCCTGATAATGTTCGGCATAGCGCAGCAGCTGGCGATATGGCACTGCGTAATAGCCGGCATAATGGCCATCAACTCTGAGGCTCTGAGGGTATGGGAGACCACCATCACATTCTTCAGCTGCGTCTTCGGGCTAACCGTAGGCCTGCTGCTCACAACCGACGTGAGTACCGTCGATAATATGATCATAAGACTTTAGCAAAGTAATAATATAAAAATATGTTTGTCTAACTGTGGTAGGGCCGCGCAACAGTTTTCGCTGTTTTACGAATGGGCAGGTCCGTCCGGGTTAGTACCACGACCTCACAGAAGAACGGCGTGAAGTAGAAGTGTTACACTTCGGCGTTTCGTCTGGTGAGTGAGATAGCTGGGCCCACTATTAAAAGGTGGCAAGGCATCTGCTACCCTACGGGTGTTGCAAGTGTCAATGAGCGGCGGTAATCACTTAATATTAGGTGAACCGCTAGCTTCCGTACTACCCTCTGAAATAAAAAATTACATTATTAATAGTAGTGCATTTTGGGCGTTTAAGTTTAAACTTAATCGATATAATGTTAAACAATCTGATAATTTGTCTATATGTATATTATAAGTTTCACCTAGCAAATAGCAATCCAGACAGAGTCCCAATAAGATAGCTTTAGAAAAAGCATGTAATGTGCTGTTACAAAGTATGTAAGAAGTATAAAAGATTTGTTTATATTATTTATTTGTTTACTTTTCACTCAAATTTATTGTTAATAAGTTAATTCTGTCCGCGACGTCCTTGAAAATTTGAGGGAAAGGGAAGGACATTACATACTTATTTGGTTTATGCACTACAATCACTATTACAAACATATTATATTGATTATAACTAGCGGCCTGCCCCGGCTTTGCACGGGTATTTAATAAAATATTTAAAAGTAAAAATTATCATACACACACATAAAACCTTTCGAATATTTCGTCTTTGGGGAATAATTTTATGAAATTCTTCATCTTTTAATGAAATACCCTTGAAATTACGTCACGTAAAAGTGACAAATAAGTCTGGTCTCCCATAGCTTCGGACATAAATCATCGCATCTTTGGTATTTTTGTTGACCGATGTCTGATGATCCGATGTTTGATGAGCCAATGTCTTGATTTAAAGCTTCTCTAAGATGAATGTTTCACCTGACCTCAGTCTCTGGTGATTACGACATAATATGTAATTCAACCTTTCTGATATCTTTTTGCCATCATATCGACAATGTATTGAATAAAAACCGGCCAAGTGCGAGTCAGACTCGCACACGAAGGGTTCCGTACCGACCTCACAGAAGACCGGCGTAAATGGAAGTCTTATAACTTCTATGTTTCGTCTGGTGAGAGAGGTAGCCGGGGCCCACTTTATTTAAAGATGGCAACTCATTTGCAACCCTACAGGTGTTGCAATTGTCCATGGGCGGTGGCTATTACTTTACATCAGGTGAACCACCAGCTCAACATGATTTTTTTTAATGTGATAGTGTGGCAAACCACTCTATCACATTAAAAAAAATCATGTTTTAATATCTTTATTCAATATAGAAGTATTGTACTAACATATAGTCAACACTACTACTGTCAACATTATCAATAAAAACGGCAAAATAATCATGTCTGTTTTATGGGAGCCCCACTTATTTATATATTTTTGTTTTTTGGTATTTTTTGTTATAGCGGCAACAGAAATACATCGTTTGTGAAAATTTCAACTGTCTAACTATCACGATTCATGAGATACAGCCTGACATATGGACATACAGACGGACAGCGGAGTCTTAGTAATAGGGTGCCGTTTTACCCTTAGGGTACGGAACCCTACTAAGTCCCAGTAATAATGCAATGGATTAAAACAGGTAGCTCTAACCATCAACCTAAATGCATACAATTGCATGCATGTCACAATTTTGTTACGCACAGTACCTTGCTGTGGAATAGTCAAATATTAACCGTCTTCTGCTATTACGACTATTAAGGGATATTTTTATGGATTGGCCGTGTCTACCGTGCAACACTATATCTCTGGGGCCTTTTTAGGATGCCGTACCCAAAGGGTAAAACGGAACCCTATTACTAAGACTCCGCTGTCTGTTTGTCCCTTTGTCAACAGGTTGTATCTCATGGACCATGATAGTTACACAGTTGAAATTTGATCTGGGTACTTGTTTCCCAAGGAGGGTTGACGTCAAGCAGGCGGCTGGTTGTAAAAATATAGCCAAAACCGCTTACAACATGATTCATGTTGTGCCGCCCCAATCTAGATGGAATAGGGGCAGGAGGATGATGATAACTTGTATACTTGTCCCTATATTTTAAAAGTTCGCGTCAAGCGAAGTCATTTGAAAGAGGCTATTGTACTTTCGGATGTTGGTTAAAAATGTCCTGATGGTGAATGATTATTTGTAAAAAGATTTTTTATTGGTTGTGGCGGCTCCTCAATATTGGGGAGACTACCTTTTCTAGAAGCACAGCACATACCATTTGGTTCATCGACCCATTTTTGGCAGAACACTTAGAGCAGATCTTATTCGTGGCTACGATTTGGACGGAAGATTGTTGAGCAAAATGCATGAAAGCTGATCTGTTACTGTGAGCTAAAACTCGATTACGAACTCTAGTCGTTGACGTTTATTATCTTTCGTTTATTATACTCTTCAAGCCACTGCAAACACTCTACTTGACTCTCCGACTTGTAAGACGATTTTCAGTTTCCGGTAAAGATTCCTCATTATGACGTATTTTTAATGTCCTCGCCTGAGAACTATTTCTAGAAAGATGAGATCCTGATCTTTTGGGCATTTTAAAATGATAAAAAAATTAAACTTCCTTAGTATTAAATGATTTGCTAACTGTTGAACTTACCAGTATAAATGTGATTGAAAACTTATGAGAACTACTAAGTCAGTCACTTAGCTGTTTGGATAGTTAAATTACAATATACTAACATTTTTAAACTTGCAATATCTAAGGAATGGAATGACCGGAAAAAGTTTTATAAAGATATTGAAACAGTCTTAAATATGAAGTATTTTATTTTTATAAGGATTAATACCAACATACAAATAAAGAGCCTTTGTTAGTGGCGGCATTTCAAGTAAAATTTTAAAATAAAAGAACACTTATTGTGGCCATAACTATAATAGTTAGACATATGCTGTCGCGACACTTTTTGTAAATAATGATGTGGTCTGCAAAGTCGTAGTACATTATTTTATTGTATCATCAATAGTTTTCGCAGCGCACGCCATGTAAAGAATATTTTAGGTAATTTTTGTATACCTTGAATAACATTATTGGAGTCTTAGTAAGAATCCCTATTTTTTTTTAAAATATAATATAGCCTATTCCAAGCAGGTATAATGTAGCTTCTCAACAGTGAAAGAATTTTTCAAATCGGTTTAGTAGTTTCGGAGCCTATTCAATACATACAAACAATCAAATCTTTCCTCTTTATATAATAGATTAACTTCTCGCTCCGTACTGCGATACCCGCATACTGGAAATGTTTTTCGTATCGGCCGCACTGCAGGCGTCCGTTTCGTTGGAGCGAGACGGAGCGATTTAAACAGCGGCGCGAGCGAGAGGGCTCCACTCCCGTACCGCGATATAGGCAATCCGCAAACGTGTCGTCCGCAGGCGGGCGTGCGCGTGGTGCACTTCGTGGACAGCGCGTGGGTGGGCTCGTGGTGGCAGTGCGCGGTGCACGTGGCGCTGGCGGTGGGCGTGTTCGTGGTGCGCGGGCGGCCGTACTCGGCGGACGCGGTGGCGGGCGCCGTGCTGGCGGCGCGGGGCCGGCTCGCCGCCGCGGCCGCCGCGCTGCTCGCCTTCACGTGGAGCGTGCTGCTGCCGGTGCTGCTATGCGTGAGTGCGCTGTTATTTTATGTTGCCCTGGTACCCCCGGCGCCGATGACTCGGTGGCGCGGTTGCTGAGGCCTCACCGCCGGGGTCGTGGTTTCGATTTTCCACTCGGGATGGGTAGTTGTGCCGTCTTATGCGACCCTGGTATCCGATGGTGATGACTCGGTAGCGCGGTTGCTTAGGCTTCGCCGTCGGGGTAGTGCGTTTGATTTCCATTCGGGATGGGTACTTGTGCCGTCTAATGCGACCCTGGTACCGCTGGCGCCGATGACTCGGTGATGCGGCGATGCGGTTGCTAAGATCTCGCCGCCGGAGTCTTGATTTTTCACTCGGGATAAGTGTGTGTGCGGTCTTATGCCGCCCTGGTATCTTACGATTTTGACTACTCGGTAGAGCAGTCGCTAAAGCTTCGCCGGGGTCATGGATTCGATTCCTACACGGGGCAAGTATTTGTGGTGCCCCACAGATAAATGTTCCGGTCTGGGAATTTATTCGCAAGGATGGATTACGTCAGGCAGGTGGAAGGCCGTAAAAAACGTAGCCAAAATTTATTACAATATGATTCACATAAATGTTGGATGATACCTGTCTAGGATAAGGGGAGGATGGTGAATATGTTTGACTTTATATACCTACATTTGGACGTTAAAAAACCTTTTTTTACATAAATGCCGCAACTGGCCTATACGATTACATCATACCCTTGTGTACCAGGTATGTGTTAAAAAAAGGAGAAAGAATTAGACAACGACTGTTTATCTCTAGTTTTGTAACAAAATTTTTATTTTTGAAAATCCAGAGATTTTAAGGGCTAACCCAGCAGTATATAAATTGCCTTCCGGATAACGCGTTCAGACGCCCTACCCACGAAGTTAACCGGTGAAAATCCTCACCGCACCTCACTTGACCGTTACGAAATGAGATTGAATAATAATATGTATATGAATATTTTTTGTATCTCCAGGCAATCTGCGTGATGGATTTTCGTATTGGTCAGCAACGTCAGCTGTATACTTGGAGGAAGCCTACTGGGTAAATAACTGATAGTAATAAAATACTTAGTAGAGAACTCATTTTTCAAGAATTTGGAGAAAAACCTAAATTTCAATTTAGTACTCGTTTTGCTTGATTCAAATGTAAGCCTATTGATATTGACAATACGGGTCGGTCTATTATTTCACGATTTTTTTCAAATCCAAGTAGTTTGATTCTTGATTGGCAAATTATTATTTTTTAAATGTAAATGTACAGCTTTAGCTCTTGTCGAAATCGTTCCTTAAAGTATTTTGCTGCGTATTTTAATAAGAGAATATTTTGCTGCATGTTTATGAGAGAATTGGGAATATAGGTTTTAGAGTCGCAGCCTCAATTTTCCGTCGCGGTGTATGAAGAATTCCCACTCAAATAAAAAAAAAGACCTCTGTAAAACTCTCTGAAAAAGTGGTAGAAATAATATCGGCCTCGATATACCGAAGAGAAAATAATGATATATTGATTTTTTGGACCACGGGGTTTCTAGGACCTAAAGGGAAAACATCGATGACTCTGTGGCGATGTTGCCATGGTATTAGCTTCGGCGTCGTGGGTCGTGGGTTCGATTCCCACACGGGACAACTATTTGTGTGACCCACAGATAGTTGTTTCGCATCTGGGTGTTTGTGAAATTTATGTTTGTAAAACGCCCCTACAACACAGGATAATGTTATCCTAAAGTAAGGGCAATGTTTTTAAAAAAAAAACGATATATCGATATTTTTTTCGACATCCCTAGCTCAAGATCGTTCTTTGAGGCAGGCCGTGGGGTGCCTTTGTTCAGCAGTGAACTCTACTAGGTCGAAATGATGACGATATAAAATGTAATGCTTCCGTTTGTTTTCCAGCTACTGGCCTATATGGGCGAGGCAGGTAGCGGTCCTGATGCAGCAGGGTGCACTTCTGGTAGTACCCATAGCGGCCTTCGTACAAACGTGGCGGTACATGAACAAAGGCCCTCCGGACATACTTGAGGTAACACCAAACACCATAAACTAGTCACGAAAAAACGACCAGTGTATACAATGTCCTATGTTACTTATAGCCGATCGATGTCTTTATTATCTTGGGTTCGAATTATAAATTAATTTGAAGACTAAATTAAAATTTAGATCCGATAAGGCGACTCGCTTTTAATTCAATATACTAGAGCAACGTGAGTTCGATCCCCGGTGCCGGCACCAATGAAATTCTTAATTTTAAGTGCTGACTTATCACTTGCTCAGCGGGAAGAGCAAAACATCACGTGGAACCCTGCATATTTTCGAAATAATGACTAAAGAAATATTTCGAAGATATGTGAAGTCCGCCAATCCGCAGTGGGACCGCGTGGTGGACTATGCCCTGATACCCTCTGTACAGAGGAGGCCTTTGCCAGGCACTGGGACATATATAGGCGGTTACTTTATTTTTTATAAGCGGCAGAGTCATAGACAACGACTTACGCGATAACGCCTTTATTCGTATATAATATACAACGTGTCGTTACAACCGCGACAATAAATGAACACACATATAGAGGATACATTTTTAAAATTGTATTAAATATTTACACTCTTTAAACATTAATATTTACCGAGTTATTAAATTTCCCAAAACAAAGAATTTTAGAACAGCCTTAAGTATAAAACAGTAAGGTAAAATTAATTTGTAAAGGTCACAAAGCATATGAATGGGTTGAATGAATTTAAAAGAGATAAAACATACTGTTAGAAGGAGAGACTTGTAACGTGACGCTGTGGCAATTAATGAAAAAATCTCCGAGTGTATGAATCAGTCAGTTGTAGCTGTATAGGATGTTACAAATTTTGTTTCTTTTTTATTTGATTTGTTTGAAAATGATTTTTTTTTTAATTATGCATTTTTTTTTATTTTGTATTTTTTTATGATTATTGGCAAGTAGCGTTAGAAGTGTGTGTGTGAATATAATGTCGCGATTGTAACAACACGCTGTATACTCGACGAGACTAACCCGCCGAGGTAGAAAGTACGTAAAAATTATTTTCTACTTAACTGGTCTGTGCCCCATTGATCTACACTCTCCTAGATCATTATGCTAGTCGATACTTTCACGCTGCCAGGATTTCGGATCGCTTGAACACTTAGAGGATTTGGTAAGATGTTGAAAATGTGTCCGATTAAATTATTCAACGTATAGGTGTTGAGAGTTCGTCGATTACTTAGTTTTTGTGCTTCGCCTTAAAGTGTTGTGCGAGTGTTCGTTTAGCATTAGACATTTGTATGATTTAATTTGTGTGCACTTGCCGATGTGTGTTTGTTTAGTGAAAACAGCTTTTTATTAGACATAGACTTCACATCGAACTGCCGTTAATAGTGAAAGATGATACATACCACAAGATATTCCTTAATCGAACTATCGAATTATCCTTGCTCTTCTTGCGTTAATTATATAGCAGTCTCACTTTTATATAACTTTATTTTTTAGGCTTTTGATTTGATTTTATTAGTTAGTTACTTGTATGATTATTTTAAAACTTTCGTCGAAAGTCTGTTAATGCGGCCATTATGGATCATCGTTTTTTGTTTGCACGATGAAGTGTAGAGATGAATAGTAGTATCTTATACGTGAACCACAACAATTTAATACAATGAAGGTTGAAAAAATAACCTGAATTGTAGCATAAGAGCTGAATAGTCAATTGATAACAACGTGTAGCGAATGTTCTTACAATATTTCGCCCTTTCTTTAAGATGTAGTTCTTACGCTACGTATATGTAAAGGCTTTTACGTTCCAATTTATGTACTACAGCGTGCTGTAACGCCATCTTGTTGCATTCTATTTTATGGACATACACAAACTTTATACAGGGAGACTTTTTAAAGATGCACAAATTTACACAGGAGGTTCAGACTGGGTAGTATAATCGTTTATTGAAATAATAATAAACTTTTTTTTTTAAATTACCATTCTATTCCCTAAAAACAGAACTTGTTGACAAAGCGGTAGTCATTCATAAATACCAAAATTTTACTACTTAACACAAACGAACTTGTGTGCGTGTTAGTAATATTCATTACGCGAATCGATCGCGCGTAAAATAAATGAGTTGCGTATAAATCACGCACTTTTTGAGATAAGTTCAAATTAATGTAATTAATGTAATTAATTATTGACGAGTGATTTGAAATATTTATCATTTTTATATAAAATTATTTATGTCTAGAATTTAATTTAAAAAAAAATGGATACTCTTAGAAAAGCCTCCCCGTATACACTGACATACTACTTCTTGTCTCTACACTTCATAGTATGCATGCTTATGTTATCCAGATCATGCGAAGAACGGGGTGTGTTCTTCTCAAGCTTTATGTGCGTGTACACAGACTAACTAAAGATTCAAGTTTGTAATTTAAGTATTTATTACTCTGTATTAATTTAATTATTATTTATCTTTACGTGAAGTGCCAAGCGAGCTGACGGCTCGCCCGATGTTAAGGAATAACCGCCCATTGACATTTGCAAAACCTTTTAATAAAGTGGGTCCCGGCTGCCTCACTCACCAGACGAAACGCAGAACTATAACACTTCCACATCACGCTCTTTTGTGAGGTCGTGGTACTTCCCCGGACGGACCTGCCCATTCTTGCAACAGCGAACTGTTGCGTGGTCCTACCACAGTGATATGGTCCTACCACAGTGATATCTGCACGTCTCGTCTGTAACGTGTGATATCATCACTTTGTCGAAATTGTTGTTTTTCTGAAGACTAGGCTGCATGTCCTATGAACCTTTGCCTTTGCGAAAGGTCGAATCAAAAAGTTAAGTCCATTTGTCGGTTCATGTCATTGGAGATTGCCGCCGGTTCGAATTGACATTGGATAAATTAGTTTTTGTGGATCCATTATCTTCGACTGTGCATGGCTAGAGGTTGAAATCAGAACACGTTCCTGGTCGTATTATTTGTGATTGCTGTCTGGGAAACTCTGTGCTGGATTTGTTATCCCTTGTGGTGGATGCTGAAGGCATAGGTGGCTGGCAAGCTGGTCTGAGCTGCTGCTCAATTAAATATTGTTTTTTACCTCCAGTTGGAGGTCTCCTACATACCCTCCAACAGTGTGGCTGTACACACTACACTTGGCCTGGTTTTCTCTGCTGGTTCTGAGCTCAACGCTGACCTGTGCACACAGGGCAGGTGTCTCTGCGGTGACATAGATTTAAAATAACTACCTGATTGGACTTTATTTTTTAAATATTAATATTAATTTAATTATCTAACCTTTTTATGGTCGCACAAAGTAATAAGGTTAAGTAAATTTTGAGGTCCTATGTACTCACAACTCCCTGAGATACTTAATTGTTACTATTACAACAGTCTGTTCCTACAGACAAGGCGCCCAACTCATTATTAATTACTATTTTTAAAATATATTGTATCTGAGCTAGTCCAGGGATTGTAACTAAGAACTGAAGGGATAAATACAACATCTTAACTGCCAATATATCTTTTATTAAATCTCCCATCATTAACTACACCATCCTATATAGAAACGTTACACGTCGAATTGTCTGCGTTGCCAACTTTTAAGAGTGGGCGGTACCTAGTCTGTTATAGTTCATTTTGATTGATTTATTGATGGTTATGTTTCTTTTGCTTTGCGGCTGTGCGCATAAAAAATCACCAAGTTTCATTTTCCCCCTCTCGAGATAATTAAAGTAACGTTCCTAACTGTCAAAACGCCATATCGCTTGTTCTAGTGTTGCCAGTTTTTTGTAACATCGTGTATTGTACACATACGTATTATATTAAAATTTCCGTCGAGTAATAAATTTATTATGTTTAACATAATATATAAAAAATGCCATCCACGTGATTACGATTTGTGTAGTAGTAAGTGGTAAGTCCCAACGACCACTCCGACCTAGAAGATCTGTTGTAGCCTAAATGTATGGTGCACGCGTTTTATTAGCGTACACTATCATTGTGCTTCAAGTTAATATGTTACATGTGTAAATACGTATACTGTTTTTTTTAATGGAAAATGGAGCAAACGAGCAAGAGTCCCACCTGATGGTAAGTGATCACCGCCGCCCATGAGTGTTCATTCCGCAACACCGGAGGGCTTACAAATACTATCAGCGTTAATTGTTCCCATCCACGAATCGTGCTATGCTAATATCGGCGTCGTGTTTCAATTCATTACGTTGAACACGTACGCGTACTGTTCCATCCACGGCGTATACTCAGTGCACGTTCGCGTCCGCAGCGGGTCCAGAACCTGTACCGTCCGCGGATGGGCGGCGAGGGGGCGCCCCGCGACGAGGCCGCCGCTCGCCCCCCCCGCCGCCGCCCCCGCCGCCCCCGACCCGCCCCCCAAGTACACGCCGCCGCCCTCCTACTCGACGGCGACGGGCGCCCGGCTGCTCAGCACGCTGCGCCGCAGCTTCCGCACGCTACGCAGGCAAGGAAACGGGCGCCATCTCTTGCTGCAGTCGGGGAAACTCAATATTTTCTTTTTATCGATCCGGTAAGGGCGGCGATGCGACAACACGCCGTTGCCGCTCTTACCCGTCTCTGTGTGGAAGTGCCGGAAACGGGAACTATCGGCAGGTAGGGATGCCGAAAGTGAAGAAATATATCGATATTTATAAAAATATCAATATCGACTTCGATATATCGATGATAAAATATCGATATATCGATAATTTCTTATTACGCCCCGTTGTCCAAAAAAAAACTGTTCACTACAAGTCGGACTCGTTCACGACGGGTTTCGTATGAAAACGGATAAAATCATGTCTATTGTATGGAAGCCTCACTTAAATATTTTTTTATTCTGTTTTTTAGTATTTGTTCTTATAGTGGCAACAGATGATGTATATCTGTGAAAATTTCAACTGTCTTACTATCACGGTTCGTGAGGTAGTGTGGTGACAGACGGACAGACAGACAGACTTCGCTTAATAATAGGGTGGCGTTTTACCCTTTGGGTACGGAACCATGAAAACGTATGTCAAGTCCTTACTAATATTATAAACGCGAAAGTTTGTATGTTTGGATGTTTGTTACTCTTTAACGCAAATACTACTGAATAGATTCTAATGAAACTTTACAATAATATGGCTTATACGTCAGAATAACACATTTTTATGTCTTCTGTCTGAATGTTACGCCTTCAGCCTATTCTACGCAGATATAGTTGCGGGCGGCAGTTTTAATATACGGACTCCAATTTGAAAACAATATCGGTTTTTGACTCGATTTCGATATTTAACATTATATATCGATATATCGGCTAAAAATATCGATTTGTTCTATCAATAATGTCGATGTTTTTTCGGCAGGATGGCAACGCGCGCTGAGCCGGAGGACGCGGCGCAGCTGCCGATCTCGCTGAGCGAGGGCGTGGAGCGCGCGGAGGCGAGCGGCGGCGGCCTCGCGCGTGCTGCGCCCTCGCTGTCGGTGGCGAGCGAGACGGGCGGCAGGCGGGGGGCGTCCGTCTCGCTCTCGCTCTCGCGCTCGCTCCTCAGGCGCTCGTTCGTGCGCAAGAGCGACTCCGCTAAGAGCGTCCGCTCCAGCCTGCGCAGGAGCTTCAGGTCGGTAACGCTACCAATTTTTGTTCGAACACTTTTATTGTTCCGCAATGGTCATTTCAACATGTAAACACAAACTAGGGCACCGATGCAATATTGACGACCTGATTGGTGTAGTGTTGTGGGATTCGTTAAAATACTGCGAGTGTTTTTCTGATCTGGGCGTTTATCTACTGAATACATACAATGAAATAAAAGTATTTTTGTCAGTTATCTAGTTCCCATAGTACAAGCGTTGCTCAGTTTGGCACTAGAGAGCGTTATGTAAAAATGTGTGGTCAAATATAAAAAAAAAAATCTGCCAAACGCGCCAAAAGAAGAATGCCTCGAGCGTGGCCCATTTCGTGCAACAGGTACGGCGGCGCATTGGGGCTGACCACCAGCCACGAGCAGCTGGTGAGAGACGCGGAGCCAATCTCCAACACGGTGGCGATGTCCACCGTAGCCAGGGACCCGCCCCCCACTCTGCACACGCGAAGCCTCGGCTCGGTCATTTGAGCCCCCGAATGCGCTTTGAGCGTCGACGCGAGAAGACTTATTTTGCTATGTGAAAAGTTGTCAAGCGACCAAATCTGTGTTTGTTCGAAGTGAGAAAGCTTACAAGCTGTTTTTTTTTTATTGTGAAAAGTTGGTTGTCGAGCGAGTAGGACGGTCACCTGATGTTGAATGAATGCCGCCGCACATGGACATCTAAAACACGCCAAAGCTTGCTGATACGTCGACATTTAAAAATGCGGGCCCCGGTTACCACTCCCGCCGAACAACGCTAAAGATTAATACTTCCACTTTACACTGGTCTTCTGTGAGTCTGTGGTACTCGACCATCTCTGGAAGGGCCTGTCCGTTCGTGCAACAGCTGAAACTGTTGCGTGGCTCTACCAGTAGAAAACTGTGCCCGCGATTTTTCGAGTGTCATTGGGCGCCGGTGATCACTTACCATCAGGTGACCCGTCCGCTCGTTTCCCTCCTTTTCCGATAAAAAGAAAATAACGTCTTCGATAGAGACCAACATTTTTGAAAGAAAAAAAATCTACTTCAAAACCATAGATTATAAGAATCACATTGTTTTTTTCTATCGCTACCCTTTTTGTGGGTTACATCCAATATAATAGCTTTTTTTTGCCGGAAGTACTTATCTATGTTTAGAACGCTCAAAATTCGAGTGTGCCTCCGAAATTGGTCAGTTATGGATGTCGATGGGTGGCGGTAATCATTTAACATCAGGTAATAACTTTTAACTAAAAAAAAAATAATATGTCATCATGTCATACATAGAAAGAAGCAAGCGGAATGCTGGGTACTACTGCCCTCGTCCAGTTTAAATCATATAACTTAGTTGTATTAAGCGGAAACACGATTCCTGCACTCCATAGATAAGACATACAGCGTGTCTTTACAATCGCGACAATAAATGAACAAAACATACTGTTAGGAGAGGCTTGTAATGCAACGCTGTGGCAACGAATGAAAAAGTCTCTGAATGTATGAATCAGTCAGTTGTAGATGTATAAGATGTTACAAATTTAGTTTCTTTTTTACTTAATTAGTGTTTGAATTTTTTTTTAATTATGGATTTTTTTTAACGATATTTTTTTTATGATTATTGGCAAGTAGCGTTAGACGTGTGTTCATTTATTGTCGCGACGGTAAATACAAGCTGTATATGCTGCACTCGACGGTACATTCGCATAACTCGTAATGCCAACTTCATTTGGGCGCATTTAAATCTTGTCGGGTATATTCCCCATACGTAGACCGATAATATGTACTTATATGTTATGGTTTGTCATTTAATGTGTACTTAAGTGTACCATATTGATATAAGATTTATTTTAAAAATTTATTATTATGTTAGAATCGTTACATTGCGTAGCTATGACAAAAATGTAAATTGAATGGGACATTCCCAATTTTTGGTGCAATATGAATCAATGATGACAGAAAATTTTGTACTTGCAATCCCTTAAAATCCTCCAAAATTAGCTCCAAATATCTATTCGCTATAGTTCTATTGCATATTTATTTATTTTGTATTCACAATTTAGACATCAATCATATCGCAACAAAAATGAAAAAACGTTGCTTGGTCTATGATTGATTTTAAAATCACACTTTGTAATTTATCGATTCTGAACAAAATAAGTGTAGCTTATGTTAAGTGATACGAAATGACAATATGTGGACTGGGGTGAATCTCACTAACTCCACTCTTTCTTCAATTTTTATAAGTGTTATGAAATCTAACATGCACATGTTACACTCTCATCAATTTTTAATTATAAAAACAGGAAAGCATTGTGGTATAACAAAAGATAAAATGATGGTAGACGATTTGAAAGTTGAATTTCCCACTTTTACACAACAAATTACTGTAGAGGCCATCTTATGTTCAAATTTAAATTTAATAATTGACTGTCTCGCCAGTCAATCTTATTAATATAAGTTTGACCTTGATACTAATGTTGATATTACTACAAAATAAAGGCGAGTAAAATATATATTTGTTACAAGGCGAGTATGTAGTTTGTATTTTTCTGAATTGTGAAATGATTGTGAGAATACTTAAATTGTATACACCCAATATAAACTACAGAGCTTAGGTAATTATTGTAAGGTTTTTAATAAACGAAAATACTTAGTCGCGTCGAGATACTTTAGGGTAAGATTTTTTTAAAAATTTTTCGGTTATATATGAAATGTGTTCTTGTTAGTATAAGATGAAATGAGAGAATTTTTCTAAATTGAGAAAATGAAGATCTTTAATTATTTTAATGATTAATTTATATCAAATGGCAATAACGTTTTAAAATATATATACGATTACGATATTTTGATAAGTGCATTGTGAATCAAGACTTACAAAATGCCTATTTCATTATCACATTTAAATTGTGAAAAAGCATTTTGAGGATGATTATATTATAGTATCAAAGATATGTGAAATAGTTTTGTGATTTTAATATGAATCGAGATATATGTTGATTCGTTAAGTACAATGAATTTAGTTATAAGCATAATTGATTGTTCTAGTTATCGTTTAGACACAGCAGACGTTATATTCTCGGACGAAACCTCATTTCATATAATTATAATTGCTAATATCACAAAAACAATTTACAACATTGATAAACATTTAGAATCACATCAACTAATGTTGACAGTATTTATGCTAGATTACGTTGAATTTATGATGAAGAAGGCGCCGCAACTTATCGGCCAGAGAATGCATAATAAAAGAGACTAACAAGTACTGCTTAATTTTATCACGACTGTTTATAATTTAGTAAGTTCCTTTACTGCATTTATCGAGCGCTTTTAAGATTGTGTTCTTTCGAAATTTCCAGCTCTAGTCACTTGCGGCTTCCATTAACAGTATTTTTATTGTCGAATGCATCAGCATCACATTTAAAAAGAATTATGTCTATATCGAATAACGCACATTTTATTTGCTCGTGTATATTTTTTTTTGCTTTTGCTTTTACTTCTATTAATTTTTATGTTTATATTTACATTCCACTTGTATTAACATTATTATAGGTAAATAAGTTTTTTTTTACACATTTGTTTTTTTTTCTGTTCCTTATATATTATACATAAATGAATTACTTTCAGCAGTTCTTCTTATTAAAATTTGTTGGTTAGAAAAACCACGAAAAAAGACAAGGCCAGATTCTATTAAAAGCTACCTACACATTTCATAAATAAGTAATAAGTTTTAGAGAGTAGTTTAGACATAGAGAGACAGTAATTTAACTACACATAATTTGTAAATTGTAGCACATTAACGGTTTTTTGTAACTTCATAATTTTTTACAACTTAATAAAATATGCAAAAAAATGCGCATGACAATAAATGCTTTGAATAATTTCCTTTATTTAAGTATAATAAAAACACAGTCAAAATCATTTTAAACACCACAATTAAATTAATAGAAATAACACACGATGGGAACACGCCCACTGCCCAATAATATCATATTTTTTTCAAAACAAGGAGGCCGAGGTAGTGAAATGCTCTAGTCAATAAGATAAGATCAAGTGAAAAAATTTAAGGCGCGTAAGAGTTAAGCGACAGCCGAAATTTTTCAGAAATTAAAAAGACAGTGAATAGAATAGAACAAAAAGATTAAACATTTTACGACCTCAACTTCATTCATTAAAAAATATATAATCAGTCAATAAAACGACATCAAATTTCTGTTATCAAAATAGAAAAAATTGATAACAATGTATTACTAAAATACTTATAACATGCGGCATTTGTGTAAATCACAAATTGTTGTCACAGGGATGTATAAGATTTTCGTACAAAGAGCATTAAAAATACCTAAGTTTATCACATTAAAACATATTCACAATAACCATGTCAATACATCATAATTATCTAATCAACGAATTCATATTAAGCAATGATTTTGCCGCTTTCGAGTCAGTGGGTTCTTTCTTCTTGGACGGGTCCAACATGAAACATTTCCAAAGCCTGAAAAAAAAAATATACTTCATGAGCACCTATTTACAAAATACCGCAAGGTAAATTTTTCAAATACTTTAATATTACTCTTTTAGAACAGCAATATGTTTGAATTTAGTTAGAAAAATTATCACGTCACATGGGATATGATAAAGTGCGCGGCAAAAATAATTATATATAATTAACGAGTGACAGATAGTATCACATTAGATGACACTTCATTGATTTACAATACTATCACAAAACCTCAGAATGAGTTCGAATTTGAAGCAAGCAACTGCCACGCGACCTAAAAATACTGGTAGATTTCACACATGCAAGTTTCCTCAAGATATTTTTCTTCACTGCCAAAACACGTGCTAAAGCACTTTAAAGTGCTTAGTACATTCCATAAATGCCGGCACAGGTATTTGAATTCAGGTTTCTACATTTCATTCACAATTAAATGCGCGCCAGGTTACAGATGTTCAAGTGTGTACTTGAAATATAAAAATGATACAATTATACGATGTTATGATGAATTCACGATTATGAACGCCTAATACTGTAAAATTTTATTTGCTTAAATGGAAAGTTTTACAGGTATTGTGCGCCTAAAAGTTTAAACTGTCCATTGTGCTTAATATTTCTTGTGCTACCTACCCCAATACAGCACTTAACAGTAAATGGCTCTACCTAAGTGTCTCATCAGCGCCGGCGGACAGTACTGTGGTGCCGTCCGGAGATAAGGCGAGGTGCAAAACGCGCGCCATGTGCCCGCTCAGCTCCGCCACGCGGGACATCAGGGGATACTTCCAAATCACCAGCTGGTTGTTCGCATACCCGTGGCCGGAGATCAGCTCCTTGTAGTGTGTGCTCCATACGATCGAGCACACCTGCAAAGCGTTCAGTGACCGTTGTAAATCCATTAATGTAAAGTATTTCACATATAGAGGAAGATAGATCTTGAACTGCAATAATCGAGGAATATTGTAACAAACTGGATACTAGAACAAAAATAATACTGGATAAAAAAAAGGTCTAGGAACTGTTAAATTATATAAAAATAAGCAAATACGATGTTGGTTCGTGATAGTAGTTAAAAGGACACTATCTATCATACAGGATTCACACTAGTTTGTGTAGTGTGTTAAACTCTCTTGTTTACCATACATTATTATGTATGTACCTATTACGTCCAGAATAATAATAAAAGACGTTAAGTATGTACTATAATGTAATTAGCTAGGTAGCTCAACACAATACGTAAATTGTCCGTCGCTTCTACTCCAACCTTCACTTATTTAACTTTATTTGACAACAAAGTAAAAAGTACCCACATTTAAGATTACACATATTGGAACATGACATACCTCACCCCTTAGTAAGCTACCTACCACAGAATAATCAAAAGAAAAAAAAATCAAGAACATTTAAAATTAATAGTCTTAGTTAACTAATTAGTCTTTGTGAGCCTTAGATCTTTGATATGGTGTCTGTGAATGCAAACATGATTTGTGCTTTATTTTGCCTATCGTTGAAGACGTTATTTCTGTGGTGGATGGTATTCCTAACATCTCAGCCCATTGATCAGAGTCTGGGATTTCAATTATTCTCTCAGTGTCTTCACTGTTCTCAGACTCCTGTCTATGATTGTTACCATCTCTAGTATTATCTGAATATACTTGTTCCGTCGTTGGTTCCTTGTTTCTTCCACTTTCTTCATTCTCAAGACTCTACAACTTTTCCCGGTATCTTCCTTATTATCTGATCAATGTGACGATTAATAAGTATACCATCATCTGTTTGCAGTTTATAACTTGATGGACCACTTTTACTAATAACCATGCCTCGTAGCCATCTGGGCCCAGTACTACTATAATTGCGATACATAATCTCCTGTCCAACATTAGCGCTTCTGCTTTTTCTTTGAACATTATTATGTATTTGTTTTTCCATTCTTTCATGAGGTATAGTATCTGGATGTATTGTATCTAGTAATGTGCGTAAACGTCTCTTCATCAATAATTCTGCCGGACTCTTATTTGTAGTGCTGCATGGTGTTACTCGAAGACCGAGTAGTATATTCGGAATTTTTACCTCCCACGCCAAATCTTCCATTTTGCTTAATTTGTCTTTAACGGTTTGGACCATTCTTTCCGCCAATCCATTCGTAGCGGGGTGGTGTAGTTGCTGTAGTTATATGCCGGATATTATTAGCCTCCAAGAATCTGTTCATTTCATTCGATACAAATGATGTACCGTTATCAGACACCACCACCTCACAGAGTCCATGGGTAGCAAATGTTGTTCTTAGAAGTCGAATAACTGTAGAGGAAGTAGTATTATTCACCATGTATAGTTCAGGCCAAGGTGAGTAGGCATCCACTATAATTAAAAAATATTTTTTATGATATGGTCCTGCAAAATCGACATGAATTCTCGACCATGGTCTTGTCGGTGTGATCCATTCGTGGTTGGTTCTTGGAGGCACGTGCCTATTCTCCAAGCATTTGGAACAAGATCTAACCAGTGCTTCTATATCCTCGTTGAGATTTGGCCACCAAACATAACTTCTGGCAAGTACTTTTGTTTGCACTATACCTGAGTGTGTTTTATGTAATACTTTTAATATTTCATATCGCATCGATTTTGGTATTACTACGCGACAACCAAGTAGTATGCAATCCTCTTGTAATGATAACTCTGTGCGATGCAACCAGTATGGACGTAAATCGGGATCTGTTATTCTAGCAGGCCAACCTCGCTGTATGTAAAAAATTACTCGTGACAAAATCCTATCGCCCTTTGTTTCCCTGGATACATCTTTCACATCAAACGGGAAGTCTTCCGGTGTTTCGGCAATTAATAATACCTCACCTAATTGTTGTTCTGCTTGTTCAGGAACAGGTTGGGGCCATCGGCTTAAACTATCGGCGTAACCAATTTGTGAACCTGGTTTATATTTTATCTCATAACTATGAGACATCAGAGCAATCGCGATTCTAGTCAATCGCGGAGATAACATATTAGGCAATGGTTTTATAGGATCAAATATACCCAGCAATGGTTTATGGTCCGTAATTATCTTAAATTGTCGACCCATGAGATAGTTATGAAATTTTTTAATACCAAACATTATTGCTGTAGCTTCTTTATCCAATTGGTAATAACGTCTTTCATGAGAGTGCAGTGTCCTCGACGCCATTGCTATTGGACGTTCTTCACCGCCTTCCGTTTCATGTGATAAAACTGCTCCGACCCCATATTCTGAACTGTCGCATGTTATGGTTAACGGTTTGTTTACGTCGTAATGCACCAAAGTCAGGTCGAACGTGAGCAGACGTTTGGCTACATCGAATGCACTTTGTTCGTGTGACATGGACTATGTCCATGGATGTGTAGAGTCTAATAACCGGTGTAATGGTTGCCTTGTGTGGTATGAACCTCTCATAAAAATTGTACAATCCAAGAGAAGCTTGCAATTCTCGTTTATTTTTTGGTTGAGGTGTGTTTACTATTGATTCTATCTTACTTCTTGCAGGATGGATGCCTTCAGCATCAATGACAAAACCTAAAAATTCAACTTTTTCCTTCGCAAACTGGCATTTTATTTTGTTAAGACGTAGTCCCGCCCGCTTTATCCTTCCTAGTACTATGTCTAAGCGATTTTCCATTTCCATCATAGTTTGACCAAAAATTATAATATCGTCTATCAAAACTGCCACTCCAGGGACACCAGCCAGTAAAGAGGTCATCAAGCGTTGAAAAATTCCTGGGCTTGCTTTTACACCAAAAGCCAACCGATGCACCGAATATAAACCCTTGCAAGTATTTAGTGTTAATAATTTTGACGTCTGCTCGTCCACCGTTACCTGGGTGTATGCTCGATCTAAGTCTAAGGTTGTGAAAAATCTCCCTCCAGCCACGGCGGCAAATACTTCGTTTGCTGTAGGCATGGGATAAGTATCTGACTCGGTTGCCTCATCAACTGTACTGCGATAGTCTCCGCATAGTCGTATATCGCCAGATTTTTTTTAAAATAGGAACTACCGGTGTAGCCCAATCCGAAAAAGTTGTAGGGCGTAGAACTCCTTCTTTTTCCAGACGGTCTATTTCCATTTCCACCCTTTGTTTAATAGCAAAAGGCACAGGACGCGCTTTTAGAAATTTGGAATAGCACCTGGCTTTATATGTATTTTCACTGGTTGTCCCCGGTAGGTACCAAGTCCTTCCTGAAAAACTTCACTATGTTTTAATAAAATTTTGTCCATTTCTTGCATGTCATATTTTGTTACATAATTGATATTCATTGTTATATGAAGTGGATTTAACCAGTCCCGACCCAAAAGATTAGGTCCATTTCCTCTTGCCACTATAATAGGTAATTTTTTGCAGATATCCTTGTACTGAACGGGTAGTGTTATTTGTCCGCGTAACTTGACAGGTGTTTCGGTCAACGTGCGCAACGGAATAGACACGGGCTGCAATGCTGTGTCTTGTATGTGTGAGCTCAGTTTCTGCCATGTACGTTCATTTACAAGAGAAAAGCTAGCTCCAGTATCCACTTGCATTGAAATCGGTACATTTGCTATAGTTACCATTACTTCATAAAGAGGCACGCGACTATCGCCACGGAGGCAATATACACTATTCAAATATTCACCCGAGTCCGATATAAACTTTAAATTGTGCTTAGTATCCTTCTTCTTATTCAAACAAATCTTTTCCAAATGACCCTTCTTTTTACAATATTTACAAACAGCATTTATAAATCGACACTCGCCCGTATGTTTGTCACCGCAACGGTAACAAAAACGGAAATTTGCGTTTGATCGCACTGCATTAATTTCCATAGGCTCGTCTGAGCCGTGTACTGTTGGATCGGGCTGCGCCACTGGCTGACCCGACGTGCTCGAAGATTAAGAACGAAGATTAAGTGAGACGCGATCGTGTACCCATGGCTACCGACAAAGTTCATTTACGCCACTGTATTTTGTACGAATTCCAACAAGGAAGAAATGCTACAGAAGCGTATAGAAATTTATTGAAAGTGTTTGGTGAAGGTGCAGTTTCTGATAGAACATGCAGAAGATGGTTCAAAAAATATCGTGTAGGTGATTTCGACCTTTCTGATAAGCCACGCTCTGGGCGACCATCTTTGATCGACGATGATACTGTCAAGATAATGTTAGAGCAAGATCCTTTTTTGACAACATCGGAGATTGCGGAAAGGCTTGATTCAGCTCAACAAACCATTTCCGACCATATTCGGAAGCAAGGGTTTGTGTGGAAATATTCGAAATGGGTGCCACACAAATTGAGAAGAATTTGAATGATCGAATCATCATATGCACATCTCTGCTTGCACGCAACAAAATCGAATCCTTCTTGGACCGGATCATAACTAGGGATGAAAAGTGGATTACCTATGAAAACATCAGAAGAAAAAGGGCATATTGTGAACCCGGAAAACCTGCCCCATCTACCTCTAAACCGAAGTTGAGCCTGAACAAGAGAATGTTGTGTATATGGTGGGACATCAAGGACCAATACATTTTGAGCTGTTGAAACCAAACGAAAGGCTAAATTCGGAGAGGTACTGTCAGCAATTGGATAAATTAAAAACAGCACTCCAAGAAAAGAGGCCGGCAATGTTCAATAGAAAGGACATCATACTGCTTCATGACAATGCCAGGCCACATGCTGCTTTGGGGACTCGTCAGAAAGTTGCAGAGCTAGGCTGGGAAATTCTGTCGCATCCACCATACTCCCCGGACCTAGCACCATCTGATTATCACTTGTTTTTGTCCTTACAAAATTTCTTGCAGGGCAAACAAATCAAGAACGAAGAAGATATCAGACAAGCACTGGTTCAATTTTTGGCCTCTAGAGATAAGACATTTTTTAAAAATGGGATATACAAATTGCCATCACGCTGGCAAGAAGTCATAAATAATGATGGCAATTATATTATTTAATAAAGTTTATCCAAAGTATGAAAAAATGTATTCCTTTGTTTCATTCTAAAACGGACAGAACTTTCCGGTAGACCTATAATTTTGATAAAAGGAAATATTCTTGCACTTCGTAAACATTGTAACCAAACATTATCATATAAATCGATACATTGACCAAACTAAACATATTATTTATTAGACAAATTAATATACATCATGGACCATGGTACCTATCATGCTATTGTAGTATAAAACTGAATCAGCAATCCGAACTTAAGTTTCATATACATTTGTGAATAAAATATGTTCCTATTCTGTTAACTGGTATGTGACACATATTTGAAAATGATATGTAAGTAAACTACATTTTGATTTTTTCCTACTATGGCTCCACTGATAAGTCAGTGATTTTGCTAATAACTCAGTACTTTGAGATCAACTTGATATGGTTAGGGGACCATGACAATGCTACATTTTGATAACATATCCAATATGGATCATGGAATAAATTACGATGGGTGTTGAATCAACGAACCAGTTGAATCAACCGTTGATCTCTTATTAACGAATTAACTTTAACTGTCATTGAAATCAACTGGTTGAATTAGTTAACGTCGTTTCGAAAATTTTGTCGTTGAATCAATTCGTTTAAAAACGCAGTCAACGTTAAGTCAACGGAACATAAGCGTAACGAATTGAAAACCTTACGTTGAAAAAAACGTCACAGAGTTGAGTTGAAATGTTTGTTTCATTTTATGAAGTACATGTTTAAGTTCGCTTTCTTTATTTTTGTTTGACAGTTTGTGAACAGTTGCGCGCAAGGTTATAGAATATTTTGCGGCTTTGCGTAAATATTATCAGAACTTTACTTCATGTTTAGTGTTTTTTTTATGAATTTGTTAATTTTAAATTAATTATATTTGGAATTTTATTTTATGTTATTACTTTTGTTTATCAGAATTTTACTTTGTGGTTAGTGTTTTTTATTTTAATTTATGATTATTTAAGTGTATAGAGGACTGTGGGTACAAAATTCAAAATAATTGAACGTATTAACAGTGAGTTATGGCTTCATACCTAAAAAGACAGTTCTAGCGGAAAAGCTGTTTGTAAAGTATGCAAGAAGAAAATATCTAAATTCCAATTTAACTTTTACAAAGTACTTGAAGCAGAAATATACTTAAATATTTTCATCAGTGTTTTAGTATCAATCTTTAAACACCAGCGTATGATGGTTGATTTTGATAATTTTGAAATTGATTTGAAAATAATTCAGATTTGTTAGATTTATGCATAGATAGCTTTCATCCGTTTTCCCTAGTAGAAGAAAGGGCTTGCAATTTAACATACTTATGTATGTGTCACGTTAACTAGTTGACGAACATGAATCAACGTTAACGTTAAGTTGAAGAAAATACCTTCAACGACCCATCGCTAGAATAAATCCATTACGATCATGTCTAGAGGTCTAGACAGGCTACCTAATAGACAGTTCAGTTACATAGATATTTAGGTTTTAAGTATTTATGTGGGCCGATCCCGGCGGCACTGCAATGCCGGGCCGACCCGTGACGGGAGTGGAGCGAGCCCCGAACATCCCGTCGTTTTTCAAAAATCAGTTTAATATACTGGTCCCGCAGTGCGGGAACTTTCAGATATTAAGCTGAAAAGAACAGATACTACACTTTGATCTTAGCCAAAAGGCCGAGAAGCAGATAACAACAAACGGCGACCGGATGATAGTCATTAATTCTAAAAAAATCTCAACATCGCGATGTAGAAATATCCAGTTCTTGCAATAACGCCATCTATCGGTAAAAGCTGATAAGTTTGCAAAATGATGACAACTCTAGCGACATCTGTTACAAATGTTTTTAATTTAACATTATAAGGATAGAAAGTATTACGGTCCAGATGTTTTAAAACATGTACTTTTATTTTGACAAATATTTTATAACTCATTATAAGTGTCTTTATGAGAATTAAGTTCTTTAATCTTATTTTATATGTTGTTGTTAGTTCCATAATAACACATTTCCCTTTTTACCCATACTATGATTAGTACAGCCTGTAACAATTTTTAACCAACATCTTTATTTTAAACAGCTTTACCTGTGATTTGGTGTCAACAGTATTTAGATTAGCGCCAGTGTTGACATTCCAAATGCGAATAGTTCTATCAGCTGTACCACCTCCAGATGCCAGGATACCTGCACTCCACGGACACCATGCCAGTCCTTTCACTGCCGCTAAATGTTGGCTGGAATTATTTCGTTAACATATTAATTCTTTGGATTACTATATTGGCAAGTTAAGGGATTTATAATACCATACTTGTGGATTCAATTACCACTTTGGTGTTTCTCCTACACCATATATTATATATTTTGTGTCTTATATTACACAAAGTCATATTATATATAAATATTTCTATAACTTTCTCTAATGATGAGATAGATGGCTTATAAGCAATTACACATAATAAATGAAACTAATTTTACGGATTTATCGCGTTTATTTTTAATTTTAGTTCCCGACGTTTCGAACCCTTTACAACGTTCATGGTCATGGGACAGACTGAGGTGATAATTACACATTGTAAAACCCCTGAACCCTAACAATTATTATTCAATAAAAAGTCTTGTCTTGACTGTTTTTACTTGTTATTCATTTCATTATTTGTACATGCAAAACTTTTAAAACTTTAAACCAATCAATCATTAATTAGGCATTCATAAAATAAAATGGTTAGCAAAACTAAAAAATAGTATTAAGGAACTCTAAATCTTGAGAATGTACAGAATATTTTATGTGTCAGTTCAGTTTAATTTTAAAAATCTTACTTGAATGAGTAGAGATACTGGGGCTGTGTGTAATGTTGCCCTTGGGCAATTGGCCAGATGTTAAGGAGATTGTCATTGCCTCCTGATGCCAGATATTTGCCATCCGGGGACCATTTTAGACCGCAAATCTGTTAATAAATAAAATTATAAAAAGGTTCCCTTCATGCACAGTATGCTGAGTAATTTTTATAGTGAAGCTACATACTATTCTTTCAAATGTCAGAAAATTACAACATATTGCACATTTTCTTTAATTTTTTATACATGTGCTTAAGCTATAAGGAGTAAATTGCTTTAAATATTTGAATACCAAAAATATTTCTCATGTGCAGCAGAAGCTGTAACATGATAGGACTTTGTTCTCCCCAGAGCGGACTACAGGCTCATATAAGATTGGCATTGAGTTTAGTATTAAACTTTTCAAGATTTATTTAGCAACACAACTGTACTGTCAGGTGAACATCCTGTTTGTCTGCCACATTTTCATATGCAACCAACATATAATACCTACAACCAAAATATACAACATATAATAAAATACAAAACAATCATAAAACATACCTCTTGTGTGTGCGCACTAATTGTTGCAAGGGCGTGATCTCGCTGTCTCACGTCGTGATGCACTATATTACCGTCACGAGCACCACTTGACACTATATACATGTTCCACGCTAAAGACCCAACTCGTCCTGTGTGACCATCCATGGCCTGGAAAGTACATAATTAAAATTTACTAAAGATTTGTTACAAATAAAGCAGTTCCACCTGGTGTGAGGGTAAGGCACATAGGCTTAGCATAGGTGAGAAGTTTGGGTAGTGAATGATTAAAATAGATTCCCAATTTCGTCCAAAGTCCTCTTATATTTTGTCACTCCCTCAAAATTCAATAAGCTTCTTTTTCTTTTATCATCTCTGTCTATACACGTTTTCAAAGTGAAGTGGATGAGAGATCAATGGGCTTACAGTTTATCATGTTTCTCTTTAATTACATTTGGTGGCAAGGGACAAGTGGTTTTGGAGGTAAGATGTCATTTGTGTCTACATATAGTAACATCTAAAATAAATGTTGATTGATGGTATTTTTAAACATATCAATCCATCAAGGATTTAAATGAAGCCTAGTAAGTTATACGCATAGTTAATTGTAATTATGCGAAAATAAATAAAATATACTCACTCTTAACCTTTTTATTTTTTCACAGTCCCAAAGTTCAACAGTGGCTGTAGAAGTTCCAACAGCTAAATGTGTGCTACCACCTTGTACCCATGCAACAGAACAAACCGTCTCAGACCCTTCAAGAGTTAAGAGTTGTTCTATTTGTCCAGTACCAGCATTCCAAAGATACACAGAATTTCCTAAAGCCACTGCCAGGATGTTAGATGCACTCCAGTCAACTAAGTTGAGGTCTGTTAAGCAAAATAAAGACACCTTGAAAAGTTTTGCCAACACACAAATGAACATCTTCAAACATTTATTTTAACTGATTTTAAATTCCAGTGTAATTGATATAAGAAAAAATATATAAAAGCGCAATAGTATTATCATAAATCAATTCAGTTATTTGACCATACAGCTCAATGTCATATCATATTGTTTTTCCTGAACAAGTAAAAAATGTATTAAAATTAATGTGAAGTATATGATATGATAATAAATGAAATAAATAAATTTAAAGAAGGTTATATTGATTCCAAAATTCTTACAATAGTCATCTAAAATATCAGGAGCATCCAGTATTCTATCAGGGGCTTGCGGAATGTACCGAGTGGTGTTTTTCACTGATGAAGGAACTTTGGCCTGAAAAAAAATTATAATGTTACAGAAAAAGACACACAACAATATTTATTTACTGGAACAAAGTTCCTTATCGACGCATTGTGAAAGGGGGCTAGACAGAAAAAATTCTCACGAAAAGTTGTAACGACACTTTTTGCTATAGTAAGCTAATATATATATATATATCCCTTGACACCTCTCATTTTTATGTCCAAAATTTCTTTTCACTACTTTCATTAATGAAGGCCTAATACACAAATTACATTCTTCAATGTTTATGTTAACTTGGCACCACCAACTACAAATATTTGCTAAGAACCAATTAATGAGACATGTGGAGACAATGAAATTGGGTCTTATGTCTAACTTAATACAAGATTGATAAAAAAATAAAGAGTTTATATACATACTTGTGAGTATACAACTTTTAATCTGTTTTGATAGCCTTCAGGCGCAGCTGGTGCTTTGCATGTGTACTGTAAAAGCCGCCCTGGCTCTGTATCAGTTAAAGCTCTCCCAATAGCCTCGCCAGCCGCCGTTTGAGCAACAACTTCCTCACCCTTTTCTTCATCGCGGCTCATCTAATGCAGACATATATATTAAAAATGAAACCATGTTGAAATAATGCAAAGAACTTTTTCACTTACCATATAATGACACAAGTCATAATTTGAATTGCTCCTTGAAGGTATGAATCTATCAGCTTTGTTAGGAGTCTTGGAGGCTTTGTTTGGAGTTGGTGTTGTTGACCGACCTGGTGAGATTGTTTTAAATAATTGAATATATGAATCTCTTATTTCTAATCCATTTGCAGTCAATTGAAATGTTGGGAGTTAATTTCAAAATAATCTCAGACACTATAATAAAAAAAGTGAATTTTGGATGTGAAATGCTCACCTGGAGATTTATTTTTAGATGGAGTTTTCTTTCCCTTTTTATTTTCATTTCTAGTCGGTGTTTTGCTACTTGACAGCACACTGTTATTGCAGCTTTGGTTTGCTGATATTGATAACTTTTGCATTGATTGATTACAAGAGCTCAAGTTGGCATTAGAAATGTTTTTGAAAGACGCGCTCATTGTAGGATTGATATTTTCGTTCATAGTCTTTTTTACCCATCGTTGTAGAGGACCCCTCGTTATCGGCCCATCCATGGTAGCTAAACTATTTAATTCATTCAAATAGTTGAACTGGGCCATGCCTTTTCGATGATCCGCAGGCCCAAATTTTTATACTACTTATGATAGGACAAATAGTTGTTAATAATTACGAAATGAGATAAGATACATCAGTTTATTAATTATTATTAAAGACAAATGAATAGAAACTCGTCCTACTCAATGCCAAGTAAATATTGACAGTTAGTTAAATTCCGTTGAGATTTAAAAATGAAATAGATTGGATAATGTTGCCATTGCGGAATCATTTCGAATTGTAATACGCTGTAAATGCGGCAACTTTGACAGCTTTTTTGTTCGTGTAGCGAGAATTACGAATATCGTTTTACAACGATAATTCGAATGAGAGATGTCGCCATTGCTTTTTTAGAAATTTTTAAATTGTTCATAGTATTGTTTATTATAGTATAGTATAGAAATTTTGAAATTGTTTGTATGCTGGAAAGGATATGACAATGGATGCGCCAAGCATTGCTTCAAATGCTAAGAAACAATGTAGATAAAAGACGTTAAGATTTTCGTCGGTGTGGCAATCAGCCGTTTAGCTTAGTGGTTAAACCGTCAGGCCGCGAATGCCGAAGACGTGGGTTCGATTCCCACAGCGGCAACAATCTTTTCGTACTTTTTCTACATATTTTAATGTTCAATCTTAATTGCAAAAATGAACATTAAAAACAATTTTAAAAAAATTTAAATTTAAAATTACGATTTTTTTATATTATAGGTAAAGGCAAAATAATTACGAAACATCAAATATAATATAATTTGAATATGTTAAGAATAAAATCAAAACAATATTATTAGCATACATAAAATATTCATACCAGACACAGGTCTTGGCCTGACGTCGTCCAAAGCAGCACATCTCTGTAAAATTTTACTTTTTTAAAGTAGTTTTGTGTCGCTTTTTTTCGAAAATGTGAATAAAATTTAACTCCTAAAATAATATTCCCGTAAAAATTTACCTCCCAAAAAACTTCCATTTTACATTTTTTATTCTTAAATTTAGGAAGCAAATTCCTAAGTTGGCATCCCTGGGCGTGCGCCGTGCGATGGCGAAGCGAAGCGATGTATATCGGTCTCGCCTGCTGTGTCTCTCTCACTTGATATAACTTAAGTTTATACATATAAGGTTCCGATTGTGCTTACACGTGAAATAAAATACTTTCAAAGTATTTTACGTCTTGATTGGTATATTTGAATCTTATTTGTATCGTTACAAGATTTAAACTTGCAAGGAAACAAGTATTCGACTCGTTGCGTTGGACAGAAAATACTTTGAAAGTATTTTGATACCTGGTTTCTGTACTAGGTATGAGAAGGTAGCAAGGTACTTTTAAGACCTGGTACGCGATTTAGCAAGTATAACCCATCCCTAATGCAGGGTTGAATCCTCTGGAGGAAACGCTCGAAACTTAAAACTACGAAATTTAATTTATGAAAACAAAAGTAATTAAGAAAGCAATTACTTATAAAAAACTAACTGTGGCACTCGCGGACTGCCGCGGTAAAGTTATTGCATAGCATCTTTTAATAAGTTATGTTATTATAATTATTTATTTATGCAGTATTTCTTTTCTTTAATATTTATATTTATAAATAATAATATTTTTAATAATATATATTATAATGTTATGTAAATGTAATTATCTATATGTTTATTTTTTTTATCTATAAACCCAACCAGACGACAAATCAAAGGAATATCCCCAACATATATTATAATTATATAGAATTTCTTTATATTATTTACAAAAATGATAAGAACTGCAACTGAAGTCAGTCACTAAGCTGTTTGGATAGTTATAATAATATATGAATATACTAACATTTTTAAACTTGTGATATCTTTCGAACCCGGACCCACCGCCGGGGGTCCCGCCGGATAACACTACAGCCACAGCTTAGTGTAACAACAAACACAATAGTTCGCCCTCGCCTCCGAGCACGGCGAGACCAACACAACGCGTACACAAGGTACACCCGCGTTCCAGGGCGGTTCTCACCGCCCCCCCAGCCACCGATTAGCTAAAAACACAGTCGACGGCCATCGGGGTCTCGGTCCGCACCGCAACTTCGATGGCCCTTAGATGACATGTCGTAGTTAAACGCACGCATGAGTGCGTGCGTTTAACTACGACACGCTCGCCGCGCTCAAAGCCCGCGATAAAAGCTATGCAATAGCTTAAAAATTAAGCCATTTATGTAAATACAAGATTTTTTAAAATTATTAATTCTGTATTAAATTATTAGTTCTGTAACAAGATTGAATTTTAAAGGGGTTATAATTACGTGCAGTTTTATAAAAACTGCACGCAATTTAAAAATTTGGAGAAAAATGGAAGAAAACATTTTCGCTGCGAGTATTTGAATATGCGCCCGATGCTCTAGTCACTGAGCTTAACAGTTTATCCTTTCAGATATATACAAAAGAACTCTTTGGATATATAGACTGAAATCCGACGAAAATCTCAACGGATTTTATGTGCTCTGATTTTTATGCAATATTTGGCGTTAATGTTATATTTAATTGCAAAATATTATATGAACGTGTTTGCTGCTTTCCATCCAAAAACATCCGTAAACCATATGTTGTTAGGAGTGTGGCCAGTTACCTATTATTCTCGTTGAACCAAAGGTTAAGACTGTTATATAATAACTATGATACATACCAGATGATCTCATTTGATGGACTACCACATTTAATGAACAAACAAGAGTATTTCAGAGCATATTTTATAAAAATATCATTGATTCCCAAACTGATAAACATACTTTTGTTTTGAAAAATGCAATGAAAAGCGCTATGCAATTAACATAGCGCTTAAGCGCTTTTCTAAGCGCTATGTTAATTGCACAATATTTTTCCAACAGTAGGGGATCAAACCCATACACTGACGCAAAAAACAGGCTCACTATCCATTATGCCAAACGCGTCGCCATTCCGCTGTTTTTATAAAATTCCAAATAAAAAAACTTCGTATTTGTAGACAGTGTTTACTTTAGTGTTAGGTCTACTGTCAGGTTTTGAACATGTAAAAATATATTAAACAATATGAAATAAAACAAGTAATTCGATTTTTATTAATAATAAAAATGATTAATTTTATTTATAAGACTGTATAGTTCACAAAAATAATATACAAAAAGGTCTAAAAATATAGTTTACTTTTTATTGCATTATTTTATTAAGACAATTATTTCAAAATTAAAATGAATTAATCAAATTAAGTTTCTTATAAATGCATCCTTGAATCCACTAAAAGTGTAAAATCCAATGATTTGTTTACCAGCAGATAAACATATGGATTGTAAAACTGGTCTTGAATTAGGAACAGATATGGAAATGCTACATTGAGCATTACATGATACATTCGAAGTTCTTTTTATTTTTACAAATATAAGACTATTAAAGATCATTACATAAAACTTCCCTTCAACAGTCCAACATTCAACACCTATTTATTAAAAATACTAACCTATAAACATTATAGCACCATATTTTATAAAAACTTATAAAATCTTATCTATAATAATTAAAACGAGATCTTATCCAGACTTGCATATTTTTAATATTTACAAATTGAAAAAAAAATGTATGCTAAGAGGACTGCAAGGTCAAGGATATACATAAACAGTTGAAATATGCATGCCATGAATAAAAAAAGATGTCATAAAATACAATTTAGTAAATTCATATAACACAAAAAGCTTGAAATTATCTGATTATGAGGTAATTGAAAGTAAGCAGATAAAATTTTAACTCATTCAATTTGGATTAAACTATGTTGAACTATATTAAGTTGGATCATATCATAATGTAGAAATATGCCAACTACATGATGAAAAAGTGCATATTTATGGAATTCCTCAAATTACTAAGGCAGTGAAGGATAAAGCAGAAATGCATAAAACTTTGAGAGCTTACTTACAAAAGTATGGTGGGATTTCAAATATATTTAAGGTATCAATTATCACTTAATGCATATAAGAATATTTTTATGGGCACATATTTCGTTCTACTCTATAATAAATAAATGCCAGTTGTTCTGTGGATAGTGTTGTAGTAATAATATTATCAAAATTCAGGAGCCTTACCAAATGAAAAGCAATTATTTCTTAAATGAACTGCATTTTTCTTAAAAAGAAGCAAAATGAAGATTTGGCCCTAAACTCAGGTTTATGATTATGTAGTAGTAGTTACATTAAGAAAATGGCTTCTGTTTTAAAATTAAAAATATTAGAATAAAATAATTATAGCAATTACTAGGTTCATTAATACAATTTCTTATAATTGAATAAAAACATTAAAAATTAAATTTAAAATTGGCGTTGTATCTTGACAGATATAAAATAAGGTATTCAAAGCTTTCTAATAATATGTAGCAACCAAAATATATAAAGTAAATGTAAAAGACTTGTATAACTTGATATGAACAAGTTTTGAGCATTATTAACTATTAACATATAATGACTAAAGTGAGTAGTATGTTACGTATTTTTATTGTAATTAATAACTAATTTAAAAATAAATTTAGCTAACTTTCAACTAAAGCAAATTAATTTCTTTCATTTGATCATTTTTCAATTATTGATAAATAGGCTTTTTTGAGGTTTTACCTTAAACTAAACAAATAAAAAAAAATCTAATACTTATAAGGAAACATTAATTATGGATGGTATGAATATTTTGCAGCTTAAGAAAATTCAAATATCAGAATAAAGTAGTTAAGAAAAACCTAAAAAAGCCATGTGGGAATTACTATAAGCTTAAGATTTCTTAGGAGAAAATTGGAAATAACGCTTATAATTTAAGAACTAAAATCTCAGTGTTCTATAATTGTGCTAAATTATGTTCAAACTGAGTTTTAATTTTTGATTTGTATAATTTTGTTGTAGTCTTTGTTGCATGTCCTTGTGTTTATTTTCACAATATAGCATATTTTCATCCATTTAAAATATTAATAATATTTAAAATGAAGTATACTATTATTATGCTGCTAGTGCACCAATTAACTCCTTAATTTATACCATTATTAAAATAACACCACTCTCGGATTTGCTAGGAAGAATGTGCGCATATTAAATTCATGATGTGGATATGTCCAGGATGGTCTACTGTAACAAAGCATGAGAACTTTTCATCATGGCACAACTTCCTGGCGTTGACACCAGATAATTTGACGCATGCTAGTATTTCCTTCCTTTTTGAGCCCTCTTTGTGTCTGAAAGTAAAGTTACAGCCTATACTTTTTTCCTCTGCTGGGCCTAGCGGCCTGCTGTATAGAGTATATAAAAATTTCTTCTATTGTTTTTTGTTTAAATACCAGAACCCAATCTATTGCTGTGCCAGGCGATAAATAGACAGACCCATGCAGCAGCTTCTGCATTTGCACAAATGGCCAATCATCAGGGAAAGTACCACAGTCTCAAAAATTCCAGCTTGAAGAAGAAGTATATTTTCACATTTCATCTGATTATTGAGGTATTTTTTTAATATGTAAACAATGTTCCTCTACCGACTTGTGGTCTATACTCTTTTTTGATTAGCATTTTTTTATTTTCTTTTTGTGCTGTCACCGCCGCGTAAATCAATCGGACTGGTAGCGGTGCAGCAGTGAGTTCATATTTATTGATCTTATTTTTTTTATATCATAATTAATTGATTATTGAGGTAACCAGGACTTACTAAAGGTTGACAAAACATTTATATTTCGACAATTGCTGCAGAATTTCTAGGTCCATGGTAATTACTTAACATCGGGTTGACTGCCTGCTCGCTTGCTAACTTTTAACATAAAACATTATAATCAATTAATATGTAATGGATATAAGCAAGCAAGAAAATAAAGTATAGCTAAACTTGCATAAAGTTAAGTTTTATTATCTTATTGCTATTGACGCAATTAATCATATGGTATAAAATTCGGATTTTCGAGAATAATGCACCTCCTAGAATGGGTTGGTGGATCCATTACCATAATGAGGCAGTATAAGTCAATGATATCCAATCCACAAATATTATAGCTTAGGCTATTGGTAGCTGCAAACTCTAATCAAAGTTCATCCAAGTGCACTGCACAGTTTATAGGCCTTGATTATTTCAGGGAGAGTATATGCATGTTGTTCTTACTGTAGTCTTAAATTGCTTTACATCTAAGTAAAACTAGTAGTTTTGTAAAAACGTTTTTTTATGCAAATTGGTGACTAAATGTTGTATAAACTAAATTGTAAAATCGGGTCAGTAACACTCACGTTTTTCCCTTCCAGATGCATTTCCAGCATTCCTGCGCGTTTAAGGGACCAGTTCCAAAAAAAAAGTTGTTTTTTGACAGGTCAATTGTAAGGTTCTCCATGGCTGTTGGAATGTTCACAGTGTCTATTGGACTTGCGATGGGCGTAACTGCATTCCAGCGATTTCTGTAGTGGTAATAAAAAAAAGTTTATAACACAATGTTCCTAACTAATGTACCCAGTCTCAGGAGCTTGCAGCTTAAATCATTTATTTTTTATGTACTACAAGTTACCATCTTTATTTAAAAATAGATAAGTCAGATATACCTCCAAAAGCCTTTATTTGCTCGTGTCTTGATCAAATATGTTATATTCCACCACACGATTTCCGATGCCATAGTCACTAACACCAATGGCGGTTGTTCTTCATCTTCCATTAGAGTAGGAGACTGGTTCGTCTGAGGCGACGTAGAGTACATACTGCTTCTTGATAAACGATCAGGGACAGGTGAGAAACAGCACCACTGCACTCTAGTCTTATGGTGTTTAATAAACCTCAGTTGCCTTTGGTTTGTCACATGCCAAACCTGCAAAAAACCATTAAAATATCTTATGTATTTAATGTATTAAATTTAATTTTGTAAAGTAAGTTCTGCATATAATTGCAGTGAAGGTGTAGTGATGAGCTATCAGTCTTTAGATTTCTCGTGGGCATAAATTAGAGTCTTAATTTGTGCCCATTATGGTCTACATTTATTAAACATTAATGTTTTACAAACCATTAATGTTCTACCTAGATTAAAACATATACATGTATTATTATAATTTTAATTTATAACCAGCCATCACTAATATGCTCAGTAACTTTCTTTGAAACTACATTTTATGTAAGTAGGGTGTAGTATATACTTGCCATAACATCTCCAGAATCAAGTCCCATGGCTAACAAACTTCCATTGGTAGTGAGGTCACAAGAAACTATGCGGTTATTCAATCTGTACTCCTGTATTGAATGCAGCTCCATCTTTTCACCGGTTTTTAGCTCGAATGTCTGAAAGCAAGTAATTAAAGTCATAATCATAACATTGTTCTTTCCATTGTTCTAATAAATTAACTTTGCATATTAAAGTAAACAGTTATTTTAGCATGAATCTCTTGTCAATAAATTGTGGAGGATTCGACGCCGGGGGTCACGGGTTCGATTCCAACACGCGACACGTATTTATGAGACCCACAGATAATTGTTTTAGATACAGTTGTTTGTCCAACTGAAATGTGTGTATGTATAAACGTCCTTGCAACACAGGGTAATATAATCGTATAGTAGTAAGCTGTGAGGGCAATGTTTTCAAAAAAATATTATGGAAGTTTTATCTCTACTACCAAAAATCTGGAAACATCACCAGCACAGGATAATGTTAACCTACTCTGTAAGGGGCAATTTTTTTCGAAGAGAAGGCTATATTATAATGCCTTCCCTTCGAAAAAATTGCCCCTTATATAGTCTAGGTCGCAGTGGTTGTTGAGACTTCCTAGCAAACCTCTTCCATACAAAATACCACATAGTCATACTCACTTGGAAACCCTTGTTGTAGTCGTCGCAGATTACGAGTATGTTCTTCTGGAATGCTGCGCAGTTGACGTAAACGTCCGTCTGCCTTCCGTTGAGGATGCACGCGACTTGCAGATGCCTGTCCCACAGTTTGATGGTGGCGTTGCTCTCGACCGTCATCAGACCGGCTTCGGCCAGCCAGAAGCAGGCCACCAGGCTGCTGGATTTGCAGAGACGGCCCTTTGCGTCACCGTTGGGGAACAGCCGGTCCCTGGAGCTGATGCTGGTGTCGCTGCTAGACGTCGATATCTTCTCTGGGCTGAGTTTCTTCTTGAAACCTTGGCGGAAAAGGTGTTGACGTTAAATTCTTTTTAGAAATACAGTAACTTTAGTAGTTAGATGTATTTCTCGGATAAATACATCAAACTACCAAAGTCACTTTTGATAAGTGGATAGCGCGGTTGGAGTTGGATAGTGTGCAATAAAAAATATACAAAAAGTTGACAAAAATTGGGTCACTGTTGTAATCGGTATGAACCGGTTAAGGGGAGGAATCGGTGGCGTGGGTGCTAAGCCAGTGGCTTCGACGCCGGAGGTCGTGGGTTCGATTTTTCGCACATAGTAATGGAGAGAGAATATTTGTGCAACATTATGTAAGTTGCTGTTGCTAAACAGCTGTCCGTGTACTGTATCAGTGTATAAATTTAAACATACCTTGTATATCATTCAGTATCTCCTGCGAGCCGAGATGGGTGTTGCCCCGCTGCAGCATCTCGGGCTTCCAGCTGCCGTCGCTCGTGAACCGGTACGCCATCAGGCACCGGTTCTTGCCCGCCACGATCATCAGGTCGGGGTTGACGAAGTTCAGATAGTGCACCGCGCTGTACACGTCCACCACGTCTCTAGTCTCCTTCGACCTGAGGGCGTATCTCTTCACCACGCCGGAGCCGAGCCCGTACACGATGTACTGGTTGCACGGCGATATCCTCACGGCGGTGATGCGGTCGTCTGTCTTCGGCGATATCTCGGCCAGCAGCTTCCTGCCGCGCATCACCTGGATGCTGTTCTTCTCGTCCACGACGGCGAGTAGCGGCTGGGGGCCAGTGTCGCTGCCGTTGCAGATGCCCTTGAGGTTGAGCGGGCGCAGGTTGTGCCTGTCCAGGCTCATCGTCTTCTTCGCGAGCTTCTTCTCGCTGTCCTTGTGCGCGGCGAACGATTTGTGGCGGCGCGGCGTGTTGTCTATGCTCTGCGAGCCGCCGGTGGGGGGGACGATGGGCGTATGCGGCGAGGTTGCGCCCACGAAGCTCACGTCGAACGTCGTCGTCAGGCGGACTTTGCTGCAGAAGAGACTCATGAACATTAAAGTATTTGTATTTGGTGTGGAAGGGGTTTTACTTCCTCTACAGACCCGTGGCCCATAACTCTGTTTTCCTTTGCCATTTATTTTGTACTGTAACCGCCGCGTACATCAACCGCTGGCATGGTCTAGCAACAGTGGAGCAGTGAGTACATGCTTATAACTTACTTACTTAGCTTTTTTTTGTGTGGTCCTCCCACTTGAAGTGGTCAAGTCCCAACCACTACAGCAACCTGGAAGTTGTAGTCTGCCCTTCGAAAACATTGCCCCTTAATGGAGGATAATACTGTGTTGTTGTGAGGAAGTTTTAAATACATTTCATATGGTCAAACCTAGATGCAAATCTTTGTGGGTCACACAAATGATTGTCTCGTGTGGGAATCGAACCCACGACCCTCGGAACGGGAGCAGAAGAAAAAAGAGGAAACGGCCACTGCTGGGCAAGGGCCTTCTCTGCACAGAGCTATTATTTAAAAAATATTTCCTCGGGATGTCTTCATTCACCGTCAACCACGTGATAAGTGAGCGAGCACTTAAAATTGTAATCAACAGTTTCATTGGTACCGGCACTCGGAATTGAACTCAGGTTGCTCAAGTATATTGATCTGTCAGATGAAAATAGATTCAGTGCCTGAAGACTTAGGGTTTATTCGAACAATTGTTAAGCGGTTAAGATTACCAGTTGTACCACCACTTATGGACTACAGGAGTGCCATGTGCTCACTGGAATCGACTTAAATACATATAAAAAAACTTCTTGCCCATGAAGTGATCAAAAAAAAAGAACATTTATAACATCGTAATATTATGATCGGGATGGGTTATTTAATTGGTGCCCGAAAACATTTTTAGATTATAGGCGAATAAATGGAAAGCACTTGAAGACGTGGATTCGATTCCCGAAGCGGCGAACTACGTTTCGTCAATTCTTTATACAAATTTCAATCATGTGAATCATTAGGTAGCTGGGTGCTTTTTCTCATAAAAAAATATGCGTGTACTTAGTACGCACATAAGAAGTTATACTTCTTTAGCGTAAAGATATTAAATGAAATTGATAACGTATTATCTAAATAACTTGGAAATATTGATAAAGTTTGTAATGGTAGTTTTATTGTATGCCATGGTAATATGGTGAAGTAAGGTGATTTCGCAACCAAGTTACGGTGTGCGCGCGCATCGTAAAAATGTTACTCTCATAATTTGTTCCTAAAGCGCCAAATTAAGTATAACTTCAAAACTAACAATCACCTATTTTTATGCGTGTTCTGCGATACAAAGGAGGCGTCTAAGAACCACACTTTGGCCGAGTTCTCGACCATTCCGGTGCCGGTGAGCAAAACGTCGGAGCCCGGCATGAAGTCGTCCCACATCATCACCTCGCTTACCGCCATCGACGTCACGTTCCTGCAAGTAATATATTATATTACAATGTATTGTGAATGCGCGCGAATTTGATGGTTAAGTGCGTTAATTTCTTCTGCACTCCCCAGACTGTATAGGATTTATCATTAAAATCCATATTTTTTTTAAATTTACATAGGCTTACTTTTAAAAACATCAGCGCGGTCGAAGCCAGCTGGAAAAACTTAAAGTTTAGTTGATATGGCTTACTCAGGTAATAAGATAGGTAGAAAATACAACCAAAGTTAAATAAATAATTTTAAATTTCATTTGATAATTGTCGCTAGTAGTCCTGAGGATTTTGCCTTCAACTATGTTATCTTTAGCGACACCCACATACAATGAATTATAATATTAAAAAGTTAGATAAAATAGATTTGTACAAATGTAAAGTTTGATTGGGAAATTTAATCTTATTTGCCCATAAGACGATTGGAATAGGACAAATGATATTAAAAATCGCCTTGTTGTACCCTTATACAATTTCTTAGGTTGGTGTAGTAAGCAGCACTGACCCCCTTCGGTTGTCCAGGTCGAAGACCCTGGAGTTGGTGCGGAGGTCCACGCAGATGACGCGGCTGTCGTCCGTCGAGACGAAGAGCAGAGTGCCGGATTTGTTCACGGCCATCGATATGAAGGTGACACTCTCCTTGATGTCATCGCTGGAGAGCACACGCTTGCAGATGCAAACTTTGCACACATTCTGGTAGGAGCCGGCGTTCATTTTGTATTCGTGCTCCTTTACCACCCTGTCGGAGAGCGTGATTATTCTGTTGCAACCTGGAATTGTATTTAAAGTACAATAAGCAGATATTTGATATTTGCATGTATATCACTACAATCTTTACAATATTTGCTATATGTATTGAGAAGTATGAAAACTTTTAAATTTTGTCTGACTAGTGATAGTAACAAATCATCAACAATCATCAATCGTTAATTATCTGGCGAACGGCTAGCTAACTTTTTAATATTTCCAGTAATAATCTCAAATCAAATTAAAAATATATAGTTTAATTTTAGTATTAAAGACAGGACATTATACCTACTAACAACTTCACATATTAATCATGATATCTATAACCATATTATTAACCGGTGGAAAATAGTTCCACCGAAAAAATGTTGTTATTGGTTGCCATGACAACACCGTAAAATCGGTGTAGCTTTTAGTAATGATGCGGCGTTTAAAAATTGTTCTGTTTTAGACATATTTGTGATTTTGTCAGATGATACAAAACGTATGATACGGAAATCTATAGCAGTGTATAGTATTGCGATCTAATTACACAATTGGCGTAATTTGAGTGCCTCAGTTTCGGCGCGCTAGTAACACAACTACGACGTACTTTTTATATTATAATTTAAGGGCTTTTAGGTGTCACCCATCGTAAAAATTCACGCGCGGAAAGAAGTGTTACTTAACAAAAAAAAAAGTGCGTGGAGTCACCCCGCGCGGAAGAAGTGAAACTTCGAGTGTCACGCATTCACTCTCGCTCTGTCTCTTTCTATTCCCCCTTCCCAGGAGCATTGAATGTTTTTCATACCTCCTCCATGGTAGCGTTAAAAAAAAAAACTAACACCCACCCGGGACAGTCAGGACATCGGAGACGGGCTCCGTCTCCTCGAAGGCCAGGACCCTCTCCTTGGAGGTCAGGTCGACCAGCTCCAGGCTGTGGGCGCCGTTCGTGGCGACGATCAGCTGCTTGTCGTTGTTGCACGGGACGCAGCGGCGGATCTGGCGCTCGCGGTCGAACGTGTCGATCACTTTGACCACTGCGCCGCTGGGGTCGTATAGGATGATCATGTTGGACGTGTGCGCGATCAGCGTCTCCTCGTTGTTCGCCCAGCGGCAGTTCAGGAACGGCCCCAGCTTCGGGTGGATGGTCACCACGTTCGCGTAGTTGTTGTTGAAGGATTCCTCCGTTTCTGCGGTGTAAAACATAAGGATTTTTATTTTTATTACCGAATCCAAGCTTCCCAAGACCGGAACTAGCACGGCAATATAAAAAAAAGGAGAATCTCATACTCTGTGCGCAGCGTTCGGACGCGGGAGTTCTTGTCGTGACTTTAAATCGTGTAGTTTTTGATAAATTGATAGGAATCATTTTGTTAGAAGTTATATTTAATTTTTGTAAAATACATTTCGGATAGATTTGAGTGATTTCTTTATAAAAAAACAAAATATATGTACATATTGTGCCGACCCCACCTAGGTGCAATAAGGACAGGAGCATGATGATATTATAGTGGACTAGTATTCTATGTCGTACACTAAGGGCTGCGGCAAAGCACTAGTCTATTGTTTGAAAAAAAAAAAGCGACAACCGTTCCTAATTCAAATGTACTAGTAAACATTCAGGTTCAGCTGCAATTTTGCCAACTTTGGTCAGGTAATCAACCATTTAATTAGCTAAAATATAACATACCATTGAAAATCCAACTATTACCCTTTCCCATTATGATTTCAAAATATACACTTACATTTATTAATCTTGAAAATAACATTTATATGGACATAAGCATTCCTTAAATTTATAGATTGAAATGAACTATCAAAGTTCATTTCAGTTACTAGTTAAATAAATGTATGTAGTGATGCTCAAAACAGAATAAATATATTATTTTTATAATTTAAAAAAATAAAGAATTAAGCGTTCCACTGAATAGATTACCTTCTTCGATTACATCGTCAGTTTCGTCCTGTCCAATGTCGTCAATGTACCATACAGTTATATACCCGCTGGAATCGAGCACCGCTACTATCGGAGGATTCATCGGACAAGCTCCGATCCACTTTATTGCAGACCCTCTCCCTGCCAGCTCTTTCTCCAATCTGTTAGTTGATATGTGGAAGAACTGAAAATGGAGGTTTGCGGTCAGTGATTTTTTTTTATAGTAACGTAAAGAATTTTATTTACAACAAAAATTGTTAACAGTTTACGAAATAGTTATATAGAATAAGAGACTGTCTAACAAACCTAGCCAACATAGCATGGTGCCAAGTTACTTTTGTGAAATGTATACATTATTGCATATGTATCGTGTCAAAAAAGCAATTTTATGCAATATAAACTCTTGGCTATTATTGAAACGTGAATGGATTCAAATTGATTTGAATTTAGACATTTTTGATTGAAATAGATAAAATAAAATTTTAAATTTATCGTCAAGCCATGCTTTTAGATTAAGGTAATGAATATTATATAAATTACTGTAAATGTGAGTTTAACAGGTAAATAGTAGAAAAAAATTTTTTTTCCGCGCCTCCAGGATTCGAACCCGAATAAGACGCCTTGAGCATCTAGAGAACTGTGCTAAGCCATTCTTACGGCGATCTCCACTATTATATTTTTAATGCATTTTTGGCAATACTTGACGCCACCTAGCACGCAACTTTACAGTATGCAGACACTTTCAAATAATATTTTGTAATAGCAAGAACACATGGAGTAAATAATAATTATACCTTTATGACACCTGAACTGGTGCCAATAAGTACATGGTCACCAAGAAAACAAACAGCTGTGATCGTCTCCTTGACATCTATTGTTGAATGTTTTATTTCTTCAATGTTCTGCTCATGTCTGAATATGGAAATATAGTTTAATTTGATATGGAATACTAAACGCCATCTTGCAGTAATTGCTTTTAACAATAAGACGACTATTTGTGCTTCTTATTTACATTTTTTCTAGTTTGTAATATGTATACCCATAAACATTCATGCAATACTTTCAAGGCTATAACAAAGTATTGATTTTAACGTATTTACTAAATTTTCACTATTTCACTTAGATTTAACTATAGATGGATCTGCTGATAATTAAGGACTTTTGGAGACTAGACACAAAAACCTGTATACAGCGTGTCGTTACCATCGCGACAATAAATGAACACACGTCTAACGCTACTTGCCAATAATCATAAAAAAATATAAACGTTAAACAAAATTCATAACTAATAAAAAATATTTTTCAAACAAACTAATTAAGTAAAAAAGAAACAAAATTTGTAACATCCTATACAACTCGCGTCACAGCGTCGTATTACAAGCCTCTCCTTCTAACAGTATGTTTTGTCTCTTTTAAATTCATTCAACCCATTCATATGCTTTGGGACCTTTAAAAATGAACTTTACGTTACGCTTTTATAGGTACGGTGTTCTAAAATTCTTTGTTTTGGAAAATTTAATAACTCTGTAAATATTGATGTTTAAAGAATTTAAATGTTTACTACAACTTTAAACAGTTATCCCCTATATGCGACACGCTGTATACAGCGTGTCGTTACCATCGCGACAATAAATGAACACACATATAGGAAATAACTTTTAACTTTAGACGTGTTCATTTATTGTCGCGATGGTAACGACACGCTGTATATATTAGTGATGTAACAAATGTCATATTTTGGACAATGCGAATGCGAATATTCGTTACATCACTAATATATATGCATGCTAAAGCCAGGTGAAGATCAAGATCGACATAAAGATATTTCTATCAAAATGTATACCTTGATTCCTTACATAAATCTAAAATGTTTCTAATGATGTGGTACACAGTTTATGTGACAGAAAGACAGTGCAGACAATACATTTTATATTCTCCTTTAGTTTGCGCTGCAGTTTAATCCATTTTTGTACTCTTTGTTATTTACGTCTCCCACAGAGCTTATGCCACATTTAAAATAAGGTGTAAATTAAAAAAAAATACAGAATGTATTAATATCAGCACACATGAGAATTAGTCATTACTGAATTATTGGATATGTATCTGTATCGGTGAATCTATTAATTGCGAGCAACTAGTCATACCATAAAAATAGTGGTATAAATTAAGTTTTTAAATCTTTTTTTAATCAAAATTTTTGAAAGTTAATTTCACCAAAACACAAAAAAGTTTTATAGGGCCTATGCTACGTAGCGAAGCGATCGAAAGCAATAATAAGCAAAGCAACACTTACAGAAACTCAAAGTAAAGCTCGTTCTTAGCACTGCCATCGTGCGCAATGGCCGAAGCTTTCGTGTATAGGATCCCTTTAGATTCGTGCTGCAGAATGCTTTGGACTATATCCGTGCAAGGATATCGGTACAGGTCGGTGCCGTGAGTGCTGAGATAAGCCTTGATGCTGTAAAGCAACTCTTTATCAAGTGTCTGAAATAAGAAAAATGACAAAATCTATGAGATATACAGTATACTAGTTGTGATAACAATTTAAAGGGTTCCATACACGGGTAAAACGGGACCCTATTACTAAGACTCCGCTGTCTCTCTGTATGGCCATCCGTGATCAGGCTGTATCTCATGAACCGTGATAGTTAGACAGTTGAAATTTTCACATGATGTATTTCTGTTGCTGCTGTAACAACAAATACTAAAAAAAGAGAATAAAAAAATATTTAAGTGAGGCTTTCATACAATATAGATGATTTTTTTCCGTTTTCATACGGAACCCTTCGTGAACGAGTCTAACTCGCACTTGGCCGGTTATTTTTCCATCCATATCTCAACAATATGTCTCATTGATTTCCGTTCATCTTTGAAAAAATATGCTAAATATCATTAATGAGGTGTTGATGAAATGCGAAAATTCATAATGCAAATCCCCTCATGTTCAAGATATTCTACTAATAATAACTTGGCTATATCCTCGATTTGTATGAAATTTTTTAAATTTATATAATTATAATATATCATTTAATCAACTGTATCTCTTAACATTCAAATTATCTTTTTCTTACTTCAAGAAGCTCTTGAATGCTTTCAGGCAAATACTAATATTGCAAACTATATTACTTTTTATTTTGATAAAATTTCACTGATTTGAAAGTATACAAGAAAAAGGGAAGAAATCTAATAATTTGAATCAACAATTTTAATCTAAAGCTATTAAAACATAATAGACGTCAATAACTTTTTAATCAAAAAAGTTTTAGAATATCCACATTTATTTCTTTATATTAAAACGGTAACTTTTTGTCAAGAAGACATTTTATATTTTAAAAAACTTTATACTTACATCTTCGGCAATATAGTTTTCGTACTTTTGTAAATCCGAAATAACGTCCGCAGGCCCTGTTAATCTAACTTTGTTACCTAAAAATTTTAGATTTAAAAACAGTTTGTTGAACAAGCTCCATATATTGCTCAAGTTCTTTGTATTCAATAAATGGTGACCAATATAAAAGGCAATGTAGTTATCATCAACTATCTCAAGAGGAACATTGTTTGAATTTTCATAATGGTAACTTTTGAGGAATTCACTGTGCAATCTTCTTAATTCTTCCTCAGTCCAACAGCTCCTTAAATAGTCCATGATGAAAACATGCACTTCATAGATATAGTTCCTCTGCTCTCTATCATAGAATTCAATTATAAGTGATTTACTGCGTAACTGTTTTATGATTGACTCCACTTCTGTCAGCTCTTTATTCCACAACTTGCTCAGGACTTTAGCGGAGAACTTTACATTGTCCGGCAACACCGTTAGCATCTTGAACAGTGCCAGTATGTTTGGCTGTAAAAGATTAATGCAGACTTCAACGGTCTTTTTCGGGTTATCGTGATGTCTTGATAAGCTGCAAACCAAAATGTATACTGGCTATGAAAACAATGTGGCAAATGTTATTAAAACAAAATGGTATGAAAAATTGTAAATATCTGTGTGAATGCAGATGAAAATAAAATTATATACATATCAAAAAGCTTCAGCGTGTGTAGATTTAGGAACTAAACAGCTACTAATGTCCACTGAATGGGGTAAATTTTCTCAAATATCAAAGCGGACAAAATCGGAAGAACACATGGTAAGTACTCACAAGAAGAAATCCCTCTTTTCCAACTTATTCAAGTAGTAGTTCCAATATTTATGATCATGCTTGAACCTCTCTCGATTCTCTGTAAGCTGGGCACCCATCAGGGCGATATGGAAAGGGCTGCCTTTGCATATCTCGTGCAGCTTCCTGGCCTGCCTCGGCAACTCTGCCACAGGCTGGTCGAGGCATAAGGAGAATAGCTCTAGAGTTTCCTTTTCAGTGAAGTTATTTTCGACCTGTAATTACATTTACATAATATATTTTGTACATAAAGTTGTTAATATGATGGCCCTGTCAGTAAAACATAATATATTTTATATGTAAACCTGATACTATTTGAGAATTACTCTTTAGTATTTATGTTAAATTATTAAGGTCACCTTTTTTACAACTTAATTGTTGTAAATTATTCAATTTTACTATGGACAGGGTTGATCACGTGTCATTGCCACAAGAAAATCAACATGATTTGACGCAAGGAAGGAGAAGGGTCTTTTATGTAAGCTCTCCTACATTTAAACGTAATAAGATGTCAACTAATATTTTAGGATTTTTTTTGAGGCTAGTCCCTGCATTCGAGACGAAACTTAAAATGTGAAGTTTTGCGGATAAATGAATAAAAACTCTCAGCGCTGGTCCTGTTGTGTGTCTATGAATTTATGTGGTCACCTTTACGATCTGCGCTTGGTAGTTTAGTACGACGTCGGTGTCGGGCGTCGTTAGCAGTATCTTGCAGCCGATGTCGAATGCGTCCAAGCAGCGTTTCTCGTTCAGCTCGTCCAGCACCAGCAAGCACTCCTTGAGGGTCTGGTCCAGGAACTGGGACTTCAGCCGGTCCCTCATGTCCTGCCAGGACCAGTCGTAGAGCGAATGGCTGTCCGCATTCGAACCGATGCTCGACATCGAGATCGACGAGTTCATGTAGGAGCCCTGCGACAACATCGAAGACGCTTTGCGGTACAACCTGAAATGGTAAACATGTTAGGTTAGGAACGGATGGAAGCACACATATAAAAGAATAAACTATTCGCCTATTTCAACAGTTAGGATAACATCTTCCAATTAAATTTTCCTGTACTGTGAGGACGTTTTACAGACATGAATTTCCCACGGACAAATATCCAGATCAGAACCAATACTCTGTGAGTCACACAAATACTGGTCCCGTGCGGGAATCGAACCCACGATGCATGAAGCCAATAGCTTGGCCAACCGAGCTATCGTATTATTTGCTTCTTCGTTACGACATTACTGTTTGAAATTTTAAATTGAACATTAATGATCGCGAATAAGGTTGATATTCGCAATACCATAGCGACTAAAGCCATATCGCGCACAATTATGTACGACAAAGGATAAAAGTAGGCCATCATTTATTGATTTCAAATTGCGGTATGGGACAATTATGGGTCGAATATTTGATAAGGTTAAGTGCGTTCTATTTACAATAATCCACTAGAAATATGTAACAAATCGCTACTGATACCAATGGGTCGTTTAGACATATTTATTGTTGTATAGCATCTGTACAATCTATGCGTGTGTTCATGTTTAGTGTCACAGGCTTTAGTAACATATAACCGAACTCTGACGTTCTATTAATATCATAACACTATCTAACGGTAACCGGAAGTGGTTTGATACGCGGGAGATCAATTCATCTAAACCATTGCTTTGGTGGGTTTAACAGACATCGATAGTTCAGTGTCCCTTTTACTTTAATCCATACTAATATTATAAATCACGCCAAAAGTACTGATATTATTAATGAAATTTGGTACACAGATAATCTAGAGCCTGAGAAAGGCTATTTTTTTATTGGATTTTTTTTTAAAGAAAGATATTTATTTAAGGGCTTCAACGCGAGCGAAGCCGCGGGCGAAAAGCTAGTTATTATATATATTAAAATGGCGTTGGCATACTGAAGGTACGTTGCAATTAATATTAGCTTCTAAGAGGACGGTATTAAATGGAAGAGCGTATACAACGGCGTCTCACTTGTTCTGCAGCGCCGTGATGTCGTCGTCGGTCTTGCAATTGCCGAAGTTCAGCCAGAAGACCGCCCCGTTGAAGTTGTTCGTGATCAGCTCCGGGCCGTTGCGGAGCACGCTGATGGCCACGGTGGTCTTCCCGCAGCCGGGCATACCGTGCAGCGCCAGGATCTTGTGGCGGCTGAGGGCTCTCAGCTTGGCGGCCACTTCTTGCTCCTGGGGGAAGGAATCACACCGTCAGATTGAACTTCCAGCTCCTGGGGGAAGGTAATCACACCGTCAGAGTTAACTTCCAGCTCCTGGCGGAAGGGAATCACACAGCCAGAGTTAACTCGCCGGGGCCCACTTTGTTATGAGGTGGCAACACTTCCGCCGGAGCCGTGATAGCTCAGTGTCCGGGCGCTCGCCTTTAATTCAATATATTCGAGCAACGCGAGCTCGATCCCCGGTGCCGGCACAGATGAAATAGTTAATTTTAAGTGCTGACTCATCACGCACTCTGTGGTGAAGGAAAACATCGTGTGGAAACCTGCAACCTTTTTTGAAAAAATAACAAAAAAAAAATATGTGAAGTCCGCCAATCCGCAGTCGGGCCGCGTGGTGGAACATGCCCTGATACCCTCTGTGCAGAGGACGCCTTTGCCCAGCAGTGGGACATATATAGGCTGATACAACGCATCCGCAACCCTACAGGTGTCGTAGATGTGGACGGGCGAAGGTTATCACTTAACATCAGGTGAACCGCCAGGTCACTTATCACCTTCTTACATAAACTGGGCGTCGTTTATGATCAACACCAATTGAGAACCTGCTCCGTTTTCGAAGTCGGTTGAAGACAGACTTAAAGAGGCCTCACCACCGCGGCCCTCCTGATGTAGTGGTCCGGCAGCCGCGGCACGTCCCCCCTGCTGAGGCCGTCCTCGAAGCTGTCGTTCAGCATCGCCCCGTTGCTGTCGTCGGTGAACTTCTTGTACAGCCACTGCCAGTCCTTGGCGAGACTGTCTACGAACGCCTCGTAGCTGCTGTTGGTGCCATTCTGCAGCAGCGTGTCGATCAGGTATCTGGTCCGGTCGACGCGGCTCGTCTGAAAGTTGAGGAATATAATAATATGGAATTAGTGTTTTTTTTCATGTGAGAACGTGGTAAGAGAGCCGGCGGTTCCCCTGATGTTGAGCAGTAACCGACACACATTGATAATTGCAACACCCGTAAGGTTGCAGATGCGATGCCACCTTATAATAAAGTGGGCCCGGGTACCTCATTCACCAGACGAAACGCAGAATTATAACATTTCCACTTCTGTTAGATCGTGGACTTACCCGGACGGACCTGCCTATTTGTGCAAGAGCAACAACTGTTGCACGTATAAAATATCTATTTACTATTTACTTTTTACGTATATCAGTACCGCAAGGAATCATTACGCAAACCACAAGTGTAACGGACTAGTGTCAATGACACTGTGATAACCATTAAACCACGGCACTGTAAATGGGGTTATTTAAGTGGAAAGTTCGAGAGCACTCGAGATGATGTCAACTGTAAGCTAGTACCAGTAGGCTTGGGACTCTGTGACAGCGGCGTGGAGAGATTTCAGACAGGGAATGGCACTAAAAGGAACTTACCAATTTCTCTAAATGATTGATGATAACCGGTAACATAACATGCCACTTAAATTTTATCTAAAGTAGCCTTTGAAAAGACTGAAAGTCTGAAAGATGTTAGGTTCGTTTTCTTGACCTAAAAAAATTGTAACTTATCTGGAACTCGTAGGTATCAGTGTTTTGGGGGGCGTTCGTATGAGACGACGCAAAGTTTTTTTTTTGCATGCCCAGTAGTCCCCTGTTTGGGTAAGAGGTTATTAACTTAAACCTCTTCGGTTAAGATCTACGAAACGATTCGGTTTCTAGGATGAGCTAAAACTTCCCTCAACTCGCGCCCTTATTTAATAAGGCTTTGTTGCAGGCTGAATAAAAGTATACCTGCGGGATTTTATCCGCCAGAAGCCTCCCACTACCACCGCATCATAGAAAAGAAAATTTATATCCAGATGATAACAAAACTTGACGGCTAAAAACCTTTATAATTACCAAAAAAAACAACACAAACTTGTCTGCATTTTGCACGGATGACGCAACGGTTTTGAGCGGGCAAACTATTATTACGCGCATTGTTTGGGGTTCAAAACTTGGATGATTCACAAGCAGTACGGGCCACGCAGCAGCCTCGGCGGTTGCACGAATGGGCAGGCCCGTGCGTGTAAGTACCACGACCTCACAGAAGACCAGCGTAAAGTGGAAGTATCACAAATACTTTCGCGTTTCGTCTGGTGAGTGAGGTAGCCGGAGCCCAATTTTAAAAAGGTTGTTAACACATTTGTAACCCTCCGGTGTAGCAGATGTCCATGGGTACGATCAGGTGAACCGTCTGCTCGTTTGGCAACTTTTCACATGAAAAAAAGTCGTCCCTAGCCTGGGTACGCTTTATAAAAACAAAGATCGGGAGCTCCGTCCGTTAGTTGGGGATTTTATTAACATAAACCTTAATGGCAAAAGAACGACCGCACTGATTGTATTGGTGTTAACTGACGGTAGCGTAAACAATACGTTACGTTATGGAGGTATGCTAAGGATTCCGCAACAGAATATACAAATGTGCATCGGTCACTACGCAATGATGGCCGCTGCGTCATCCGTTCGTTTCATTAGCGCACGTTAGCAAACTGAAGCGATCCAACGTTCCCAAACGAACCCAAAGGGGATGGCCACTCACCAACTTGTAGATATTGTCGAAGTCCTCGTTCGATATCGCGTTGTTCGTGAACAGCTCGTCCAGGATGTAAGTCACGTCTAGATCCCTGACCACGTCCTGTTGGTGGTGTTGCAGCAGCACCCTGTACTTGTTGTCCATGACGGCTGCTTACCTTTCATCTGATGGAGAGTATAAACGACGACGTTCAAGTTAAAGTCTACTCCAGGATCGCGCTTCGTGGCATTCTGTGGGGGAGGCCTGTCTTCAGCAGTAGACCAAAGCAGGGTGAAGTATATATAGATTGTATATATAAATAACTGTAATAATCACTCTTCAACAACATAAAAAAATTGTTTCATTTTGAAATAATAATTTCCACATACGGTTAGTAAACATTACGGGCAGGGATTATCTGTGCGTCATATCCCTACGAGAATCTTATTTATCAGTGTAATCTAATTGTCTTGTTTTTTGTAACCACAATGTTGACTTCAATTTTTAACAATATTTGCATAAAATATAACATTTCAGGAGCGGATCACGCAAATGACTTACTTTCAAAGACTTCAACTTGAAATATATTAAAAGATGTTATGTAGTAGTAAATGACTTCTATCTACTACTATTACACTAGTATACCTGCGGGACTTGTACTTCACTTAAGGTTTTCACTTATACCCTTACTTTCAATTACTGTCCAGCCGTGGCAGTTACATGCGAAAAATCTTCACAAAAATCAAAGGTAATATATCCAATTGAACGTCACTAGCACCGATTGAGAAAAAAAAGCAATCACTTTACCGTAAGTAAATAGCACAAAGATTCAAAAATATTGACACTGACTATTACACTTCCCGATGTATGTATCAAGCTGTTAAGCTGTTAATATAATGTTTACAAGAATGAAAACATCAGATGTCTGTACGGATTCAATCATAATTTGCTATCAATTTTAATTTGAACATCCTTTCGATCACAACGTTCCCCATTTTGAAACAATACATGTAGCCGCAATGTGAAATCTACTCTATGACTATAGACGAGTGCAGTTTATTAAACATTGCATCTAAGATACAAGTCCGCGCAGTGTTTCAAGAATTTATTTTCCCACCTTTAATGTTAAATAAAACTCGTTAATATCGTTCATAAAACGTAAAACGGTTTTCGGGCGTCTTCGAGAACTCGCTATTTAGAATCGATGCGTACGGAAATATCGCGCGTCCGATGCTATTGAAGTGCAAAATACTAATGAGGATTTGAAACACGACCTTGCCGATTAGTGCCACCTACATGACAAGGAGAAACATCCAAAATACGAAGACGAATATGTCAATGACCGTTGCTATGATTGCCAAGGCCGCAATGACTCTGATTTAGGAAATATTATACATGTGGTAATATTACGTTCGCGAGTGTTAAAACTTCTAGGTAAAGTATCTAAATTTGAATAGATTTAACGAGATGTGCAAACTTAGAATTAATTTATTTTGCGTATTGTAAAAGTATATCCACATGTTCGTCGTGTTTGTCTATTGTGAATATGTTTATATGCCAAATAAAGTCAGCACTTAAGTTCGAATCTCAATTATAATTATTAATTAATACATAGTATAAAACAAAGTCGTCCCGCTGTCTGTCTGTCCTTATGTATGCTTGGATCTTTAAAAGCACACAACGGATTTTGATGCGGTTTTTTTAACATAATACATTGCACCCGTGCGAAGCCGGGGCGGGCGGGTCGCTAGTGATAAATATTTAGTACTTGGCTAAATTTTTTTAAAATAATTTTTCATAACCAATTAAAAAGCTCCATAAGTCTGAATGGTGAGTAATAGATAAAAAAAACCGGTCAAGTGCAAGTCGGACTCGCGCACGAAGGGTTCCGGACCATTATTTATAAAACCGGCAAAAAAATTATGTCTGTTATATGGGGGCACCACTTAAATAATTTTTTATTCTGTGTTTTAGTATTGCCGCTATAACAAACAAATATGTTTGTTATAGCAGCAACAGATATACATCATCTATTAAAATTTGAACTGTCTAACTATCAGGGTTCATGAGATACAGATGGGTAGACAGGGTCCCATTTTGCCCTTTGGGTATAGAACCCTAAAAATAACTATTAAAGATTTGCGAATGGGGTGAAACCTAAGGAAAAAAAATGTCATTTACACATTATATTATCATGTATGCTGTTAAGTATATATATATTTAAAGCTGATGTATATATTTTCATTATTTAATTGTACATGATGTAATTTAGGTCTAATCGTGCCTAGATTCCCATATTTACTGGAAAGATTCATAGACATTAATCAATTTAAGATGTCAGGAATATGATCCAATTTTCTCATTTTATTTTTTTCTTAAAATAAATATAGTGGTACAAAATATACTACATAAAAAATTCAATACAATAATAGTTTATCATATTGTCTATAACAATTTTAGCTTATATATCTGCAATAGTTAAAAAAAGGAGTAGAGATCTTCTCATGCTACATTCTCATTTTATATTCATATACATGGATGTATATATATGGACAAATAAAACAAATTTGAAATGTTATGTTTGTAAATTTGAGATTTGGGCACATTTCAGTGTTAATCTGATTGAAGCAGAAATATACAGAAATGAAGAAAATAGTCCTTAGCAAGTATTTACCAATTAGTGAGATTTATTATATGACTTATAAGAGAATAGCCAACTTTTACATGTATTAAACCTATAACATTCTTATATGTAGGAGTTAGAGACATTGTGCACTCTTGGGAGCTGTGGATTGATTCTTCCATAAATATGTTTATGTAACAAATAATATAAATAAGCAGTTTAATTATTTAACTCTTATTCAATGTGGTGCTTGTTCATGTCAAAGGACATTGCAATTGAAAAAATATTGTTTTACAAATTACCAGTCAAGTGTGTCAATGTGTGTATTGGCTGCCACTGATATACAATCATTAATAATACACTCATTGAGACAAAGGTGGCTTTAATTGTTAATATTGTATTTGGTCATGACCCTAATAATATCTTTTAGTTGGTCATTATGCCAAGGCTTACCTATGGTAGTAAAATAGCTATCAGTGGTACAGTGGCACTTGTGGTCAGAGCGATAAGACTGCAAATCAATAATTAAATATAACATTAGTTAAGAGGTATAACATGCATTTAATAAATATTGATAATAAGGCCACTCTAAATTGTAATAATTTATCAATATTTGAGAAAACAAGTGAAGTTTTTGCTAAAATCTATTTACATGTTACAAAGATACCGCTAAAGCATTTTGTTCTATATATTAATGTATTTTCTTTGATTTTAGGTGAATATTTAAAAAAATAAATGTCTTTAATTCTAACTAAAGGATAACAATTGTTGACACTGGTTATAAATATGAAATTTTGATGGCATTTTTTATTTTGCCTCTTAAGAAGAATCATTCACAAAATAGAAATTGAAAGTTGGCATGACATACTGGTCATATTTTAAAATAATATTTGTAAATTCTGGTACTCAAGTATGATGAACATTAAAAAGAAATGTGTATAAAAATATATGAATATTTCCATCTAATAGGGTACAGGAAGGGAATGAAACTTCATATAAACTAGATCTACATGGGCGAACTTTTGAATATAAGAATACACACAAAAGCACTGTAAACATATTTGTATATTAAAATATATTAGAGAAATACTAAAACAGTTTTTATTAAATTTTAAATTTAAATATTGTCAAAAATTATGTAAAATAAAGAATAAGAAACATTACACTAAATCATTTTCATAAATTTTACAAGCTATATGATCAGAAAAATGCAAAAAGCCAATTAAAAATTGTTTCATTTAGTAACATATTAATAATTTTGAAATATTGTAATATTTCATATGTTAAGGACACTTATAATTGCTTTTTCCCAGAACGAATTTTTTGGAATGCTTTTTATATGTAAGTACATGTAGTTACAATTGATCAACTTATTTCTTGTGTTTTTGAATGAAATCTACATCATAACACAACATAAAGCATAAAGTTTATGTACATGGAGTATGTATATATGTAAGTAATGAAATCAGTTTATAACTATTGTCATGTCTTTTTAAGTCTTTAAAGTTGCAATAAAAATTTGTAATAAAACAAAAAAGAATAGAATTTTAACTATATCTAAGAGATTTTCAGGAATAATGTACAATAAGCTATTCATTAATACTAATTTAGTATATTTTTTTTACAAAGATAGGTTCTATTGTTGTGTTACGTAGCTCAATATTAAGGGTTAACATAAATATTTTATCTCACTTATTTTAAATATGCTAAATAAAGTACTAATAATAACAGTTTCGTACATGAAATCTTGTATTCCATACAGGATTACAAATTCGTATCCATCTGTGTACTTAATAAAGCTATCAACTTAAATGCATTATTTTATAACAGGTGACTTACCCCTTCACGTACTAATTAATAAGTCAAAAGACTAGAATAATATGCGTACATATGTTATTCTTATTTTATAAAAAATATTGGATATACATTTAACTAATTCACTCTATATTACTAATTTCAAAAACCAAGAAACACACAACAACTTTGCACCGTACATTTGTTTCACATTTGTTTGTTTGATGCATTTTGATGCATTAGAAATGCAGCCAGGAGTCCTTTGCTGTCAAACTATGTAACGTGATTGGTTCAAATTAAAACAACTGCTTATCTTTCATTGGTTGAAACACCTTTAAGAAATGTGTTCGAGACGTTATTATGTTAAGTTTAAAGGCTTGTGGCATTTTATTAAATCAATTTAATCAATTTTACCAAAAATGGACAAATTAAATAAATGAATGAAATTGGGAGTACGATACCACCATCGACGTAGTAAATGATTAAATTTTATTGAAAAGGGTCATGTAATGTAGTGACTAATAAAATGCAACAGTAAGTACTAATTTTTGATAATATTTTAATTTTTCACAAAATAATGTGTTTAATTAACTTTAAAGGAAAAATAACAGAGTATAGGTTGCTAGTTATTTTTTACATCATTACTACAATGAATTTTTTGTTCTGGCAATCGTAGACCTTCTGCCAATGAATATGTCGATTTTACGTTTTGCTGGTACGATAATATATCGATATTTATCGAATCGAC